ACATAAGAATTTTTTTTTTTTTTTTTTTTTTTTTGAGACAGAGTCCTGCTATGTCACCAGGCTGGAGTGCAGTGGCACAATCTTGGCTCACTGAAACCTCCGCCTCCGGGGTTCAAGCAATTCTCTGCCTCAGCCTCCCGAGTAGCTGGGATTACAATCGTCTGCCACCATGCCCAGCTAATTTTTATATTTCTGGTAGAGACAGGGTTTCACCATGTTGGCCAGGATGGTTTCGAATTCCTGACCTCGTCATCCGCCCACCTCGGCCTCCCAAAGTGCTGAGGTTACAGGCGTGAGCCAACGAGCCCAGCCAAGAAATTTGTTTTAAGCCACTAAGATTTGGGGAAATAGTTCAGCAATAGATAAATAAGAGAATAGGTGTATAATAGTGCTTAGTTGTTGAAAATGTCATTTTTGATCCATTGTCAGCCAGACTGTTACCTTAGACCAGAATATTTCAAATTGCAGACTGCAATCATTAGTAGGTCATGAAATCAATTTAAAGGGTTGTAATCAACATTAAGAAAAATTGGGCTGGGTATGGTGGTTCATGCCTGTAATCTCAGCATTTTGGGAGGCCAGGGCACAGGATCACTTGAGGCTAGGAGTTCAAGACTGGCCTGGGCAACACAGAAAGAATCCATCTCTACAAAAAAATAAAAAATTTGCTGAGCGTTGTGGCCAGTGCCTGTATTCCCAGCTACTTGGGAGACTGAGGTGGGAGGATTGCTTGAGCCTGGGAGGTTGAGGCTGCAGTGAGTCATGATTGCACCACTGTACTCAGCCTGGGAGACAGAGTGAGACCCTGTCTCAAAAAAAAAAAAAAAAAAAAAAAAAATTGAAGTAGAATAGGGCCAGGCATGGTGGCTTACTCCTGTAATTCCAGCACTTTGGGAGGCTGAGATGGGAGGATCACTTGAAGCCAGGCATTTGAGACCCGCCTGGTCAACATAGCAAGACCCTGTCTCTAAGAAAAAGAAAAGTAGAATAGAATAAAATAAAATACATAGAACATTGCACTTAGTAAAGGTAAGTATTGTTTCCCAAAACTTTTGTTTTCACTTATTATTTACTTATTTATTGAGATGGAGTCTCCCTCTGTCTCCAGGCTGGAGTACAATGGCGCAATCTCGGCTCACTGCAACATCTGCCTCCAGGGTTCAAGCAATTCTCCTGCCTCAGCCTCCCTAGTAGCTGGGATTACAGGCACATGCCACCTCACCCAGCTAATTTTTGTATTTTTAGTAGAGACGGGGTTTCACCATGTTGGCCAGGATGGTCTCCTGGCCTTGTGATCCGCCCACCTTGGCCTCCCAAAGTGCTGGGATTACAGGCATGAGCCACCATGCCTGGCCTTGTTTTCATTTGTACACATACCTGTGTATTGAGTCATGATGTCAAGTGAATTTCTGATAGTGGCTCAGTATCAATCAAATTCGAAAGCCACTGTCCTAGGCTTGCTTTTCAGGTTGGGGTGATGGATTCTTTCCTAGTCTCCCAAGGTTCCCCTCATGAATGGTGGAGATTGTAGCTGCCCAGTTTGACCATTAGGCCAAGCAAATCCACCTGGCATGGGTTGACAGGACCCAAGCAGTATGTTTCCTTAGGAAAGCTAACATTCTCTCTACTAAATTAAGGAGCCAAAGGCAAATGATGGCACAGAAAGCCTCACTCTGTTACGCAGGCTGGAGAGCAATGACGCAGTCTCGGGTCAGTCCAACCTCTGCCTCCTGGGTTCAAGTGATTCTCCCGCCTCAGCCTCCTGAGTAGCTGGGACTACAGGCACATGCCACCACACCTGGCTAATTTTTGTATTTTTAGTAGAGACGGGGTTTCACTATGTTAACCAGGCTTGTCTCGAACTCCTGACCTTATGATCCGCCCGCCTCAGCCTCCCAAAGTGCTGGGATTACAGGTGTGTGCCACCGTGCCCTGCCAGAAATCCCATTTTTTAAAGTATAAAGCTTCTTTTCTCTCTGCCAGAGAAATTAAGTGAAACCGTCAAACATTATAGCAACATTAAAATAATTTAAAGTGGGAGAAGAGGTACGATCTGTGGTTTCCTTAATACTTCCTTTAATACTTCCTTTCTTTCCTGGACCCAGCTTTTCTCAAAATGCGGGTGAGGGAAGATGATTTAGGGGAAAAGGGCACGTGTTTCTTTATTTAATTTGGCCAAATCTTCCATTTGTTACTGCTTTTAGTAAAGTGGACTGGGCATGGATGTTTTTCTCTGTAGGATAAGCATCCCAAAGCTGGTCTCCCATGGGACGTATGCAGCGTTCTTCAGTGGACCTGAAAGATACAGTTCCCTTAAGGAGAAGACATAGTTCCTGTACAAAGATCCAGCACTGGCTCAATTACTTCTGTTAATCCCAAGCCCAGCTCCTCCCACTGCCTCTTACTGATTGGGACTCATCTGCAGGAGACAGTCCTCAAGACAATCTTCATGGGGCTCAAGCTTGGGTACCCTCCAAAGGATACCCTGGACCATGAGCAAATCACAGGTTCTCCCCTCCTAAACTGTAGGAACACAGGCTGCCCTACTACAGCGCCTTCTCAGTTGCTTCGCTCCATTCTCGAGAAGCAGATCAGCTTACTTCTTCCCATAGTTGCTCCCACCAGAAGGCCAGGTTTCCTATTCTTGCACATCACACAGGGTTTGCCCGTCACTCTTAGAGCCTCCTTTGACTTAGGTGGGAGGCCGCTTACTCTCCAACCCGCAAGGCCCAAGACCCCTTGACTCCACTGCCCAGTCTTTCTTACAGACACTTAAAAAAGAGATAGGATTGGAATTTGAATGGAATTACCTTAGTCCTGCTATAAATCCTAGGGAGGAAGGGTTGGCAATGACTGGCATTCACTTTACAGTGTGGGGAACTTAAGTACTTAACTCCTTTTCTCTAACTCTGGACTCAAGACATCAATTTGGGGACAAAGGAAAATGCCCCATTCTAATGCTGTTAGGCATTTGCTGACCTCCTCTCTGCAATTGTGTGGCCTCTTGAGAACTTCTGTTGAGACTTCCGGGTATTCCCAGACTTAAATTGTTACGTACTATTAATCATTGAAGCTTTGTCAGCAGACCAGTTTGACTCAGCAATTCACAGTCATGATGTGAGTTTGTTTTCAAAAAGAGTTCTAAAAATGCAGCATAATCAATTCAAATCTTAGAATTTTAAAAATTATGTATTATTTATTATTTTTTTGAGGTAGAGTCTCATTCTGTCACCCAGGCTGGAATGCAGTGGTGCAACGATGGCTCACTGCAGCCTTGACCACCCAGGCTCAAACGATCCTCCTACCTCCGCCTCCAGAGTAGCTGGAACTGCAGGCATGCTCGGCCACACCCGACTAAGTTTTGATTTTTTGTAGGGATTGGGGGGGGGGGTCTCATTATGTTGCCCAGGCTGGTCTCGAACTCCTGGGCTCAAGTGATCCTCCCAGTTCAGCCTCCCAAAGTGCTGAGATTATAGGTGTGAGCCACTGTGCCCAGCCTGAATTTTTAAAAATTTAAATAATTCAGTTAAAAGAAAAAAAAAAAACATAAATAGTCAGCTTTTTTCCCCACCTTCATTCGTATATTTCATGAGAGAAGGAAGTATTTTTGAAGATGCTTAGATTGTGCTACTAAAAACAGGAGGCACTAAAGCTTTTAAAGCTAAATTGGTAAAGTTAAATACTACGATGCAACCCAGCAATTCCACTCTTAGGTCCATACCTAAAAAACCTGAAAACAGGCCCGGCGGGGTGGCTCACGCCTATAATCCCAGCACTTTGGGAGGCCGAGGTGGGCGCATCACCCGAGGTCAGGAGTTCGAGACCAGCCTGCCCAACATGGTGAAACCCCGTCTCTACTAAAAATACAGAAAACTTAGCCGGGCGTGGTGGCACATGCCTGTAATCCCAGCTACTCCGGGGGCTGAGGCAGGAGAATTGCTTGAACCCATGAGGTGGAGGTTGCGTTGAGCCTAGATAGCGCAATTGCATTCCAGCCTGGGCAATAAGAGTGGAACTCCATCTAAAGGGCCGGGCGCGGTGGCTCACGGCTGTAATCCCAGCACTTTGAGAGGCCGAGGCGGATGGATCACAAGGTCAGTGGAGATCAAGACCATCCTGGCTAACACAGTGAAACCCCATCTCTACTAAAAATACAAAAAATTAGCCGGGTGTGGTGGCACGCGCCTGTGGTCCCAACTACTCGGGAGGCTGAGGCAGGAGAATCGCTTGAACCCGGGAGGCGGAGCTTGCAGTGATCCGCGATCATGCCACTACATTCCAACCTGGGCGACAGAGCGCGACGCCGTCTCAAAAAAAAAAAGAAGTCCTGATAGTTGTTACAACATGACTGTAGCTTGAAAACATTAAGCAAAAGAAGCTAGACACAAAAGGTCATATACTGAATGCTTCCATCAATAATGAAATGCCCAGAATAGGTAAATCTATCATAGAGTCAGAAAGTAGATTAGTGGCTGGCTGGGGTTGTGGGGAGAGGGGAACTGGAAGGAATGACTAACTGGTTTGGAGATTTTCTTTTGGGGTTATGAAAATGTTTCTGAACTATATACAGAGGTGATAGTTTAATGCACTGTGAAGGCATTAAACGCCACTGAATTGTAAGTTTTAAGATGGTTTATGTTATGCAAGTTTTACTCAATAAAAATAAAAATAAACTGAATTGGTAGCTAAGATATTGAAACACAGTGTGGAATCGTTCTCATTCATTTCACGAACCCGTGGAAAGATGCTTCCGCTCAGGCCTCACAGACCGGTCCCAGCGCGTTAGTGGGACACAACTCGGGTTTGCAGGGAAGCCCGAGAGCTGGCCTTTTGCGGACTTCCTGGGGACGCAGGACTCTTGCGCACGGGCTTGGGGGCGTGCCCAGGTTCGGGGGCGGGGCCAGGACGCCGCGACCCGGGGAGGACGCGGCGGGAGGCGGGCTTCGCCGGTTGCCAGGAGAACCCGCGACAACAAAAGACGCGGGCGGCGGCGGCGCGGCGTGGCAGAGCGAAGCTGAGGAGTCCAGCCCTCGCCGCCAGGGCCCTGGGCTGTCCCGAGCCGGTCAGTGCGCGGCGGGCCTGGCCGGGCGGTGCGGGGAAGTGGGGCGCCCTCCCTTTCGCGGCACCCGCCCTCCAGCCCGCCGCGCCCGCGCTCCCAGCCCGCCGTTGGGACTAGTAGGCGCCGGCTTGGGGTCTGGGCCGTCGCGGGGTGGGAGCCAGAGGGTGGGCGGTAGGGGCGCCAGCGAGGCCTATGGGGGTGCCCGAGGGGTCTGGGGTCAGGAATGGGAGCCCGGCGAACGACTGGAGGCAGAGCGCCCCTTCCGGAGAAAGCTGGCTCAGCCCTGAGGAGCGGGGCCTGGGGAACGGGGATCGACCCCAACGCGGGACTCGGCCCCCCGGAGCGCACCCCGTGTTCGTCTCGTGTAGCTGCACGGCGTGAGGTGCGACGCGAGGGCCACCACCACCGAGCGCTTTGTTTTGTCGCAGGCGTCTTTTTCCCACTGTAGAGGTTGAAACTTCGGCGCATTCAAGCTCGAGAGCTCCCTCCCTCGGAGGCAGGTGCTGTAAAGAGCAAAGCGCCCCGATTTTTTCTTTGAAACACCTTTTAAGTAACACCGCCGTCTCCAGTGTTGAAAATCTTTGTTGTTTGCTTTTCTTTACTCCTTTGTCTTTACGCATTTGGGGCCTTTTCTGAGCTCCTCATGCGATTTACTATCCATCTACTGGGAAGTTTCTTATGAAAATAATTAACAAACCACACATTTCAGACAACCACTGCTTTCTGGGAAATCAAGGGGACGGGATGGCAGCGGTTTTTGGAGACACTCATTCCTGACCAGTGACATGACATGAGGGATTAAATATTTCTCTTGCCTTTCCTCAGATTTCAAAAACCCATTGAGTATACTTAAATACGACCAGCCAATCAGATTTCGCCTTTTTTCATTTATTGGTGACATAATACGTATGTTTCTGATGACTATAATTGATCAGAATCTGAAGAAGTATAAGTGCTATGGATTGTGGAAAAACTTTGTTTCTTGTATATTGATGTTTTACAAGCCCTATGTTTGTGGACCCTTATTATTGTTTGTTTTGTTTTGAGACAGGGTCTCGCTCTGTTACTCAGGCTAGAGTGCAGTGGCACATTGCAGCCTCAACCTTCCGGGCTCAAGCAATCCTCCAACCTCAGCCTTCCAAGTAGCTGGGACTACAGGTGCGTCACCACTGCCTGGCCCATTCTTGTATTTTTAGTAGAGACAGAGTTTCACCCTGTTGCCCAGGCTGGTCTGTAACTCGTGGGCTGAAGTGATCCACCTGCCTTGGCCTCCCAAAGTGCTGGGATTACAGGCATGAGCCACCGTGCCTGGCCCCGTTATTATTTTTTTTAATGCTTAGAATAAGTTTCAGTTGCCTTTATAACCAAATTGTTTATAGATATTACCATTAAAAACCCCAAGAAATGAGGCTGGGCATGGTGGCTCATATCTGGAATCCCAGTACCTTGGGAGGCTGAGGCGGGTGGATCTCTTCAGCCCAGGAGGTCGAGACCAGCCTGGGCAACATGGTGAAACCCCGTTTCTACTAAAAATACAAGAATTAGCCTGGCGTGGTGCCTGTAATCCCAGCTACTTTGGACGCTGAGGCACGAGAATCGCTTGAACCAGGAGGCTGAGGTTGCAGTGAGCCGAGATGGTGCCGCTGTGCTCCAGCCTGGATGACAGAGCCAGACCTTGTCTCAAAAACAAAACAAAACAAAAACCCAAGAAATGAAAATATCCCAATTTGGCATTTTTTATTAGCAACTTCATTGGAAGCAGTTAGGTTTGGCTTAACATCGTCCATGAGTTTTGCTTTAATTTGATGGCATACAAAGAAATAAACTAATCTGTATGGTGACTTCAAATGTTGGTTTTCAGAGACATTTGGAGGAATTAACTCAGCATTCCTGCAACTGGAAAAGTTTCCAGTACCAAATGATTGTAGAGTTCTTTAAGATCCAAGAAAGGATTTATCAAACACATGAGCATTTTTTTTTTTCCAGTGTAAAATTCATTAGAATGATTTTAAAACTGCTAAGGTTAGGTGTATCTCTTTGTTTCAGCCATTACAGATAGTTTGTTGACTCTCTTTTGGGATTTTACAGCCCAAGGGACCTGATATTTTTTTTACTCTCAGGGGACTTTTAGAAGAGTGATGTTAATTTTTTTTTGTTGTGATCCTCTTCATGCCATCTACTCACAGAATTACAAATGCAGAGTACCATTGCAGAGTTTTGTTTTATTTTGTTTTGTTTTTGACAGGGTCGCGACCCTTTTGGGATCAAGGGACCCTCTCGCTTCAACCTCCTGAGTAGCTGGGACTATAGGCGCGTGCGCCACCATGCCTGCCTAATTTTTTGATTTTTTGTAGAAACAGGGTTTCTCCATGTTGCCCCGACTGGTCTCGAACTCCTGGGCTCAAGTGATCCACCCACCCTGGCCTCCCAAAGTGCTGGGATTACAGATGTGAACCACTGTGCTGGGCCACGGTTTTTTTTTTCAAGGGTAGTGAATATTAATATTATCAATTCACTGTTATTAGTGTTATTAATAAAATGTTATTTCAGTCTAGTTGTCTCTGTTACTTAATGGTAATCTTCAAGACTCAGCAGCTTCTCCAAAGAACCTAGCCTCACCTCAAACTCATTACTTTTCATCATCTGCACTTAAACATTGTCATAGATTACTTGTTAAATTTAGTATAAGCTTTATCCTTCCAAAACTGAACATTTGTATATAAGTTTTTATGCAAACACAGTGTTTTCATTTCTCTTGGGAGTTTTCATTTCTCTTGGGAGCTGGGTCAAGTGATAACTGTATGTTTAACTTTTTGCGGAAATGTCAATCTGTTTTCCAAAGTGGCTGTACCATTTTACCTTCCCACCAGTAGTGTATGAGGGTTCTAATTTCTTTACACCCTGCTAACACTTATGGTCTGTCTTTGTTATTATAGCAGTGCGAGTGGATGTGGATTGGTATCTCATTGTGGTGGTTGTTTGTTTGTTTGTTTGAGACAGTCTTGGTGTATCACCCAGGCTGGAGTGCAGTGGTTTGATCTCAGCTCACTGTAACCTCTGCCTCCTGGGTTCAAGCGATTCTCCTGCCTCAGCTTCCTGAGTAGCTAGGATTATAGGCGCCCATCACCATGCCCGTCTAATTTTTGTATTTTTTAGTAGAGACAGAGTTTCACCGTGTTGTTCAGGCTGGTCTCGAACTCCTGACCTCAGGTGATCCTCCCACGTTGGCCTCCCAGAGTGCTGGGATTACAGGCTTGAGCCACTGTGCCTGGCTAATTTTTGTATTTTAGGTAGAGATGGGGTTTCACCATGTTGTCCAGGCTGGTCTTGAACTCCTGACCTCAGGTGATCCTCCCACCTCAGTTTCCTAAAATTCTGGGATTACAGGCGTGAGCCACTGCGCACCTGGACTCTCACTGTGGTTTTGATTGCATTTTCCTGATAGCTAATGATGTTGAGCATCTTTTCATGTGCTCGTTATTCATTTGTATATCTTCTTTGAAGAAGTGCCTTTTCAGATGCTTTGCCTGTTTTTAAAATTTTTTAAAAACTTTTTGAGTTGTAATATTTATATATTGTAGTTGCAAGTTCTTTGTTAGATTCATGTCTTGCAAATATTTTCTCCCATTCAGTGAGTTGTCTTTTCACTTTTTTTTTTTTTTTGAGGCGGAGTCTTGCCGTCTCCCCCAGGCTGGAGTGCAGTGGTGCAATCTCCGCTCACTGCAAGCTCCACCTCCAGGGTTCATGCTATTCTCCTGCTTCAGGCTCCCGGGTAGCTGGGACTACAGGTGCCCGCCAACACGCCTGGCTAATTTTTTTGTGTTTTTAGTAGAGATGGGATTTCATCTTGTTAGCCAGAATGGTCTCATCTCCTGACCTCGTGATCCACCCACCTCGGCCTCCCCAAGTGCCCAAGGGATTACAGGCATAAGCCACCGCGCCCAGCCATCTTTTCACTTTCTTGGTAGTTTCCTTTGAAGCACAAAGTTTTTAATTTCGATGTCCAGTTTTTCCTTCCCTCCCTCCTTCCTCTCCCTCCCCCACCCCCAACATTTCTCTTGTTCTCTCTCTCTCTCTCTCTCTCTCTCTCTCTCTCTCTCTCTCTCTCTCTCAGACAAGTTCTTGCTCTGTTGTCCAGGTTATAGCGCAGTGGCGCAAATACAGCTCACTGTAACCTCTGGCTGCTGGGTTCAAGCCAACCTCCCGCCTTAGCTTCCGAAGTAGCTGGGACCGCAGGTGTGCACTATCATGCTGAGCTGATTGAAAAAAAAAATTTCTTTGTAGACATGACGTCTCACTTTGTTGCCCAGGCTGGGTCTTACTTATTTTTTAATCTATACTTCATCTTTATTTTTTTGCTTTTATTATTTTTGATTGACACAATCATTGTACATGTTTATGGGGTACAGTGTGATTTTTCAGTACCTGTATACAATGTGTAATGTCCAAATTGGTATTTTTAATTTTACTGCTTTTGGTGTCATATCTGAGAAATTATTGCCAAATTCAAGGTCATGAAGAGTTACTCCTGTCTTTTAAGAGTTTTGTAGTTTTAGTTCTTATGTTTAGGTCTATGGTCCATTTTTGGTTAACTTTTGTATATGATGTGAGGTAGGGAGTCCAACTTCATTATTTTATCCATTGTCCCATAGCCATTTGTTGAAAAGACTATTCTTAGACTTCAGTTGAATTGTCTTCGCACCTTTGTTGAAAATCAATTGCCCATAAATGTGAGGGTTTATTTCTGGATTCTCAATTCTATTCTGTTGATCTATGTGTCTATCCTTATGCCAGTACTACACTATCATGATGACTGTTGCTTGGTTTTGAAATTAGGAAAGTGTGAGTCCTCTTACTTTGTTCTTTTTCAATATCGTTTTGGTTATTCTGTGTCTCTTGAGTTCTGTGATTTCAGGATCAACTTGTCAATTTCTGCAAATAAGTCAGCTGAGATTTTGACAGGTATTGCATTGAGTCTGTAGATCAATTTGGGGAATACTGACGTATTAATATATCTTTCAATTCATAAACATGAGATTTTTTTCATTTATGTACATCTTGTGCTTTCTTCTAACAGTATTTTATAGTTTTCGGAGTATATGTTTTACACATCTTTTGTTAAATTTATTTCTAAATATTTTATTCTTTTTGATGCTATTGTAAATGGAATTGTTGTTTGAATGTATTTTTAAGTGTTAGGCTGGACACGATGGTTCACGCCTGTAATCCCAGCACTTTGGAAGCCTGAGGCGGGCGGATCACAAGGTCAGGAGATCAAGACCATCCTGGCTAACAGGGTGAAACGCCATCTCTACTAAAAATACAAAAAATTAGCTGGGCATGGTGGCAGGCGCCTGTAGTCCCAGCTACTTGGGAGGCTGAGGCAGGAGAAGGGCGTGAACCCGGGAGGCAGAGCTTGCAGCAAGCTGAGATTGCGCCACTGTACTTCAGCCTGGGCGACAGAGCAAGACTCTGTCTCAAAAAAAAAAAAAAAAAGCCAGAGTGTTCATTGTAAATATGGTTATCAATTATTTATTTATATATATTTTTAGCCGGGAAACTACAGCCAACAATTTAATTTTTAATGTATTAATTCTAGCAGAGATCTTCAGAAGTAAGTACAACATAATATTTAGAAGCAGAAAAAGCAGTTTTTCTGTTAGTTTTGATTATTTTTGAATAAAAATTTAGTGTTTTTTTTTTTTTTTTTTTTGAGACGGAGTCTTGCTCTGTCGCCCAGACTGGAGTGCAGTGGCCTGATCTCAGCTCACTGCAAGCTCCGCCTCCCGGGTTCACGCCATTCTCCTGCCTCAGCCTCCCGAGTAGCTGGGACTACAGGCGCCCGCCACCTCGCCCGGCTAGTTTTTTGTAGTTTTAGTAGAGACGGGGTTTCACTGTGTTCACCAGGATGGTCTCGATCTCCTGACCTCGTGATCCACCCGTCTCGGCCTCCCAAAGTGCTGGGATTACAGGCTTGAGCCACCGCGCCCGGCCGGTAAAAATTTAGTTTTAAATTTATATTGACTTATGAAATTCTTAGAACTATTTTCATGAATTTATTTCTAATAATTATGACAAAGAGGAAATGCTATTTTTCAATGCATAGCTATAAAATCTGGTACTAATGTTTGTTTTTAACACATGTACAGGCTGGGCGCGGTGGCTCATGCCTGTAATCCCAGCACTTTGGGAGGCCGAGGCGGGTAGGTCACTTGAGGTTCGGAGTTTGAGACCAGCCTGGCCAATATGGTGAAACCCCGTCTCTACTAAAAATACAAAAATTAGCCGGATGTAGTGGCGGGCACCTGTAATCCCAGCTACTCAAGAGGCCTGAGGCAGGAGAATCACTTGAACCGGGAAGGCAGAGGTTATAGAGAGCGGAGATCACACCACTGCATTCCACCCTAGACGATAGAGCGAGACTCCATCTCAAAAAACAAACAAAAAAACATGTGTACAGTTCCTTACTTAATTATCTCCTTGCCTTAATTTTCTAACTCCCTGGCTATTTAATATTTAGATTAATGAACTGGGAAATATTATTACTGTAGAAATAAAGGCACAATGAAATCCCATGTACTTACCACTTAGCTTCGTCATTTATTAACTCATGGACCCCATACTCTAGATTATTTTGAAGCAAACCCAAGACGTACTATTTTGTCTACAAATTTACAATGTATTTTACAAGACAGGTTTACTTTTTGTAACTGTGTTGTGTTGAAACAAAACCTGTTCTAACTGACTTTGCTTTAGAAGGTGGTTAGTTTATTGGGATAAAAGGAATCAGTAATTAAAATTTGTTTTTTATTTTTGATACACAGGAATCCAGATCTTACATAAGATGGAAGTTTCTCACACTAGATACTGAACATTAAGTAGAAAATCTAGTAAAATCTAAGTTGCCATGGAAGAAATACCAGTAAAAGTTGCTGTAAGAATTAGACCTCTGCTTTGCAAAGAAGTTCTTCATAATCATCAAGTTTGTGTGAGAGTTATTCCAAACAGCCAGCAAGTTATCATTGGGAGAGACAGAGTCTTCACTTTTGATTTTGTTTTTGGCAAAAATTCCACTCAAGATGAAGTTTATAATACATGTATAAAGCCCCTAGTGTTGTCACTCATTGAGGGCTATAATGCAACTGTTTTTGCCTATGGACAAACTGGATCTGGGAAGACATACACCATTGGAGGAGGCCATATTGGTAAGATTCTCATACTCTCTGACTTTTATTTGTGACGCTAGAAAGAAGCTAAAACATGACCAATACCTGATACGTGGTAGGTGCTTAGCATATTAATTGAATAGTGAAGGAATGAATAATGTAATCAAATGTTATCATAAGATCATCATCTTTGAAAGGTTTGTTTCTAAATATTGAAGTTTCATTAAGCAATCTAACTTAGGATTATATTTGCTTGAGGAAAGAAGTTTAAGATAATTTTCAGTGGTCAGCCCTTGTTATTTTGAACAGAATTTAAAATAGAGATAAATGAGTTAACATGATCAGATTTTGCGTTCTTTAACAAGCCAGTTGTAAATATTAAGAGTCCCACAGTCAGGACTTAGGGACCGTAGGAAAAATTTACTATGTAGAGTAGCTTTTTTCATATTCTAGCCAGATTTCTTTTTTAAATTCTGAATACTTTAGGACATAATTTCTCCTGCTTGTAATTATAGTTTGGAAAAGATAGAATCATAGGATCTCATGTAGAGCTGGAGGGAACCTTGGAAATCATTTTAGTTGAGTGTCTGGTAATAGAGTGGGGGAACTGACAGCCAAGTCTTCTGTTAAGATTGTTTACTGTATTGATAGTTTTCTACTAAGAACAAACTTCTGAATAGTGCACATATGCATCATTGTCTAAAGTTTTAGTTAGTATTCTCTGTATGAATAGTGGCTCTCAATATTTTTCTATTTTCATATTTCACAAATGTAAAATACATGGCTTTCAGAAACTTCTTTCTCTAGCTGTTCAGATACAAGCTGAAACAAAAAAAATAAAAAAAAATTAAAAAAGAAACTTCTCTCATTACATGCATGGATGGGTAGTGGCTCAGAGAGTGGTTGTGTAGTTTGAGGAAATCTTTATTCCAAAGATTAAAATGGAGGAGCTTCAAGAGGCCAATATTCCCCAACTAAAAGAAAAACATCTGTATATTCTGCAGGATTAGGAGATCACAGATACTAGATTGTTTCAGGGTCTTACAATAAAAAATAATTCAGTTTTTCTAGTATAAATTGTGGCTTTTCTTTAGGATTGTAGGGATTTTTGTTTTTTTTGATTGGCAAATGTTTTATAATCCTAATGACCCATTATATGCTTTATACCAATAGGAGTTATACATGTTCAGAAGCTGGTGACTTAATTATAGCTATACCTTTTTTTTTATTAGGAGACCATGAGTACTATTTTAATTTTGTAAGGGAAAAAGTTATTAAAGTTATCTATTCTAACATATTTTAATTGCTCTAAAATTCTCTCTATCAGAAGAAATAGACCACCATTAAGAACATTTTGGGGCCGGGCGCGGTGGCTCAAGCCTGTAATCCCAGCACTCTGGGAGGCTGAGATGGGCGGATCACGAGGTCAGGAGATCGAGACCATCCTGGGTAACACGGTGAAACCCCGTCTCTACTAAAAAATGCAAAAAACTAGCCAGGAGAGGTGGCGGGCGCCTGTAGTCCTAGCTACTCAGGAGGCTGAGGCAGGAGAACGGCATGAACCTGGGAGGCGGAGCTTGCAGTGAGCTGAGATCCGGCCACTGCACTCCAGCCTGGGCGACACAGCGAGACTCCGTCTCAAAAAAAAAAAAAAAAAAAAAGAACATTTTGGATGGTGTTTTCTTTCTACTTTTTTTAAATTAAAGAAATATTTATTATAAGAAGGACTGCAAGTGATGCATAAGAAATTAAACAAGTGACAACTCCTCTCATCCCAAAGAAATAAGTTTGATGCATATTACTCACTTATGTAGTTATTTTGGTTTTTGTTTGTTTAATGAGATTTTGGTTTTTGTTTGTTTATGCCTGTGATTCTGTAACTTTCTTTTTGCATTTAACAATGTAAAATATCATTTCAGTCCAGGCGCGGTGGCTCACACCTGTAATCCCAGCACTTTGGGAGGTCAAGGCAGGCAGATCACTTGAGGCCAGGAGTTTGAGACCAGCCTGGTCAACATGGCGAAACCCTGTCTCTACTACAAATACAAAAATTAGCTGGGCGTCATGGCACACGCCTCTAATCCTAGCTACTCGGGAGGCTGAAGCAGAGAATTCGCTTGAACCTGGGAGGCGGAGGCTACGGTGAGCCAAGATCATGCCACTGCACTCCAGTCTGGGCAACAGACCAAGACTCTGTGTCAAAAAAAGTTGGATTTATTTTTTGGTGTATTAGTGAGGATTTTCTGTTTCCCAGAATGTCTCTATAGGGCACCAATTCTGGGTCAGTTATCTGCTTTTTGGTTACTGACCATGCAAATAATGCTTCCCTGCCCCGTCCCCCCACATCCCCCAGTGAATATTTATTGAGCATCTGCAGTATCTAGGTTACCATGCTGGGCACTAGGGCAGAATGAAACTCTCTTATTTTATTTTATTTTTTATTTATTTATTTATTTTTTTTTGAGACGGAGTCTCACCTGTTGCCCAGGCTGGAGTGCAGTGGCGCGATCTCGGCTCACTGCAGCTCCGCCTCCCGGTTCCCGCCATTCCCTGCCTCAGCCTCCTGAGTAGCTGGACTACAGCGCCCCACCCGCCCGCTAATTTTTTTTTTTAGTAGAGACGGGTTCACTGTGGTCTCGATCTCCTGACCTTGTGATCCGCCCGCCTCGGCCTCCCAATGCTGGGATTACAGGCTTGAGCCACCGCGCCCGGCCGAAACTCTCTTATTTTAAAATGTATTTTACTTTATTTTTAAAACTTTTTTGTAGAGATGGGGGTCTCACTGGTTTTTTTTGGTTTTGATTTTGCTTTGAGACAGAGCCTTGCTCTGTTGCCCTGGCTGGAGTGCAGTGGCACAATCACAGCTAACTGCAGCCTCAACCTTCTGGGCTCAAGAAATTCTTCCACCTCGGCTTCCTGAGTATCTGGGACTACAGGGGCATATCACCACTCCCGACTAATTTTTTATTTTTTATTTTTGCAGAGACAGGGTTTTGCCATGTTGTCCAGGCTGGTCTCTAACATCTGAGATCAAGTGATCTGCCCTGCCTCAGTCTCCCAAAGTGCTGGGATTACAGGCGTGAATCACCACGCCTGGCTTTATTTTTAAATATGATGCTTATTTAGCTAATATTCATTTTCCTGCTTTTCAGAACTTTGGAATTACCTTTACAAGGAATAGCCTTTTCCAAAAACTTTTGTGTACTCTTTAAATACCATATAATAGCTAAATGATAGTTGTTGAGTTATAAAACTTCGCAGGTTTTCTCTTGGAAATGGTTTATTTCAGGAATATAAGACTAACATTGCAAATTTTATATTTAAGTTATCAAAATACATATTGGAGCTTTATTATAAATATTTGAAATTAAGCTTTTTGATACGTCTTTTAAATTGTGCTTTGTTATCTATTGATGTGGGGAATAACTGAACTATTTCTGGTCAATTATTTATTCTGGATAATCAAGATTGCTTATCTATGCTACAGTTTGAAAGGTTTAGATCTTTCCTACAGGCTAGTTCCTACAAGCTCTTAAAAGGGAATCTTCATTTGTACTGTATTAGAAGAAAACCCATTACTTACTTTACTTACCACATGATGGCAGTCTTGCCTCTTAAATGAGGGGAAAGGCAGCCATTGAAGTTGGTAGAAACTTAGATTTTCAGCATGATTGTTGCCAAAAACCTAAATTTTGGTAATCTTCAACTTGGAAGCAAGTTGTTTTTAAGTTTCATTTGTAAGTCAACTGTTTGTTGCTTGGAATACATTTTCCATGGAACAATGCTAAAAATGATGGGTGGTTTTCTAAATTAGCCGACAGAAACTTTTAAAGTCTCAGTTTTTCCCTCCACTTATTTTAAATTTTATACACTTTTTTTTTTTACTATTACAATTGTGATAAAGTACATGTAAATATAAATATAAAGATAACCAAACTTATCATTTTAGCTACTTTCAAGTGTAGAGTTCTGCAGCATCAAATATACTAATTGTTAATGCAGTAATAACCAGTATTTTCAAAATTTTCATCACCCAAACAGTAGCTATGTACCCATTAAGCAGTAGCTCTCCCGGCATTCTCTGATAATCCCTGATTGACTTTCTGGCTCTTTTAATTTGCCTATTCTAGATATTTCATATAAGTGGAGGTCGGGTGTGGTGGCTCACGTCTGTAATCCCATCACTTTGGGAGGATCATCTGAGCTCAGGAGTTTGAGATCAACCTGGGCAACATGATGAAACCCCATCTCTACTAAAAATACAAAAAAATTAGTTAGGCGTGGTGGTGTGCACCTGTAATCCCAGCTACTGGAGGCTGAGGCAGGAGAATCACTTGAACCTGGGAGGCAGAGGTTGCAGTGAGCTGAGATCGCGCCACTGCACTCCAGTATGGGCAACAGAGCAAGACTCTGTCTCACAAAACAAAACAAAACGCATAAAAGTGGGCCAGGCGCAGTGGCTCACACCTGTAATCTCAGCACTTTGGGAGGCTAAGGCAGGTGGATCATGAGGTCAGAAAATCGAGACTGTCCTGGCCAACATGGTGAAACCCCATCTCTTCTAAAAATACAAAAATTAGCTGGGTGTGGTGGTGGGTGCCTGTAGTCCCAGCTACTCAGGAGGCTGAGGCAGGAGAATCGCTTGAACCCAGGAAGTGGAGGTTGCAGTGAGCTGAGATTGCGCCACTGCACTCCAGCCTGGGCAACATAGTGAGAGCTTGTCACTACAAAAAACAACAAAAAAAATTAGCTGGATGTGGTGGCACATGCCTGTAGTCCCAGCTACTTCAGAGGCTTAGGTGGGAAGATCACCTGAGCCCAGGAGGTTAAGGCCGCAGTGAGCCATGATTGTGCCACTGCACTCCAGCTTGGGCGACACAGTGAAACCCTGTCTCAAAAAAAAAAAAAAAAAAAAAAGAAAAAGAAAAGAAAAAAGAAGTGGAATCATACAGTATTTTTCCTCCTGTGTCTAGCTTCACTCACTTAGCATGTTATGTCACCTATCAGAACGTCATTCCTTTTTCCAAGAACATTCCGTTGTATATATATACTATGTTTTATTTATCCATTCTTCTTTTGATGGACATTTGGTTTGCTTCCCCGTTGTAGCTCCTGTAAATAATGTTACTGTGAACACTGATGTAGAAGTATCTGTTTGAGCCCCTCCTACGCCTATTTGTAAACCTGCTTTAACTCCTTTTTGAAACAAGGGGGAACAGAAATAAGTGTTTACTCATAATGTTACTGTACTGGTCTGTGTTCTGGGTTGTAGAAGCTGTGGGCTTAGATAGTGTTGGAGGAGAAGAGGTATAGAGATGTTCCCTTTCTCATTCTTGAACTGAGGGTCTAGGCCTGGGCATAACTGGCCTTTCTGCACCTGCTTGTGCACACATTCTCTGTCGCCATCAACTTTGGCTTGCTTCTCCATCTTTTCTCGTTATCCCTTTCTACTCTCAAGCTCCTTGCACCTTTTCACCCCATCCAGAAATCTCAGAACAGATACACTTGGTGACGTGTAAAGAAATATAAGAATTTTTTTAAAAAAGCATTCTTGGCCGGGCGTGGTGGCTCATCCCTATAATCCCAGCAGTTTGGGAGGCCGAGGCGGGCAGATTGTGAGGTGAGGAGATGGAGACCATCCTGGCTAACGCGGTGAAACCCCGTCTCAACTGAAAACACAAAAAATTAGCTGGACATGGTGGCACACGGCTGTAGTCCCAGCTACTTGGGAGGCTGAGGCAGGAGAATCACTTGAACCTGGGAGGCGGAGGTTGCAGTGAGCCGAGATTGCACCACCGCACCCCAGCCTGGGCGACAGAGTGAGACTCTGTCTCACCAAAAAAAAAAAAAAAAAAAAAAATCTTGCCAACATAAATGAATTGTGCTCCAGTGATTGGGATTCCACCCAGACCATAATAAATGATCTAAAGAGAAAGATATTTTAGTGCAAAAGACTATGAAATAGATTGGTCTTACCTAGGGTCAGTTTCCTGCTTTTTACAGCTATTTTCTGCTTTAGAAATTATATGTCATCTAAAAGCACCAACTTTTTTTTTTTTTTTTGAGACAGAGTCTCACTCTGTCGCCCAGGCTAGAGTGCAGTGGCATGATGTCGGCTCACTGCAAGCTCCGCCTCACGGGTTCACACCATTCTCCTGCCTCAGCCTCCCGAGTAGCTGGGACTACAGGCGCCCGCCACCACACCTGGCTAATTTTTTGTATTTTTAGTAGAAATGGGGTTTCACCGTGTTAGCCAGGATGGTCTCGATCTCCTGACCTCGTGATCCACCTGCCTCGGCCTCCCAGAGAGCTGGGATTACAGGCATGAGCCACCGTGCCTGGCCAAAAACACCAACGTTTTTATAACGTGGCTCCTACTAGTAGTAGTGAATATCCGAGAGGTGGAGTGGCTTTAGGCAGGGGAAGCCCTTTGTGTAGAATGATGTTTTATGAGCCAAGGGCCACCTCTCTGGATCTGGTATTTAATGAACAGTGAATTGGGAAAGATAAAGTATTTATTTATTTATTTATTTATTTATTTATTTATTTATTTATTTTGAGAAAGGGTCTTGCTCTGTTACCGAGGCTCTGTCTCCTGACTCACTGCAACCTCTGGCTCCCAAGCTCAAGTAATCCTCCCTTCTCAGCCTCCCAAGCAGCTGAGACCATAGGCATGCAACACAAAATTTTTTTGTATTTTTTGTAGAGAAGGGATCTTGCCATGTTGCCCAGGCTGGTCTCAAACTTCTTAGCTCAAGCGATCCACCCACCTTGGCCTCCCCATGTGCTAGGATTACAGGTGTGAGCCACCACAGTATGGCCTATTTATGGAATAAAATGCCACTCCATATAGTTTTATCATTTATATTCAAATGTACATTTCTACCACATTGCTTTGAAATTCGCCTGTGCCACTTAATGTCTGTTTCATTCCTGGGACTTTTCAAATATATTTTCTTATTAATTTTTTTTTTTTTTTTGAGACAGTTTCCCTCTGTCGCCCAGGCTGGAGTGCAGTGGCGCTATCTCAGCTCACTGCAACCTCCACCTCCCAGCTTCAAGTGATTCTCGTGCCTTAGCCACCCAAATAGTTGGGATTACAGGCATGAGCCACCACACCTAGCTAGCTAATTTTTGTATTTTTAGTAGAGACAGGGTTTCACCACGTTGCCCAAGCTGGTCTTGAACTCCTGGGCTCAAGTGATCTGCCCGCCTCAGCCTCCCAAAGTCTGGGATTACAGGCGTGAGCCACCACGCATGGCCTGTTTCAAGTCTTTTCTCAGATGTCACCTTCTGAATGATGCCCACCATGACCTTCCTGTTTAAAGTTGCAAGCATCTCCTGGCTGGTAGTTAGTTACCCTTCTAGTCCCCTTACCCTGCTGTATTTTTTTCCTCCAGGTACAATTAATACTTTTTAATATGCCATATAATTCACTTATCAGTTATTCTTTTTTGCTATTGTCAGTCTTTTGTCAGCAGAATCTCACCAGGGAAGGGGTTTCTTTTCTCCCTGTTTTGTTTACTGGTGGATTGCAGAGTCCTAGAATAGTGCCTGGCACATAGTAGATACTAAATAAATAATTGTTTAATGAATGCTTGAATGAATTCTTGGTAAGGGGATACATGTGAAAACTTTTACTTGTGAATTTTATAGTTGTGGTTTAAAAAAGTTATAATAGCCCGGTGGTGGGCATCTGTAATCCCAGCCACTCAGGAGGCTGAGGCAGGAGAATCACCTGAATTTGATAGGCGGAGGTTACAGTGAGCTGAGATTGCACCACGACACTCCAGCCTGGGCAACAGAGCAAGACTCCGTCTCAAAAAAAAAATACAGTTATAATAGAGAGAAATATAATAAAATAACTATAAAATTGGGGTTGTCGCTTTTCTTTTGTTTTAAGTTCCAGATGTGCTTTCTTTTTCTAAATTTTCAGCTTCGGTTGTGGAGGGCCAAAAGGGTATCATTCCTCGAGCTATTCAAGAAATATTTCAAAGCATCTCTGAACATCCTAGCATTGAGTTTAATGTGAAAGTATCTTATATAGAAGTGTACAAGGAAGACCTAAGAGATCTTCTAGAATTGGAGACATCCATGAAGGATCTTCACATCCGAGAAGATGAGAAAGGAAATACAGGTAAAGTAGCCCGCTTAATCAGTTGCCTTCATTAGCAAACAGATATGCTTTAATTCAGTTTCTGGATATATTCCAAGGAATCTTTAAAAACATACAGAAGCAAAATGAATTTAGTTTCACTTTTAACTTGAACAGCTTTATTGATTATTAATCTCTTTTTTTTTTTTTTTTGAGATGGCATCTCGCTCCATCACCCAGGTCACCCAGGCTAGAATGTAGTGGTGCGATCTTGGCTCACTGCAACCCCTGCCTCCTGGGTTCAAGTGATTCTGCTGCCTCAGCCTCCCGAGTAGCTGGGATTACAGGTGCGTGCCACCATGCCCGGCTAATTTTTGTATTTTTAGTAGAGACGGATTTCACCATGTTTGTCAGGCTGGTCTCAAACTCCTGACCTCGTGATCCGCCCGCCTCGGCCTCCCAAAGTGCTGGGATTACAGGCGTGAGCCACCGCGCCAGACCTGTTTTTGGTTTTTGAGAAGAAACTATATATGGTAGCTTATGGTCTTATTAGATAATTCAGTACAGTTTCTCTCTTCTGGATATAATTCAGACTAATGTTTTGAGCTCCTTTACCTTATGGAATACAATTATTGATTGTTTTTATCTTTTATCAAACAGTTACAAAAATAATACATGCTTCTTTGTAAAATATCAAGCAGGACAGAAGTATATACACTTCACTATCACTCTTGATAAACTTGATGAAAATATTTCATATCTGATACCAATGTTGAAAAAATTTTGGAAGGATGTTACAAATGATCTTAAATTACAGTATGTCTTACATAATGTCCCACTCACAAGTAAAGTGCATTTGTTTGACATATTTCTTTAGAGTCTTGGTGTAAAGCAGTAATGTCCATGCTGGCTGCTGCACAATTAGTACATGTGGGAAGCTTTTTAAAAATACTGATTTCTGGGTCCTACTTCTCAGGGGTTCTGATTTAATTGGTCTGAGATGGTGCCTGGGCGTTGGCACTTTCCTTTTTATAAAGCTACCAGGTGATTTGCGTCTGGGTTTGAGAACCGTAGTGCTCACTTATAGCCTAACATTGGAAAAATTTAATGAAAAATTTAATGAAAGTTTTACTATGACTTACAGGAACTGGGTTGTTTAAAAAGTGTCATGATGGAAATAATGAAAGTGAAATGATTATTTTTTAAAGAAATAGTGATGTGACAGTATCTGAGTAAAGATGAATTATGGCAATATAATTTGAGCATGAAATCAGGAGCTTTCCTTCTCTGATTCAATTCCTAAGTCCACCTACTTCTCTTTGCAGTATTTTTGGATATAAACAAATAATGCAGGTAGTAAATGTAGGTTATTTTTAGTTCATTCTGTGATTGAAATAAAAACTTTTTTTCTTTTTTGAGTATAGTACATTATGGTATTCAAAGTATTTTCTTTTAATTGCCATCTCATCTGTCTACCTTGCATTCTGATACTATATAAACCATACTTGTTTTTAAAATGAATAACCAACTTTATTTGTATTGAATTTTTTACTCATCATTGATTATGACCTCACAATACAAAAAAACTTAAAAGCCAAGGATGGCTTGATTATTAATAAAGCTGAAAAAAAAAAAAAACTAATGCCTTTTTTTTTTTTTTTTTTTTGAGACGGAGTCTTGCTCTGTTGCCCAGGCTGGAGTGCAGTGGCCGGATCTCAGCTCACTGCAAGCTCTACCTCCCGGGTTTACGCCATTCTCCTGCCTCAGCCTCCCAAGTAGCTGGGACTACAGGTACCCGCCACTGTGCCCGGCTAGTCTTTTGTATTTTTTTAGTAGAGACGGGGTTTCCCCGTGTTAGCCAGGATGGTCTCGATCTCCTGACCTCGTGATCCGCCCATCTCGGCCTCCCAAAGTGCTGGGATTACAGGCTTGACCCACCGCGCCCGGCCAACTAATGCCTTTTAATTGATACTAATTAATTCTTCTAATCTACTGATTAGATTAACTCTTTTGAATTATATATTTGATTAATTTATAAAAGATTAACCTAGGCCGGGTGCGGTGGCTCACACCTGTTATCCCAGCACTTTGGGAGGCCAAGGCAGGTGGATCACCTGAGGTCAGGAGTTCGAGACCAGCCTGGCCAATGTGGTGAAACCCCGTCTCTCCTAAAAATATTAAAAAAATTAGCCAGGTGTGGTAGTGCATGCCTGTGATCCAGCTACTCGGGAGGCTAAGGCAGGAGAATCACTTGAACCTGAGGTGGAGGTTGCAGTGAGCCAAGATTGCACCACTGCACTCTAGCTTGGGTGACAGGCAGAGACTCCGTCTCAAGAAAAAAAAAAAAAAAGATTAATCTATTAGGCTTTACAAATCAAAAGACTGGAATGAAGAGTTTTTCTTTTGTCATTCATTTTAAGGAATTGAGTGTGACTCATGACTCAACAAACTAGATTGTTTTTTCAAAAAATTATAGCTTTTAGAATTTAAACATCAAAATGAGTGCTGTCTGTTAAAATAGTTTCTTTGGGAGATTATCTAAAATTATTTGATGATGTTGCTGATGTTACTATTGTTATTTGAAATGCTGTTGACTTTTTTAAAAAGGGACTATCTTGGCCAGACTGTTTAGCAAATGGTAACTGTTAACTATACTAGGTTTTGATGAAAACTTGGCTTAAAAACATGTTTTTGCTATTTTAAGTGATTGTTGGGGCCAAGGAATGCCATGTGGAGAGTGCAGATGAAGTGATGAGCCTTTTGGAGACGGGGAATGCAGCCAGACATACAGGTACCACCCAAATGAATGAGCACTCCAGCAGATCACATGCAATTTTTACAATCAGCATTTGTCAAGTTCATAAAAATGTGGAGGCAGCTGAAGATGGATCATGGTATTCCCCTCGGCATATTGTCTCAAAGTTCCACTTTGTGGATTTGGCAGGATCAGAAAGAGTAACCAAAACGGGGAATACTGGTGAACGGTTCAAAGAATCCATTCAAATCAATAGTGGATTGCTGGCGTTAGGAAATGTAATAAGCGCTCTTGGGGACCCACGCAGGAAGAGTTCACATATTCCATATAGGGATGCTAAAATTACCCGGCTTCTGAAAGATTCTCTGGGAGGCAGTGCTAAGACTGTCATGATCACATGTGTCAGCCCCTCCTCCTCGAATTTTGATGAGTCATTAAATTCTCTCAAATATGCCAACAGAGCACGGAACATTAGAAACAAACCCACTGTAAACTTCAGCCCCGAGTCAGACCGTATAGATGAAATGGAATTTGAGATTAAATTGCTTCGAGAAGCTTTGCAAAGCCAGCAGGCTAATGTCAGCCAAACTAGCCAGATCAATCGAGAAGGGAGTCCTGATACAAATAGGATTCATTCTCTTGAGGAGCAAGTAGCTCAGCTTCAAGGAGAATGTCTGGGTTACCAATGTTGTGTAGAAGAAGCCTTTACCTTCCTGGTTGACTTAAAAGATACTGTCAGACTAAACCAAAAGCAGCAATACAAACTGCAGGAGTGGTTTAACATGATCCAAGAGGTCAGGAAGGCTGTGGTCACCTCATTTCGAGGAATCGGAGGCACTGCAAGTCTGGAAGAAGGACCAGAGCATGTTACAGTTCTCCAGCTGAAGAGAGAGCTTAAGAAATGCCAGGTACTTAGACATCACTTATTTATTTATTTATTTTATTGATACATAATAGATGTACATATTTTGGGGGTGTGTGTGTTAACATATTTAGACATTATTATGGATAACTCTTTTAAGGACTAAATTTATTTGGGCAAGTACATTCTAAGAGTCATTTTGGAATTTTAGGTTTTTTAAAAAATGATTTATATATAGAATCCCACTTGCCTCTCTCACTTTGTTCTTTCTACCCTCCCCTTTCCTATTGCTTCCTCCTCACAGTTCATACTCTTCTTGACTCCTCCTCCTTTCTCCTTTGGTTAAAGTGTATTTTAATTTGTTATATTTATTAAATAGAACTTTGTGGACCTGGTTGTCAATTTAGAGACTGAAAATAAACTTATTTGAGAAATAAAATTAAGTTATCTTTTACTGAGTTTTTTTCCCTCTGTGGGTCAGTAGTTCTTGAAAGAAAAGAAATACTTCATCTCTTGTGTTTGGAGTATAGGTTTAAAAAAAAAAAAACCTAACAAATTAGCATATTTATTAATGTTTAAGGAATGTAGGTATGTACATGTATACATGTTATATGTACATTTATTGAGTTCAGATTTACATTTCCCCACTTTTCATTCAGAAATTATTTATTGTGTGAAGATTGTATGTTGTGGGAATGGTAGAGGACAGACACACCTAGTTACTGCTTGCTTGGATGGAGTTTGCAATCTAGTGAGCAAATGAATGGTCCTTCAGTTGTTCCTGAGATAACATGGCTCCCAGATTCCATCGTTCTGTCCATTTTTCAAAATAGGAAAACTTGAAAAGATAGCTTTTTACTTAAAAAGGAAATATGGTTTAAGTATATTTCCTTTTTTTTTTTTAAAGCGCTAAGCTTATTTCTCTAGCTAGAAATATTTCCTCAAAGCCTTTTTACATGTAATATTATAAAGAAGGCATTTGTATTATCCTCTGTTAGAGCAGTTCTCAAGTTCTCCAACTTTTTGACCACAGGACTTCTTCTTCTTTACACTTTTAAAGTGAGATCCCTCAAAGAGCTTTTGTTCATGTGGGTTATATCTATTGATATTTAGTGTGTTAGAATTAAAACTGGAAAAAATCTAAGCTATTTATTCATTCAAAACTAACGGTAACCCAATTACATGTTAATATAAAGAGCACTTTTAATGAAAAATATTTTCTAATACAATTTTTTTTTTTTTTAAAGATGGAATCTTGCTCTCTCACCAGGCTGGAGTGCAATGGCATGATGTCGGCTCACTGCAGCCTCTGCCTCCCAGGTTGAAGCAATTCTCCTGCCTCAGCCTCCCAAGTAGCCGGGACTACAGGTGCACGCCACCATGCCCAGCTAATTTTTGTATTTTTAGTAGAGACGAGGTTTCACCATGTTGGCCAGGATGGTCTCCATCTCTTGACCTCATGATCTGCCCGCCTTGGCCTACCAGAGTGCTGGGATTATAGGTGTGAGCCACTGTACCCAGCCAACACACACAAAAATTTTAGTAAGAGTAGAATTCCTTTACATTTTTGCAAATGTCTTTAACATCTGATCTAATAACAGACAGTTGGATTTTCATATCTGCTTCAGTATTCAGTTTGTTGCAATATGTTGTTTTCGTTGAAGTTTGTGAAGAAAATTCAGCCTCATAGTTGTATAGTTTGAAGGGAGGAGTTTGTTTTGTTTTGTTTTGTTTTGTTTTAAGACAGAGTCTGGCTCTGTAGCCCAGGCTGGAGTGCAGTGGCGCGATCTCAACCTCGGCTCACTGCAAGCTCCGCCTCCCGGGTTCACGCCATTCTCCTGCCTCAGCCTCCTGAGTAGCTGGGACTACAGGCGCCCGCCACTGCGCCCGGCTAATTTTTTGTATTTTTAGTAGAGACGGGGTTTCACCGTGGTCTCGATATCCTGACCTCGTGATCCGCCCACCTCGGCCTCCCAAAGTGCTGGGATTACAAGCGTGAGCCACCGCGCCCGGCTGGGAGAAGTATTTCACTGAATTTTCAGATAATTGTGGATGTTCTTCTTTCCTATTACACCAAACTCAACAAGCGGAAATTTCTCGTTATTTGAAATATGAGATTTGAAACTATCTTGTTACATTAATGTACTAGTCTCAGCCAGCACAGTGGCTTATGCCTGTAATCACAGCACTTTGGGAGACTGAGGCTGGAGGGTTGTTTTGAGCCCAGGAGTTTGAGACCAGTCTGGGAAACAAAATGAGACCCCTGTCTCTACAAAAAATGAAAAAACTAGTCAGACATGGTGGCACATGCCTGTGGTCCCACGTACTCAGGTGACTTAGGTTGGAGGATTACTTGAGCCCAGGAGTTCAAGGCTGCAGTGAGCTGTGATTGCACCACTGCACTCCAGCCTGGGGTCAGAGTGAGACCCTGTCTCTAAACATAAATGAATAAATAAATAATGACATAGAAACATGTAATACTTTTTAAATCATTTTTTTTTTAGTTCTTTTTTTTTTTTCTGAAATGTAGTAATTCTGCGTAGGTAGAGCAGGCCCTTCCTCATTAGTAGAATGAGGTGGAACAGGAAGTACTGGTAATTGGAAGCTTGAATGTTGGGACATATATAGGAGTTGGTAATAGGAAGCACTTTTCTGTCATGCTTCTAAGGTGGCTGAAATTGGAAGCCCATCAAACCGATTGCTTGGGGGTAAGGTAGGTAGTAAGTTCCTCTTTCCACGTGTTGGAAAATAAATTTAAGTTTGCCCTCGATTATGTTCTCTAGATTATTACATCCTAAAGATATTAACAGTTTTGTTGAAAAAAGTACCATGATCAGATTATTTTGGGAAATAGTAGATTGCAAAAAGCAAATGGGTTTCTTTTTCTTTCTTTCTTTTTTTTTTTTTTGGAGACAGGGTCTCCCTGTGTCACTGAGGTTGGAGTGCAGTGGCATGATCATGGCTCACTGCAGCCTTGACGTCCAGGGCTCAAGCAGTCCTTCCACCTCAGCCTCCTGAGTAGCTGGGAGCACAGGCCACCATGCAAGGCTAATTTTTTTTTTTTTTTGAGACAGAGTTTTGTTCTTGTTGCCCAGGTTGGAGTGCAATGGCGTGATCTCAGCTTACCGCCAGCTCCGCCTCCTGGGTTCAAGCGATTCTCCTGCCTCAGCCTCCCGAGTAGCTGGAATTACAGGCATGCGCCACCATGCCAGGCTAATTTTTTGTATTTTTAGTAGACGCAGGGTTTCTCCATGTTAGTCGTGCTGGTCTCAAACTCCCAACCTCAGGTGATCTGCCTGCCTTGGCCTCCCAAAGTGCTGGGATTACAGGCGTGAGCTACCACGCCCGGCCACAAGGCTAATTTTTGTATTTTTTGGAGAGACAGGATGTTGCCATGTAGCTCAACTTCCACCTCCCAGGTTCAAGGGATTCTCCTGCCTCAGCCTCCTGAGCAGCTGGGATTACAAGCACTGCCACCATGCCTGGCTATATTTTGTATTTTTAGTAGAGACAGTGTTTCACCATGTTGGCCAGGCTGGTCTCAAACTCCTAACCTCAAGTTATCTGCCCGCCTCTGCTTCCCAAAGTCCTGGGATACAGGCTTGAGCTACTGTGCCCAGCATATATCTCTTTAAAAAATTGTTTTGGCCAGCATGGTGGCTTACCCCTGTATTCCCAGCACTTTGGAAAGCTGAAGTGGATGGATCGTATGAGCCCAGGAATTCGAGACCAGCTTGGGCAACAGAGTGAGACCCTGTCTTTACAAAAATTAAAAAAAAAAAAAATTAGCTGGGTGTGGTGGCATGCATCTGTAGTCCCAGCCACTCGGGACATAGCTTTTCACCTCAGCCTCATGAGTATCTTGGGACTACAGGTGTGTGCCACTGCACCTGACTAGAAAATCATTTTTAAAACTTTCTTTTCTGTTCTTCTATGACAGGCAGAATAACATACTGGTTAAGAATATGGATACCAAACTCCCTAAGTTTGAATCCTGCCTCCTTTGCTTACTAGCTGTATGACCTGGGGCAAATAGTTGACCTTTGTGCTTCAGTTTCCCCATCTGTAAAATAGAAACAGTAATACCCACTTTATATGGTTGTGCGAATATTAAAGCATTTATTCCCATAAAGCAATGAGGATGCCTGGTCTGTTCTAAGACATAATGATGTTAGCTTATTACTATATATACCTCTCATTTATTTTTCACCTGCCCGTGCCTACGATATACATCAGTGGCAGCTAAGCGATTGGACTCAGTAGTTGTAGGTAGGGTTACATCCCAGGGGTTACTGTGAAGGCAGCTTGGTAAACTCAGCTGCTTAGGGGGATTGCTGGGCAAGGTGACCAGCAGGTCTGTGTGACAAGCAAGGATATCCTTTTCTCAATCCCTGTTATCCTTGAGCCTATTAGGCAAGCAGGTCAGTACACATTTTAAAAATTCTTAGCCAAGGTAAGATCGTGGGCCGTCTGGCAGATGGAGTAATAGCTGGATTGTTGCTAGGGAAGTTAAGTGTCATTTTGAAGTTACCATCTTATTTTTAGAAGCTGCCAGATAGTGTTGCAACCTTGATTTTTCACCATGAGTCAATGTTTGGAACATTCTACCTGCTCATAAGTATCTCTTAAAGTATCTCTTAAGGGACTTTATTGCCCTTTTTATTCCAAGTTTTGAACACATAAAAAAATACATGAACACAAATACATTGAACAGATAAATGCTCTTTTTTTTTTTTTTTTTTGGAGACAGAGTTTTGCTGTTGTTGCCAGGAAAGCCACATTTCATTGTGGCTTTAGTTTGCATTTCCCTGATGACTAGTGAGGTTGAGCATTTTTTTCATATATTTTTGGCTATTTGGATATCCTCCTTTGTGAAGTACTCATTCAAGTCTCTTGCTTGTTTTTCTACTGAGTTACCTGTCTTCTAGATTGATTTGTAGAAGTTTGTTGTATATTCTGGGTATGAGTGCTTTGTCACTTATATGATTGCAAATAATTTTTCTGTGGCTTGCCTTTTACTGTCAGATACATATATATATCACAGTTTCTTTATCCACTCGTTGATTGATGGGCATTTGGGTTGGTTCCACAATTTTGCAATTGTGAATTGTGCTGCTATAAACATGCGTGTACAAGTATCTTTTTTGTATAATGACTTCTGTTCTTCTGGGTAGATACCCAGTAGTGGGATTGCTGGACCAAATGGTAGTTCTACTTTTAGTTCTTCAAGGAATCTCCACACTGTTTTTCATAGTGGCTGTACTAGTTTACATTCCCACTAGCAGTGTAGAAGTGTTCCCTGATCACCGCATCTATGCCAACATCTTATTTAGTGAGATTTTTTAAATGCCAAGCCAACATGTGGAATGAGGCACTTGACAAATAATTTTCTGTTTACTTAATTTAAAAACTACTTTATTGTTTACATATCCCAAGTGTTCTTAAAAATAGGCAAATTTATTAGAAACCAAGAAGTAAAACTGTTTAATCATTTTTCGACATCTTCAGAATATATCTCTTCATGACGAAAGTGTACAAAATCAGCAAATCTACTTCATTCAAATGCCCAAATGTATTCTTATAACCCTATATGTCAATTTGGGAAATGTGAGCTCTTTGAGTGATCCACATTAAAATCTCGTAGTAGTTCTAGCAAACTTGTAAAAATCTTAGTGAAGGTACTCTAGAACCAAAACAACTAGTTTTTATATACAGGAAGGAAAAATCAGGAAAATCTTCTGTCTTCATGGTAATGAATTCCTATGTTATAGCAATTATAGGTTCTCTCAACTCTGCCTTCCTTAGAAAGAAATCAGAAAAAGTTGAAAATGAAAAAAAAAATTCATGAGACGTCATCAAGCTATAATCTAATCACCATTTTGTGTTATCATATGAGGTTTCTTGATTATTTTCAGTGGTGAATGTCACTTGTGCCTTCTTTCCCCACTAGTGTGCGCTTGCTGCTGATGAAGTAGTATTTAATCAGAAGGAACTGGAGGTGAAGGAACTGAAGAATCAAGTGCAGATGATGGTACAGGAAAACAAAGGGCATGCGGTATCTTTGAAAGAAGCGCAAAAAGTGAATAGATTGCAGGTAGAGTTTCTTAATGCATCTAACTCTGTATAGTTTCTTGAAGTAGTACCTAATTAAACACAGTAGCATTTTAAATGATAAATGGGAACTTAGAAAGAGGATGTTCATTTGAAGAGTTCTGAACGTAGGCACCTGAAAGAATTATTAGTTTTTCCCTTAAATCTGCTTAAATGGAAACATTTTTATTGTTAGCTTGACTTGGTTTTAGAAATATAAAGATAATACCCAGGAAATTAATTTATAAATCATATCATGGTTATTTTTTCCATACTTTTCCCTCCTGTTGTTTGCCAAGGTATTAGGAAATGCAATATTGTTAGGAGTTGGAAGGTAAATACATAATTTAAACTTTGAAATGTATTAAATTATCCTCTTACACCTCGTGAGTGATTTGCTTTTTAACTTTGGTTAAACATCTTTCAAATTTTCTATCTTAACTTTCCTATTATATTAACATGGATATGTCTACAGTATAACATAGCATGCCTCTAAATATTATTGTACTCCCTGGCTGTGACTTCTCCCATCACCCCAAATAGTTAATATCATTTAAAGCCTTTAGCTTCCTATGAGGGAAAAACTAATGCCCAGAGAAATAATCTAATCTAGCACACATCAGATTTTGATTTTCACGTTGTTTGATTTTTGTTTTCTTTTTTAACCCTTCTAATTGTATTTTGTTGTTGTTTGTTGTTGTTGTTTTGAGACAGGATCTCATTCTGTTGCTCAGGCTGGTGTGCACTGGCATAATCACAGCTCACTGCAGCCTCGACCTCCCGGGCTGAAGTGATCCTCCCACCTCAGCCTCCTAAGTAGCTGCAACCACAGGTGCATGCCACCATGCCCAGCTAATTTTCTGATTTTTTTGTGGAGATGGGGTCTCACTGTGTTGCTCAAGCTGGTCTCGAACTCCTGGGCTCAGTGATCGTACCACCTCAGCTTCCCAAAGTGCTGAGATTGATTGCAGGCATGAGTCACCATGCCTGGCCCTAATTGTATAATAATTTAAAAACATAAAACTAAAGTATATACAAAACAATACGTATTAATCAGTGATTTATCACAAAGAGAACAGCTGGGTAACCACCACCAGGTCAAGAAATTGCTAACTGCCAGCACCTCAAAATTCTTAGTGCCTCTTCCTCAAAGGCAACCACTCTCTTGACTTCCATGGTAATCATTTCTTTGCTTTTCTTACGGTTTTACTATCTAAATATGTATCCTTCAACACTCCAGTTTAGGTTTTGGAATTTTTATTAATTTATTCAGTATAGCTTATTCAGTATCTGGCTGCTTTGTTGAACATTATTATGATTCATCCACTTTTTAATTGTAATATTTTTTCTGTAAATTCTAATATTTTATCTGTAATGTGTGGCTGTGGTTTGTTTAGTTTTATAGCTACATAGGATTTTATTGTATGACTATACCACAATTTATTTTCTGTTCTACTGTTTGATGGACATTTGTGGTTTTCTGTGAAATTTTCTTGTGAATTTTCAGTGTCTCTCAGTGCACATGCACATACATTTCTTGGAGATTTGTGCCTAGGAGTTGAATTGCTAGGCCATAGGATAGGTGTATCTTCAACTTTTGTAGGTGATACCAGATTGTTTTCCATTTTACACTCCCACCCAGCACTATGTGAGCATTCCCACTGTTCCATATGCTTCTCAACATTTGTTATTAATTTTTAAATCTCAGCCAATCTGGTAGGTATGTAGTATTTTATTGTGGCTTTAGTTTGCATTTCCTGATGACTAGTGAGGTTGAGCATTTTATTCATATATTTTTGGCTATTTGGATATCCTCTTTTGTGAAGTACTCATTCAAGTCTCTTGCTTGTTTTTCTACTGAGTTACCTGTCTTCTAGATTAATTTGTAGAAGTTTGTTGTATATTCTGGGTATGAGTGCTTTGTCACTTATATGATTGCAAATAATTTTTCTGTGACTTGCCTTTTACTCTCAGTGGTATCTTTGATGAAGAGTTCTTGTTGTAATCAAATTCGTCAATCTTTTTCTTTATGGTTAATGATATTTGTTCTCTATTTAATAAGTTTTTCCTTTCCCCAATTGTCTCCTCTGAGGATACTTTCTGTATTATCTTCCAGAAGCTTTATTGTTTTGCCTTCCACATTTAGCTGTATAGTCCCCCAGGAATTGATTTCTGTGTGTGGAATAAAGTAAAGATCAAATTTCATTTTTTAAACATATAGATACTCATTTGTCCTAGCATCATTTATTGGAAACCATCTTTTGGCAACTGTTTTGAGTGCTATCTTTATCATAAATCATGGTCCATTTGTGCATGAATCTCTTGTCTATTTCTTGGCCTTTTATTCTGTTGGTTGATTTGTATATCCTTGAGCCAAGATCACATTTCTTATTTATTGTAGGTTTATAATAAGTCTAGATATTTTGTAGATCAAGGCCTTCTGCTGTTCTCCTTCCCTCCCCACTCCCCAGATGTCTTGGTTGTTCCATATAAATTTTATTTGAATTTTAAAATTTTTTAAATAACTACTTTATTGAGATATAATTCACATACTATAGAATTCAGCCCTTCAAATATACAATTCAGTCATTTTTTAATGTATTTACAGAGTTGTCTAACCATCACACCGTCTAATTTTAGAATATTTTTATCACCCAAAATGAAAATATTGTATCCATTAGCAGTCACTACTCATTTTCCTCCTTTCCTCAGCCCCCGGCAAAAACCACTTTACTTTCTACTTCTATGGATTTGCCTATTCTAAACATTTCATATAACTGGAATCATACAGTAAGTGGCCTTTGTGTATGACTTCTTTCACTTAGATGAAAATGTTATTTTCATTTATTTATTTTTCATGGTCAAATAATAATTTTGTATGTTTCTGGGATACAGTGTAATGTATACATTACGGAAAGATTCAATCAAGTTGGTTAACATTAATTAATTAACATTGAATGACATTTATATATCTGTTTAGAATTAATGAACATGTTTTGATTGAGTCTCCTAATCCATAAGCATGGTATAGTTCTCTATTTACTTAGATTTCCTTTGGTTTTTCTCAGTAATGGCCTACATTTTTTTGTGCAGAAATATTGCAAATAATTTATAGATTTCTTTGTAGGTACTTGATTTTTTTTCTGTCACTATAAATAGAATCTTTAAAAATTTTTATTTTTCAAATTCCCTAATTGTTGGTATGTGGAACTGTACTAATTTTTAGATATTAATACCTTATATATCCAGCAACCTGACTAAACTCAGTTTTTGATCAGGAGTGCCTACAGTTACCATCAGGTGGGGAACCTTCAAAATTCCCAAGATAAATGGAAAGGATCCAAACATTTTGGAAGTAATTTCTTCTTTTTTTTTTTTTGAGACGGAGTCTCACTGTGTCACCCAGGATGGAGTGCAGTGGCACAGTCTCCGCTCACTACAACCTCTGCCTCCCGGACTCAAGCGATTCTCCTGCTTCAGTTTCCTGCGTAGCTGGGATTACAGGCACCTGCCACGACGCCTGGCTATAAACTTGCTTTTTTTTTTTTTTTTGAGACAGAGTTCTACTCTGTCACCCAGGCTGGAGTGCAGTGGCATGATCTCGGCTCACTGCAACCTCTGCCTCCTGGGTTCAAGTGCTTCTCCTGCCTCAGCCTCCCGAGTAGCTGGGATTACAGGCATGCACCACCATGCCCAGCTAATTTTTTTTGTATTTTTAGTAGAGACAGGGTTTCAACCATGTCAGTCAGTCTGGTCTTGAACTCCTGACCTCAAATGATCTACCTACCTTGGCCTCCCAAAGTGCTGGGATTACAGGCGTTAGCCACCGCACCCGGCCTATACTTGCTTTTTAATCCTAAATCTGTAAATTCTTTTGGATTTTCATTTATAATTATGTCATCTGCAAATAATAAAAGTTTCATTTCTTCCTTTATAATCCTTTCACCTTCTGTATCTTTTTCTTCTTCTGTATCTTCTATATTGTATACTTTAAATAGTTGGTTTCTATAGTATGTGAATTTTGTCTCAATAAAATTGTTATAAAAATACCTTCCTGTATTTGCTGGGATCTCCAATGCAGTGTTGAATACAAGTGGTGATAGAAGGCATCCTTGTCTTGGCCGGGCCCCGTGGCTCACGCCTGTAATCCCAGCACTTTGGGAGGCTGAGGTGGGCGGATCATGAGGTCAGGAGTCGAGACCATCCTGGCTAACAGGGTGAAAACCCCATCCTGGCTAACAGGGTGAAAACCCATCTCTACTAAAAAATACAAAAAAAATTAGCCGGGCGTTGTGGCAGGCACCTGTAGTCCCAGCTGCTCGGGAGGCTAAGGCAGGAGAATGGCGTGAACCCAGGAGGCGGAGCTTGCAGTGAGCTGAGATTGCGCCACTGCACTCTAGCCTGGGCGACAGAGCAAGACTCAAAAAAAAAAAAAGGCATCCTTGTCTTGTTTCCAATGATAGAGGAAAAGCTCAGACTTTCACTCTGAAGTATTATATTTTCTATAGGTATTTTTAATTTACCGTTTCCCAAACTAAGAAAATTACTGAGAATTTTTATTATGAATGGATATTGATTTTTATCAAATGGTTTTTCTTTATCATATGATTTTTCTTCCTTATTCTGCTAATATGGTGAATTACACTGATTGATCTGATTTTTAACCAATCTTTTATTCCTGGAATAAACCCTTTTTGTTGTTGATATTGTGATGTACTGTTGTATTGGAGGTTCCCCAAAACCACCCTCACATTGGATGACGTACTAGGAGAACTCAATATATATTCATTCTCCTGGCTAGGATTTATTACAGTGAAAAAATGCAGAGCAAGATCAGCAAAGGAAAAAGACACATGGAACAAAGTCTGGAGGAAACCAGGCACAAACTTCTAAGACTTGTCTCTCAGCAGAGTCACAGAGGATGTGCTTAATCCCCCAGCAATGAGTGGTGACAACACCTATAAAATGTTATCTGCCAGGGAAACTAAGTAGACTTGGTGCCTATGGGTTATATTGAGGATGGATGGGTCGTGAAGGCACCCTTTGCCTAGCATGACCCAAAGTCCCAGACTACCTGAAGGAAAGCAGGAGTACAGCATAAACCACATTGATTGTGCAAATAGTTGAGCACAGTGAGTCAGTATTACCAGAGCGTTTAGGAACACTCCCAAAATCCAAGTTCTCAGACATCTGACAACCTCATAGCAGGTCTTCTAAAAGATAGCAGTCGGGTCTGCTATGTTAACTCTTCTGTACGATTGACCTAGATTTTGTTTGCTAGTGTGATGTTTATATTTGTCAGTGAGCTTGTCCTATATTTTTCTTTCTCATAATATTCTTGTCAGATATTATAACAAGTTATGCTGGCCTCATAATATGGATTATTTAATGTCCCCCTATACCTGGAAGGGTGTGTGAAAAATTGGTATTATTTCTTTCTTTTTTTTTTTTTTTTTTTTTTTTTGAGACGGAGTCTCGCTCTGTCACCCAGGCTGGAGTGCAGTGGCCGGATTTCAGCTCACTGCAAGCTCCGCCTCCCGGGTTCACGCCATTCTCCTGCCTCAGCCTCCGGAGTAGCTGGGACTACAGGCGCCCGCCACCTCGCCCAGCTAGTTTTTTGTATTTTTTAGTAGAGACGGGGTTTCACCAGGTTAGCTATTTCTTTCTTAAATGTTTGGTTGAATTAGCCTGTGAGGCATTTGGGACTTGAAATTTTCTTTGGGGGTATGTTTTATGAATTAAATCATATTAGTATTTTCTTTTCCTCCAGTTTTGATAAGGTTTATTTTTCTAGGAATTTGACCATTGTATCTAATTTTCGAATGTATTGGCATAAGTTTGTTTATGATAGTCTTTTATTCGTTAATATCTTTAGCTGTGTAGTCACATGTCCCCTTTTTCATTCCTGATTATTTGTGCCTTCTCTCACTTTTTTTTCTTGCAGTTTCACTAGTAAAATTACCAATTCATTAGTCTCTTCAAGAGACAATTTTTGGCTTTGTTAATCCTCACTAGTGTATGTTTGTTTATTATTTCATTAGTTTGTTCACTATTTCACTAATTTCTGCCCTTTATTATTTAATTCCTTCTACTTTTGGGGTAACCTTCTGCTATCTTTTTAACATCTTTAGATGAATATTTAGTATATTAAATTTTAGCTTCTCTTCTTTGACATATGCATTTAACATTATATATTTCTTTTTTTTTTTTTTTTGAGACGGAGTCTTACTCTGTCGCCCAGGCTGGAGTGCAGTGGCCGGATCTCAGCTCACTGCAAGCTCCGCCTCCTGGGTTCACGCCGTTCTCCTGCCTCAGCCTCCCGAGTAGCTGGGACTACAGGCACCCGCCACTGCGTCCGGCTAATTTTTGTGTTTTTTAGTAGAGACAGGGTTTCATCGTGTTAGCCAGGATGGTCTCAATCTCCTGACCTTGTGATCTGCCCGTCTCAGTCTCCCAAAGTGCTGGGATTACAGGCTTGAGTCACTGCGCCTGGCCTAACATTATATATTTCTAAGTTCATCTTGACTTGCCCTCCACATTGAGCTCAAAATGTTTCCTAATTTTCATTGTGACTTTTTGTTTTTTGACTTGTGAATAACCTAGTTATTTTATTTATAGGACATATGGGATTTATTTTTGTTTTATCAATTTTTATTGCATTGTGATCAGATAACATACTATCTCTGATTTCAGTCCTTTGAATGTATTGAAACTTGCTTTTTGGCTCAGAATAAAGCAAATTTTTCTAAATGTTACAGAGGTACTTGAGAAGTATATGCATTCTGTAATCATTGGGTACTATTAATCCTATTATTCAAATCTACATTTTTTACTCACCATGGAAGTCTTTTTGTTATATCAGTAATTTATAAAGTGATGTTGAAATCTCCCACTATGACAGATCTCCACTCTGTCACCCAGGCTGGGACACAGTGGCACGATCATGAGTCCTTGCAGCCGCAACCTCCTGAGCTCAAGCAATCCCACTTCAGCCTCCTGAGTAGCTGGGACCACAGGTGCATACCACAATGCCCTGCTAATTTTTGTATTTTTTGTAGACAAGGGGTTCTTCGCCATGTCATCCAGGCTGCTCTCAAACTCTCGGGCTCAAGTGATCTACTGGCCTTGGCCTCCCAACATGCTGGGATTACAGGTGTGAACCACTGTGCCCAGCCCTACTATAATTTTGGATTTGTCTTATTTCTTCATGAAGTGCTGATAGTTTTTGCATTATAAATATTGAAGCTGTGTTATTAAGTGCATACAAATGTAGAATTGTTATACCATCCTGGTGAATTGCTCTTTTAATCCTTTTTACCTCTTCTTATCTCTTCTAATGAGTTTTGCCTTAAAGTCCACCCTGACATTACTACAGCTACACCAGCTTTCTTTTGATTAATATTTACATGGTATCTCTTTTTCTATCTTATTTTTAATCTTTCTGTGTCTATTTTAGATATGTTTCTTGTAAGCACCATATGGTTAGATAATTTTAAAATCCTTTCTGATAGTCTTTATCTTTTAATTTCATTATTTAATTCATTTATTAATTTAACATAATTATTGTTTTGGTAAAAATCCACCATTGTGCCTTTTATTTATCCTTCCTCCTCTGTGTTCCTTTTTCCCTCTTTTGAATCATTGGTTATTTTTTCCTTTTCTGTTGTTTTTCTCCACTAACTTAGAAGTTATAGTTTTACTCTTTTTTTTAGTGGTTATCCTAGAGAGTATACCGTGTACTCTAATATTAATTGGTACTTTTATCCTTTTCCCAGACAATGTAAGAACTCCATTGAATCCTTTCCAATTTATATGCCATTGATGTTGTATATTTCAATTATCTGAATATATGATTTTTAAGTAAGGTTGCATTTTTATTGCTTAGCATTTATACAATGAAAATGTAAGGGTTTTTTTTCCTATTTAAATATTGTAGTGCATGTGAAGTATTAAGATGAATGACTGTTTCTTATTTACATAAATTTGTGCTTATAAAACAAAGATTGACATTAGAGCTTTCTGGATTTGATACACTTCAAAAATTTTCTTTAGAGGATACACAAAACTAAACCACATACACACACAAACACACACACACATTCCTGATATACAATTTGTTCTGCCTTTGATTTCCAGTTTCTTCTTCCTCTCAGGACTGTCAGTTGGCTATCTTCTGTCTCTGTGCTTTTGGCTTCCTTTTTCACTGAGGCTTTCACTTCCTGTGCTTGTTACCTCCTTCTGCCTCCTTTGCTGCAAACTCTGCTGTCTACAATTCTTTCTCCACTTTTTCAACTTTTTTGTTTCTTTTTACTTCTTGGATTTCACTCAGAAAGTCCATGCTTTAATAAAAATAGCTAATCAAAGTGCTTCAGGTTGGCAAAGCAACCAGTCACAGTGGATGGGGAGTTATCTTTGAGTATTTAACTTGTTTGGCTGTGTTTGTTGCTCCTTAGTATTAAAAAGGTTTTACCACTTAGAACAATGTTAATTACTTGTGAACACCAGAAGGCTAGTCTCTGGATAAATGAGAATTGACTGTATTATTAAAATAGTTGTGATTTTGGTCAATGTAAAATTCATTTTTTTTTTTTTTGAGACGGAGTCTGACTCTGTCGCCCGGGCTGGAGTGCAGTGGCCGGATCTCAGCTCACTGCAAGCTCCGCCTCCCGGGTTTACGCCATTCTCCTGCCTCGGCCTCCCGAGTAGCTGGGACTACAGGCGCCCGCCACCTCGCCCGGCTAGTTTTTTGTATTTTTTAGTAGAGACGGGGTTTCACCGTGTTAGCCAGGATGGTCTCGATCTCCTGACCTCGTGATCCACCCGTCTCAGCCTCCCAAAGTGCTGGGATTACAGGCTTGAGCCACCGCGCCCGGCCGTAAAATTCATTTTTAATCATAATCTAAATGTACTGAAGTGCTGTATTTTAAAAATTTTCATCTCTTTTCTACAAAGAATGAAAAAATAATAGAACAACAACTTCTTGTGGATCAACTGAGTGAAGAACTAACAAAACTTAACCTGTCAGTGACTTCTTCAGCTAAAGAAAATTGTGGAGATGGGCCAGATGCCAGGATCCCTGAAAAGAGACCATATACTGTACCATTTGATACTCGTTTGGGGCATTATATTTATATCCCATCAAGACAAGATTCCAGGAAGGTAAAGTCCAAACATTAATCTTTTTCTTATTTTGAGATTAAAAAAATTTTAGCTATAATATCACAGTGTATTTGTACAGTCTCAGCAGATTTTTTTTTTGTTAGGTTTTATGGAATTTTGTGTATACCTTTTCTTTTAAGCATACTTCTTTCTAATAAAAAAACGAATAAACAAGAGAATACATAGTTACATTTGGAGGGAATAGTTGGATGGAGATAATCTCTATACCTCATCAATGTCAAAAAGGTATCCTTTGCCATGATATCTTCAGACATGACCAAGTTTAATATCTACATGAATTTATTTCTTCCTTTAACCACACAAAATTGAGATGTTAGAGGGTATTTATTTCAACTTATTTGGTCTGTCATTATTTTTGAAATAATATTTATATGTTATTCAGTCTTACCAAGTAGACATAATCAAGACAGTATAAATATCAATATGAATTTTAGTATGTGTGGTTGGTAAATATATACACACACAGTTTTAAGAATTATTAAGGAGTCTCTATTATGGAAAAGATTTAATTAGCAGATTCATAAGTTTTGGTTTAGCAGGTTCATGAATTCTGCTTTCTATTTCCTCATTTTATGAAGGGAAATGATTTGTTTACGTGAAGATCCTTCTGGTTGTTACAGTCAGAGGGATAAGAAATGAAAGGCAAGTGATATATGAGCAGTGCCATGGACTTTGCATCAGGCAACCTTGGGTTGTATGAATACTATAATAGCAGCCTTGGGTGGTGTGAATACTATAATAGCAGCCTTGGGTGGTATGAATACTATAATAGCTCTGGACATTTGGTTTTCTTTGTAAAAAGAAATTTTAAAAGGAAATTACAATCCCAGAGAATGAAGTTTCTGAACAAAAGGTTTTATTATTTGCTCCTTAAATAATTCCCACACTCTCAGAAGAGAAAACTAGATGCCTGCCAGTTATGGGATAAAATAGCCATGTCTAGTATGTTGTACTCGTTAGATCAGTACTTGTTGAGTTGGTTTTTCCTTAAATAATTCCCCTCCCTCATTTCCCACTGGGAGGCCACCTGAAAAACTTTACCCCTGTCTATCATGATGCCGATGTGACAGATGATCTAATTAGGTGACTGACAGCAGAAGCACAAAAATCAGATATAAGATGATTTTCAGAATCAGGTAGGATTTTTTAGGAGACAATTCATGACGGGGGCCTGTTGTCAAGTGATTGAATCCTAAACACCGTGTGATACTCATATTCCACTATATGTTACAATTTAACAGCTTATAATAATTTATATTGATAAATGGACTGTCTCCTCTAAGATTTTATTGCCTTTTGTGAGAAGTCATCTCGAGGAGGTTTGGTTACAGAGGTGATGAAAAGGAAATATTTTGTAATAGAAACCAGAACAAAGGTATAAAGGCAATTTCTAATTTGTTGTTGTTGTTTTCCAAGGTCTTTTTTTTTTTTTTGAGAATTTAAAGTGCATTTCCAATAGAAGAATGTTATACTATAGAAAATTCCCAGGCTAGCCATACAATTTTATTTATCCTATGACATATATTAAATATTTTTCCTAGAGCCTTAATTCAGCTATACCTAACCACCATATATAAAGAATAAGTATATACATTGTGGTATTCAAATTAGGAATATTGCCCTGGCAGAGGGAGTGGAGATGGCTCTGGGTTTCTTCCTGTGGCGGGATTTGGATTGGAGCACCACAGTTCTCCAGGTGTTCTGAACTGGGAAGATGGGGAAGCGGGCACATTTGTTGGGGTGTGTCTGTGCTGTGTTTAAGAGCTGGAATGTTTTCCATGCGTGCTTTTCGTTTCATTTTTGAATACTGTTTTCCATAAGTGAAGATAGAAGAGTTGTCCAGAAGAGGAGGAGCTGTGTATACTCTGAAAGAAGTATTTGTCTGTGAGGCACAAAGTATCGTTAAATTAATTTTGACTTTTGTTTGAGGGGAGCATTTTCCAGTGATTGGCTATTTTAAGAGTGCCAACCTAATAACTCCTTTAACAGCATCGAGAATAATAGGATAAAATTAGACTTTTAAAATATCACTTTTTTGTTGTTGGGTGGGGGAATCACTCGGAAGGTCCACACAAGTCCGCCTGTGTACTCTCTGGATCGAATATTTGCTGGGTTTCGAACACGAAGTCGGATGCTGTTGGGTCACATAGAAGAACAAGATGAGGTCCTCCACTGCCAATTTTCTGATAACAGTGATGATGAAGAATCGGAAGGCCAAGAGAAATCTGGAACTAGGTATGTTAAATATACACTAATTTAATAAATATTTAGAATTATATGCTGCAATAAATATAGAAGTGTAGGTTTTTTCCATTGGAGTATATCTTTTATGTTTAATATAACAGTAGGTAACTTTTGCTAAATGTACTATCATCTAATGTGTTATGAAAATAGTATTTGAACACAAATCATCAGTCTTATAGACTAACTGAAAAATAATTTTGCTTTTAGAGCTTTTATAATAATTAGATTCTAATTTTCAGAGGGAATTTTTTTTTTTTTTTTTTGGATTTCCTTATTCTGCTGCCACGGTGGCAGCAAACATGACTTTTCTACTGATTCAACATGGGTGGGGGGGCATCCTTTTATTTTAAGCAATATTAGTGACATTCTGTTTTTAAATGTAATTAATAATTTTTTAACATTACTGTCACTTTCTGGGAAAACTAATTTGAGGGCAGATTAGAAAACGCTAACAAATGAGTTAACTTTCTGTTTTTTTTTTTTTAGATGTAGAAGTCGTTCATGGATTCAGAAGCCAGACTCTGTTTGTTCCCTTGTTGAACTGAATGATACTCAGGATGAAACACAAAAGTCAAATTTGGAGAATGAAGGTACATAGATTTTCTTAAATAATGTAGACCTAATGGTTATAGGACACTTATCTTTTTCCTCAGTTGATAGTTTCTAAGAAACATCCAGGAATTCTCAAAGACCAGAACTTGGTACAAATGCTTTTCTGGTTGGTAGAACTTCTTTTATGTTCTCTGTTTTACCTCTTTTACTCCTTAATAAAAAAGATTTTCTATCAATTAATTATGGCTAGAGATATAGGCTTACTCCCTCAGAATAAGGATTTTTATATTCAGACTTCAGTTGATACGCTTTGTATTCCTAATGATGTTAAAGTACAGTATAAGTAATTGTACTAGGTGTCTACTCCTTCACTGGGACTTGTGCCTAACATCAATTATGTATGTGGCATTAGAGCCCAATTAGTGTACTGGGTGCTGGTAATGTTTTAGTACACAACTGCTAAGAATTTGTATGCATCAATAACAACATCAAAAACATTTACGAGCCACATATAGTAGCTTATGCCTATAATCCCAGTGCTTTGAGAGGCTGAAACGGGAGAATTGCTTAAGGCCAGGAGTTTGAGGCCAGCCTGAGCAACATAGTGAGATCGTCTCTCTACAGAAAATTAGCTGAGCGTGGTAGTGCGTACCTACTCAGGAGGGAGGCTGAGGTGGGAGAATCGCTTGAGCCCAGGAGTTCGAGGCTATTGTGAGCCGAGATCACACCGCTGCACTCTAGGCAACAGAGCAAGACCCTACCTCAAAAAAAAAAAAAAATCACCTATAGTTTTCACAACTTTTTTTTTTTTTTAGATGGAGTCTCTCTCTGTCACCCAGGCTGGAGTGCAGTGGTGTGGTGTCGGCTCACTGCAGCCTCCGCCTCCCAGGTTCAAGCGATTCTCCTGCCTCAGCCTCCCAAGTAGCTGGGACTACAGGTGTGTGCCGCCACACCCAGTTAATTTTTGTGTTTTTAGTAGAGATGGGGTTTCACTGTGTTGGCCAGGCTGGCCTCAAACTTCTGACCTTGTGATCTGCACACCTTGACCTCCCAAAGTGCTGGGATTACAGGCATGAGCCACTGTGCCCAGCTGGTAGTAGTAGATTTTATTAACTCATCTCTCTTGGTCAATGTGTGATTGACCCACAAAAAATAAGGGAATTGGGAATATAAATAACGTAAGTGCTACACTTTGAAAATGTAGAGCATCTCTTTAAGAACCTATACGTGGCTTTATGAGCCAAAAATTTAAGTATAACTAAAATAAATATAAAAATGTGGAAATAATAAAGGTAAATGCTACTCAAGCAGCCATGCTTGAGCTGTTTGTTACTGCTCTGCAACCAGGAAAAAAACTTATGTTGGAATGTAAATGAGCTTACATTAGTTTCTTCCTTGAGAAAGTCTGGCTATGAAAAAAATGTCACCTGAACTACAGCAGTATACCTAGTGACATAGTTGATTTACATTCTGGTGCAGGCAGTAACAAACAGTGCTAGACCACACTCTGAGTAGCCTGGTATAGTCTGCATTCTCCAATTACAATAAAAGTAGAAGTTGATAGGAAACAAATTCACCCCTCTATCCATCTGGAAATTTTACACCTGTCTCAAATAACTCATGTTAAAGGCAGTGAGAAACTGTGTGTCTGAACCTATGGAATATTATGAAAGAATATATACATATATATATTAGTTTGTAAGAAAATAAAAACTCTTACTATAAGCTGTAATGCTAGAGTCCCAATTGCTGTGTATTTTTTCCCCTTTTTCCTTCCCTTCTTTTTTGTCTCTTCCACTGCCACCTCTAAATTGCTTTTGTGTCTGCTTTTCTTTTTTTAACTCTACTTCTGTTGAATATTTTACCAGCAGATAGTTTTATTTCTGTGTTTTTTTTTTTTAAGATTTAAAGATTGATTATCTCCAGGAGAGTCAAGAATTGAATTTGCAAAAATTAAAGAATTCAGAACGCATACTTACTGAAGCTAAACAAAAAATGAGAGAACTTACAATTAACATCAAGATGAAGGAAGATCTGATTAAAGAATTAATAAAAACAGGTAATAGTATCTTGTGAACCAGCTTATATGGGAAAGAAAACTTCTAAAATTGCTTCTGATGTGTAACAGTTACTTTAGTTTTTGAAGCTCAGATCTATCCACTTAGCTTGGATTGGTGTAAGAAGGTGAGTTTTTAGGCCAATGTGTGGAGGTTAGTTATCAAAAGAATTTTGTTCTTTTGGGATTTCACCTCTGAATTGTTCTAACCAGTGTGAACTCTGCATTGTGCTGAAATTCTGTGGCACTTAATGTGCCAATGACAACATGTTCATTTTTTTGAGACAGGGTCTTGCTCTGTCACCTAGGCTGGAGTGCAGTGGTGCAGTCATGACTCACTGCAGCCTTGACCTCTGGGGCTCAACCAGTCCTCCTGCCTCAGCCTCCCAAGTAGCTGGGACTACAGGCATGTGGCACCATGCCCAGTACGCACCAGTAGTTTTATAAAATTTTTTTTGCAGTGTATTAGAATTGATAAAATATAGTATAGATGTCCTGTTGTTATTAGTTGGCAGAAGCAGCTGCTATTCAAGAGAAGTCTTCAGTGAGAGGGCATTGAAAAGTAAGCACTCACTGACACTTTTGATAGTCACCATCTCTGAGGATTTTTAGGAAAGCTCCAAATTGCCCTTGGTTCTAATGAGCAAGAAAAGGGTCTTCTCTGTGTAAGCTCTGGTATCCTCTATTTTAATGCAACCACATTGGGTATACCAGGCTACAAAAACATGCTTGTTTAGTGAGATACATAGTAAGATAACCTTTCTGAAAGAAAGTCGTTGATTCTAGTGGGTAAATATCCTCAACTTCCACAGGCAGTACCCTGATTCTAGATCAGCTCCTAGGTACTCCTAAGAGGGGTCAACTGGGGTTTGATCCTGCCTGTGAGGAAGCAGCATGGTCAACCTAATTTAAACATCTGGGTAACTGGAGCTAGAATGATGCATAGCACACATGTCACTAGGAATGAGATAGGAGAAAGCTTTGGGAAAGTAGCTAAGCAGAGGATGCTTCTTAAAAAATGTCAAAAAAAAAAAAAAAACAAACCAAAACACAAAAAACTTAATGCCCTTAATGCTCTCTCACTGAAGATTTCTCTTGAATAGCAGCTACTTCTGCCAACTCAGTAGTTGGCAGTAAGTAATAACAGGACATCTATACTATATTTTATCAAGTCTAATACACTGCAAAAAAATTTTATAAAAACTACAGGTGCGTACTGGGCTTGGTGGCACATGCCTGTAGTTGCAGCTACTTGGGAGGCTGAGGTAGGAGGACTGGTTGAGCCCCAGAGGTCAAGGCTGCAGTGAGTCATGATTGCACCACTGCACCCCAGCCTAGGTGACAGAGCAAGACCCCGTCTCAAAAAAATAAAATAAACATGTTGTAATTGGCACTGTATTTTTTTAGTGGTTCATAAAATATTGGTGTGTTGAACAATTAATGAATAGTCCAAAATGATTTGTTAAAATATAGTAGTTGTATGTATTTTAAAGTTAGTCAAGTAATCGTAAATTAGAGTCAGAGGACAGTTCACAATGCATTTAGTCAAATAACTTTTATCAAAAAATGATGAGTATTTTTGGATAGCAGTATAACCAGCTATATAAATAGTATAATAGGCTGGGTATAGTGGTTCACGCCTGTAATCCCAGCACTTTGGGAGGCCGAGGTGGGCGGATCATTTGAGATCAGGAGTTCGAGACCAACCTGGCCAACATGGTGAAACCCTGTCTCTACTAAAAATACAAAAATTAGCTGGGCATGGTGGCATGTGCCTATAGTCCCAGCTACTTGGGAGGCAGGAGAATTGCTGGAAGCCAGGAGGCGGAGGTGGCAGTGAGAGGAGATTGCACCACTGCACTCTAGCCTGGGTGACAGAGCGAGACTCTTTCTAAATAAATATATAGTGTAATTAACTGTCTCTGGTGATTATTCATCCCCTGAGCTTTAGACTCCTATTTTTTACTGCCACGAGTTTGCCAGTCTAGTTCAGGGACAGTTGCCTATTCAGAGCAAATCAAAACCAAGCTTTTAGGGTCACTAGCTGGACTTAGAATAAAAAGAGATATAGAAATATCTGTATTCTATTTTTTCTGTTGTATATATTAATAAGAAAAGAATGTAAAAGGAATTAATATTGAATAAGTTGAGGTTAGTGAAAAAGGAGAGTCAGCTTTGGATGAAAAGATTCTTAAGAGATATAACAATCAAATGTATTGTGGACTTTGTTTAGATCCTGGTTAAACCAATTGTGAAATACATTTTGAGACAATTGGGAAAGTCTGAATATGGGCTGATTGGTATTAATATTGTTAGTGTGATAATGACTTTTTGGTTATGTCCATATTTTGTATGAATGCTGATTGCAGTATGTATAAGTAAAAGGAATTTAACAAAATGAAGTATGTATAGGTTAGATGAAATGACATCTGGGATTGCTTTATAATATGTAAGCAAAGTAAAACAAAAGGCATATTTGAAGCAGCTGTGACAAAATCTTGATAACTTTTAAATCTGGATGATGGGGATTCATTTTATTATTTCTTTTGTTATATTTAAAAATTTTCATAGTAATTTAAAAAAGGAATTCAAGGAGACAGATTATTGGTAGCAGGAGGCTGGAGTATACTAAGCAAGAGGACAGTCACTCCAAATATCCTTCTTAACTGAGTTTGATGCCAGCAAAGCTCAACTACAAATTCAGAGGACCAGAAATGTCACTCTAAACGCCAAAGATTGAACCAGTGAGACTGGCCGCAGATGGAAACAATCATTAAGGAATTAATCATTAAGAGGCCTGATGGCAAGCTGTGTTTGATGGGGGTGGGTGGGGACAACTGGGTTTTTAATGCTATGCCTTAAATAATATCACTGCCTGGCTGGATTTTAGAGTAGAGTATTTTTATGTTTTTGATGTTTAACTTCTTTTTACATAATTTATACTAATAATTATTATTATTATGGTTAAGGTAACGATGCCAAGTCTGTAAGCAAGCAGTATTCTTTGAAAGTAACAAAGCTAGAGCATGACGCAGAACAGGCAAAAGTCGAACTAACTGAAACACAAAAGCAGCTACAGGAACTGGAAAACAAAGATCTTTCTGATGTTGCAATGAAGGTAAAATTACAGAAAGAGTTCCGTAAAAAGATGGATGCTGCAAAGCTGAGAGTTCAGGTAATTTAAAAAATGTAATTGAGAAAACTTATTTAAGCTTTCTTGCTTCTGAGGGTTCTTATACTGAGTTGGGAAAGAAGTGGGATTCAGTTTATACCAGCAAGAGAAACTGGGTGTCAACTTTTCTAGTGTGCTGGTCGATTTACATATTTTATAATCTGGGTAGTATATTTCTTCATTCAAGAAGTATATTCTTTCAATCTTCATATCAAAAAACCACATGGTAAGAAATAAAGATAACCACAAAATAGTGTTTTTTTCCTGAAGGACAAAGGATTAAATAATGGTTAAATAATACAAATAAAACAGCTGGTACATATATGACACTTTGTAGACACTCAACAATTGAGAACTATTTCGAGATATGGTTTTCTGAAACCATAACTGATTGGCTTAAGAAGGCTTAATAACTTTGTGTACTGTGACTCATCCTTAACTTCCTAATGCCTGGTTTTAGCTTTAACTTTAGAAATAGCTACAGTTAAACATTCTATTCTGTGAGAAATATTCCATCACATAGAGATTTTGTGTGAAGAAGCCATTTCCAGGTGCTTTGGAGATAGTCACAGTGCTTTGTTAGTCTGATCATAATGAACTTTCTAGGATGCCTCCTCTATTTCTTTACCTCTCATGATCTACTGCTTTCGTGTTATATTTATATTTTTCCATTATAGGTAGAGTTGTAATTAATCTATTCACAGCATTATTATTATTGCTGAACTATGCCACAGTTATTTGCTTTCAACAAAATAGGTGTTTACAATATACCTCTGGTGTGCCTGGTATATTGTAATATACCGGGATATTCTCATGTGACAGGCCAGAAAAGTCCCTCCTGGGGTTTCTAATGCCACCTCAAACATCTGGATATTTCCACTAAAAGTTGTTACCTAAATAGCTTCTCAAGTCAACATCAAGTTAAAATAATATGACTTGAATGTTTGAACTGCTTAAAGGAGGACATACGGTGGTTATCTATGTCACACCTTCCATTTTCCTTCAGAATAGTTATTTCTACTTTGGAATTCACCTTTCCATGCTTTGCTTCCGGCTGTATATCCTTTTCTGCTAAGAGTACTGATAAGGAAAGGAAATGAAAGGTGTAGAACTTTACCTCAAAAGAAACATCTGATACAGCAGAGGACAGAAACAAGACATAGTTTTAGAAATTTTGTACCTTTGACATATCCATGCACTACTCATGGGGATAAGGAGGATACATACCAAATGGTTTATATGCATTATTTAATCCTTTGAAGTGGGCATTTTTAGTCATTTTACAAATGTGGAAACAAAGGTTTAGAAAGGCAAAATAACTCAGTCAGAGTCCCATAGTGGTGATGACAATACCAGTTTTCAGTACTCTTAACATATCATACTGGCATATATCTCAGCCCACTGCAACTGCCTCCTCCCAGACTCAAATGATCCTCTTGCCTCAGGCTCTCAAATAGCTGGGACTACAGGTGTCCACCACCATGCCCGCAACTTTTTTTATTTTTAGTAGAGACGGGTTTCACCACGTTGGCCAGGCTAGTCTCAAACTCCTGACCTCAAGTGATCTGCCTGTCTCGGCCTCCAAAAGTGCTGGGCTTACAGGTGTGAGTCACCGCACCCAGCCATATCATGCTGTTTTAAAATACTGAAATACTAATATTTTTATTGGTATAAAAAAGTTGTTTCAATTTTTAAAACAACATTTTTAAATTAAGGACTTCAAAAACCTGTGTTTTTAATGGCTTTAGGTATATGTAGAGCATTACGTGCTGCATTAATAGTTTAATGCTGACAGATGCACTTTTGAGCAACTATGGAATAAGTGCAAAAGACAATGGCAACAGTATCTCACTCTTAAGACTTTCAGGATTTACACTGATATTTTTATTATTATGTGAAAAAGACACTAAAATGCTGGTATTATAATTTTTGCTGCAGTATTGTAATTACTGTCAATTGTAAGTGGCAAAGCCAGTGTCCAGATTTAGGTACTGGAAACGGCAAAGGCCTGTGGCCTCCAAGCCAGTGGTACCCAAAGTAGTTCATCTGCAGATTGTTCTTCTTCTGCGATGAGATAAATGTCAATCATTGCACAGCTTTCTTGATCAAAAAAGTCTTGCATGAAAACATCAATCGAATCTAATAGTATGCTGAGGGGTGCAAATTGACAACAATGTGAACTAGCACTGGTCAACAGATCACATTTTGAGTAGCACTGCTCTAAGCAGCAATGCCTCTTGGATACTTAGTTTAATTAAAACAAAACTTGCCTATGCTAACACTTTATTGCCAAGATAAAGGAAATAATTTAATTGTGGTTTGCATAATTTATGAATGACATCCCTTTACCTTTTTTATACCACCTAATTGGTACTTAGTGCAATGCTAATCACATAATACAAGTCTAATATATGTTTGGTCAGGACTAAATTGTAACACAAGTAGTTTATATTAGTGGTGTGAGCACTTTGAAAGTCTAATCTATCTATACGTAATTTTAGTTAGATGAGAAGGAATTTAAGATAAATGTTAAAATAGTAATTATAATGGTTGGTCACTCTCAGGGAAGATATTATCAGCTCTGATCATCCTAACTCAGGGATTAACGATTTAGGCTATAGCTGTAGCTATAAAAATAACAGCACAGTGGAATGCTAGGCAGCCACCCAGAACAAATCTATATGAAAAGATCCCTGAGATAAGTAGGAAAAAAGGGAGACAGTAGTCTATATAGAATATATATGAAGCTATTTGCATGCATATGCATACTTTTTTCCTGGAAGAATATTTAACAAATTGGTAATTTTGCATTGGGAAGCAGGACAGGTAGATTAGGGGTGTATAAGAGTGACTCTTTTAAAATATAAATTCAGTTTTATAATGTTTTAACTATTTTTTAAATTAAAATACTTATTAATAAAAAGCAAATCATCTGTTTCATTTTGTTTGTTGTCCACATCAGGAAGTCTCATCATTCTTTATACTTTTACATATGTGATGAAAATTATGATGGTTTCCCTAATTGCAAAAATGGAAATGTATGAGAGTAAGCGGTTGTTTGTGAACCTGTCAAAAATAAATGAAAATCTAGGGAAAATTTCTTCCTTTACCATCAAATGAAAAGATTAAATTTAGTTGAGGAATGTGAGAGATTCAGTTTTTCATTTTGAAATATTCCATATGATCTCAGGTCTTACAGAAGAAGCAACAAGATAGTAAGAAACTGGCATCACTGTCAATCCAAAATGAGAAACGCGCTAATGAACTAGAGCAGAGTGTAGATCACATGAAGTATCAAAAGATACAGCTACAAAGAAAACTTCGAGAAGAAAATGAAAAAAGGAAGCAACTGGATGCAGTAATTAAGCGGGACCAGCAAAAAATCAAAGTAATATTGTCATACATTCCTGCTAAGTATAATATGAAATGTTAAACGACTCAGAGCTAACGAAACCATGGTCTTCATTCAGTTGGCTTGTGAAGTATCTACCCTTGACCTGTTCTTTACTGCTGTCCTTATTCACTTTAAAGCTTTGTTCAGCTACATAGTAAAACCTATTTATTGAATTCTGAGTACTGTCTTGAAGGCTTTGACTTCACAAAAGAAGGTACAATGGTAATTTCTCTTAGTAGGATCTTAACTTTAATTGAAGCTGTCAAAAACATACATTTATAAAGCCAACTTTCTAAATAATACCTACCATTTGAATAGGATTTTCTGTTTTCAAAGTGCTTTGACATGCATTGTCTATGTGGCTACATAGAAAAAGTACCAGGTAAAGTGGTACCATTTCATTCACAGTGAGCAGAAAAATGATCAGATCTGTATGCACAGCAGTTTTAGAATAGATTGGGCTGGGGAGGAACTTAAGTGGTGTCAGCCTAGGCTCTTGGACCAGGCTATCATGGGTTCAAATCCTAGCTCACTCAGTAGCTCGCTCAGTTGCTGGCTGAGAGATTTATTGAGAAAGTAAATTTTCTCAAATTTCTCAAAAATTTTACCCTCTCTGTTTATTCTTATCTAAAATGGCCTTAATCCTACTTGTCCCACAGGGCTTTTTTGAAAAAGATGATGATGATCATAGTAACAGACACTTATCTAGCACTATGTGCCAGGCTCTGTTCCGTTGAAATGTTAAGCTGAACCCAGGGCGTGGGACATAATTGGAGATTTCCTAGATATTTTAAAAATTAAGGTTTTATTTTTTTTAGAGCAGTTTTAGGTTCACAGCAAAATTGAAAGGAAGGTACAGAGATACGCCACATACTCCCTGTCCCTGCACATGTTTAGCCTCTCCCATTATCAGTATGCCCCAGATTTCCTAGATTTTCAACAATGGATATAACCTATTTTCCAACCTTAAAAAAAAAATCATAGAATTCAGCAATGGAAGGGACCTTAAAGAACATTTAAACCAAGTTACTCATTATTTATTATTAATTTTTAAGTTGTGGTAAAATATATATAACATAAATTTTACCGCTTTAACTTTTTTTTTTCTTTTTTTTGAGATGGAGTTTCACTCTTGTTGCCCAGGCTGAAGTGCAATTGTGTGATCTTGGCTCAACGCAGCCTCTGCCTCCCAGGTTCAAGTGATTCTCCTGCCTCAGTCTCCTGAGTAGTTGGGATTACAGGCGTGCGCCACCATGCCCGGCTAATTTTGTATTTTTAGTAGAGACGGGGTTTCTCTACCAGTTCAGGCTGGTCTTGAACTCCCGACCTCAGGTGATTTGCCCGCCTCAGCCTCCCAAAGTGCTGGGATTACAGGCGTGAGCCACCATGCCAGGCCCATTTTAACTATTTTTAAGTGTATAATTCAGTGGCATTAATTACATTCACAATCTTGTGCAACCATCCCCACTATTTATTTCCAAAACATTTTCTTCACCCTAGACAGATACTCTGTAACTATTATGGAATAGCAGCTCCTCATTTTCCCCTTCCCCCAGCCCCTGGTAATCTCTAATCTACTTTCTCTATGAATTTGCTTATTCTAGATACTGCATATAAGTAGAATTATATAATATTTTACCTTCTGTGTCAGGCTCATTTCCCTTAGATAATATTTTCAAGGTTTGTCTACATTGCAGCATGTACAAGAACTTCATTCCCTTTTGTTGCCAAATAATATTCCATTGTATGGATATGCTACAGTTTCTTTATCAATTCTTCCATCAGTGGACACTTGAGTTGTTTCTACCATTTGGTTATTGTGAATAATGTTGCAACGAACACTGGCATACAAGTAAGTCTCTGTTTTCAATTCCTTTGGGTATGTACCTAGGAGTATGTACCTAGGAGTAGAATTTCTGGGTTATATGGTAAATCTGTGCTTAGCTTTTTGAGAAACCACTGTTCTCCAAAGCAGCAGCACCATTTTACATTTCCACCAGCAATGTGTGAATGTTCTAATTTCTCTACACTTTTGTCAGCACCTGTTTTCTTTCTTTTTATTATAGTCATCCAAGTAGGTATGAAGTTGTATCTCATTGTGGTTTTGGTTTGCATTTCCCTAATGACTAATGATGTTGAGCATCTTTTCGTGTGCTTATTGGCTGTTCATATATCTTCTTTGGAGAAATGTCTGTTCAAGTTCTTTGTCCACATTTTAATTTGGTTCTTTGTCTTTGTTGTTGAGTTGTATGAGTTCTTTATATATTCTTGACATTAAATCCTATCAGATACATGATTTCCAAATATTTTTTCCTATTCTGTAGGTTTTCTTTATACTTTGATAATATCCTTTGATATGCAAAAATTTTTAGTTTCGTTGAAGTCCGATTTATCTATTTTTTTTCTTTCGTTGCCTGTGCTTTTTGGTGTCATGTCTAAAAATCCATTGCCTAAATCCAAGGTCAAGAAGATTTACCCCTATGTTTTCTGCTAAGAGTTTTATGGTTTTTGCTTTTATATTTAGGTCATTGGTCCATTTGGGGTCAGTTTTTGTATATGGTGTGAAGTAGTGGTCCAGATTTATTCTTTTGCATGTGGAACTCCAGTTGTACCAGTACCATCTGTTGAAGAGACTGTTCTTTCCTCCACTGAATGGATTTGGCACCCTTATCAAAAATCATTTGGAGGGGGAAATAGAGAAATGGGGAGATGTTGGTCAAGTGGTGCAAAGTTGCAGTTGTGTAGAATAAATAAATCTAGAGAGTTAATGTGCAGCATGATGACTATTGTATACTGGAAATTTGCTAAGAGAGTGGATTTCAGGTACTCTTACCACACACACACACACACACACACACACACACACACACAAATGCTAACTATATGAACAGATAAATATGTTAGCTTGACTAATCATTTCACTATGTATATCAAAATATCATGTTGTATACCTTACATATGTACAGTTTTGTTTTTTTGAGACAGGGTCTCTGTCACCCAGGCTGAAGTGCAGTGGCATGATCATAGCCCACTGCAGCCTCCAATTCCTGGGCTCAAGTGATCCCCCTGCCTTAGCCTCCTAAGCAGTTGGGACTACAGATGTGCACCACCACACCTGGCTAATTTTTTTTTTTCTACTTTTTGTAGAGAGTGTCTTGCTGTATTTCCCAGGCTGGTCTTGAACTCCTGGCTTCAAGTGATCCTCCGGTCTTGGCCTCTCAAAGTGTTGGGATTACAGGCCTGAGCCACCATGCTTGGCCCCAATTTTTATTAAAAAAAAAAAAAAAAATCAACTGGCCATAGATGTATGGTTACTAGACTCTCAGTTCTATTCCATAGGTCTATATGTCTATCCTCATGCTAGTATCACACTATTTTGATTACTGTAGCTTTGTATTAAGTCTTGAAATCGGGAAGTAAGTCCTTCCACCTTGCTCTTCTTTTTCAAGATTATTTTGGCTATTTAGGGCCCCTACAATTTTCCATGTGAATTTGAGGATGGGCTTTTCCATTTCTGCAAAAAAGACCATTGGAATTTTGATAGAGATTGTTGAATCTCTAGATTGCACTGAGTAGTACTGACATCTTGACAATATTAAATTTTCTTATCCACAAGCATGGGAAGTCTTTCCATTTTTTAGGTCTTCATTAATTTCTTTCAGCAATGTCTTCTAATTTTTAGTGTACTAGTAGTATTTTACCTCTTTACTTAAACTTGTTCCTAGATGCTCTTTTAGATGCTATTATAAATGGAATTGCTTTTTAAATTTCCTTGACACTGTGAGACAACCCAGTGAAGAGTATGAGTTTAATTACAGCCATGGAAAAGTATTCTATACTCACCTAGGATGGAGTATAGAAGTTAAGGGGGCAAAAATCAGAGCCATGAGGAACTCCCATATTTAAAAGAACTGGTAATAATGAAGTTCATAATAATGGTAATAATAATAATTATAGCAGTAGTTAACATTTATTGAGATTTATATTCAAGCAATACTGTGCTAAGCATGTATGTGTCATCTTTTATCCTTTTTTCTTATTTTCAACTTTTTTTTTCTTCTGGATTTGTCTTTAAATATCTTAGTTTTTTTCATCCTAAAATTATCCTCCTTCAACCTTTTTCCCTTCCCTTTCTTACCTCCCCTTTGTAAGCAAACTTCTTGGAAAAGTTGACTGCATTTCTTTCTGTTACTTCTGCTTTCATTCATTCTCTTATCCTCTCCAGATGGCTTCTGGCTCTATCACCCACTTCACAGCTCTTGAGAAGTTGACTAGTGCTCTCTCTGTCACTAAAGTCCTTATCTTAATACTGTGCATCCAGCACAGTTCAGCACTCCTTCCATCTTGTAGTATTTTCCCCTTGCCTTTGTGACATTATACTTTCCTCGTTTTTTCCTCTCTTTCTGATTGTTTGTTCTCCGTCTTGGCTAGCTCATCCCACTCTACCAGTCCTTTTAAATATGGGAGTTCCTCATGGTTCTGGTCTCTGCCCTCTTCTATACTCTATCCTAGGTGAGTATAGGATACTTTTCCATAGCTGCAATTAAACTGAAGGTTTCCAAATTTAATGCTTAATCCCAAGTCTGTTATTCGAGCTCCAGCCTCTTCCCTAGGTTGTCTTATAGATGAATTCATGATCTTCCTTACTTACCTTTCCATGATTCCCCACTCCCTGCTCCCTTCATGGGTGAAAAAATGTAGTTCTCCAATGTGCCTTACATGATACATCAGTTGGGTGAGCTAGAAATTGAGGCATCATCATTGGCTCTTGCCTCTTTCTTATGCATATCCAATGAACCACTAAAGCCCTTCAGAGTATATCTTTAAAACACCATGAATCTGTCCAATTTTCATTTCTGCTGCCAACAACTTAGTCTGTTTTGTTTTAGCTCTTCTTCCAATGTGAAGATCAGGCGCACCTGTTTGGTGTTGTGGTCTTTGAGTTTTAACTCCTCATCTCTCATAGGCCATGGCTTAAACCAGCAAGACACAGCACTCTGTAAATCCATGCTTAGGGAAAAGAAGACACTCTCTTCTTCAAAGAGTAGAAGTCTGCTGAAGTGCAACTCTGCTTGTAACTCAAACTGTTTACCTTCTTATCTAGGGCACTTTTTTTTTTTTTTTTTTTTTGAGACAAGGTCTTGCTCTGTCATCGGGCTTGAGTGCAGTGATGTGATCACAGCTCACTGCAGCCTTGGCCTCCTGGGCTCAAGCAATTCTCCCCTCAGCCTCCCAAGTAGCTAGGACTGCAGGCACATGCCAGCGTACCTCACAAATTTTTTAACTTTTTGTAGAGATGAGGTCTTACTATGTTGCCCAGGCTGATCTCGAACTCCTAGGCTCAAGAGGTCCTTCTGCCTCAGCCTCCCAAAATGCTGGGATTACAGGCACAAGCCACCACACCTTGCCACCTAGGGCACTTTTATTCCATCTTGCCAGATCTCTAATTCTAGTGAAATGACCCATTTATGGGGGATAGCAGGTATTCCAGAAAAAGGAACAGACTTTCCCAAAGATATGTTGTTGATGTATCCTCTACTTAATGCAAAAACAGAAAACCTGCTTACAGTCCTAAAGAATATTTGTCGTCTGCTTGGAGCTAACTTTCTGACACTCCTGTCTGTCTCTTTCTACTTGACTAAAGCATTTCTAAAGAATAGTACAACTTTTGCGTAGGTTCTCTTCAGAGCAGCAGTTCTTAACTGAGGTCCATGGATAGGCTTTGAAGAAAAGATATGAGAACTCCTGAAATTGTGGGTGGTGGTGTGATTTTAAGCTTTTTAACCACCCATTTCCTCATCTATAAAATGGATTTTATAATAGCCCCTATATCATAAGATTGTTGTGAGGGCTAAATGGGATAACTAGATATAAAAAGCCTAGCACAGTGCCTGGTACACAGTTATTTTAATATGTATAACAAAGATTACAATATAAGAAAAAAGGCATTGTCTGGAGCAACATGTGGAAGAGGGAATTAGAACTACTGCAGTATTTTTTTTTTTGAGATGGAGGCTCTCTCTGTCGCCCAGGTTGGAGTGCAGTGGTGAGGTCTCGTCTCACTGCAAGCTCCACCTCCCAGGTTCACACCATTCTCCTGCCTCAGCCGCCTGAGTAGCTGGGACTACAGGCACCCGCCACCACGCCTGGCTAATTTTTTTTGTCTTTTTAGTAGACACGGTGTTTCACTGTGTTAGCCAGGATGGTCTCAATCTCCTGACCTCGTGATCCACCCACCTCAACCTCCCAAAGTGCTGGGATTACAGGTTCAGTATACTTTTAAAGTGTATGTGGACAAACAAATAGTAGAGAGTCAACTCCAAGTATAAGGTCTCTTTATTTAAGGTAGCTTTATTTCATCATCCTGAAATTTCTAGGACTATGACAGGGCTAAATTATAGCTATGAACTAGAGCTAGGGAAGTATCAAGAACTATGGGTGGTAAAAAAAAAAAAATAGGGTCTAAATTCACTCATAACCCAGATGGGTGTAACATTTTTCTTTATTTAGTCTATAGCACCTGTCTTCTTTGTGAGTGCCCCTCTCTTCTTCTATCCATGTCATGATTATTGCTGGAAATATGATGGAAACTAATCAGATGTTCTCTCTGTTCAAACCTTGTTCTAAAAATGTAAACACTTCCTTTAAATAATTCTCAGGTCTCTTGAATAAGAATGCTTAGTCTCTTAGCCTCCTGTTCCCTAGGCTTCTCTCCCTAAGATGGCATCCAGTGTATGTTGTGGTTGGGTGTATAGCTTTCTTTTATCCTATGCCTTGGAGTTGAGGATTGTGAGCCGCTGGAAATTGTTCTCCCTTGTCCACCTTACCCTGTCTAATCTGCTGGCCCCTGATGATGAAACCCCTGGCTGGTATAACTCACAGTTTGGTCTTGCTTCTGGTTTAGAGCATGGGGGTGCTTTCCCTTCATCTCATCTCCCACTAGCATTATTAGCCCCTACTGAGGCTACTAGGCATTCTGTCTAGCTTGCTAGCCCAGTGGCCTGTCCTTATACCTAGTTTGGGAGCCAGTTCCCCATAATGAGTACCTACATTAGCTCTCAACTCAGGATCCATGCCACATGAGACCAAGGAGTCCAATTAGGGTCTCTTTCCTAATTGTACCTCTCTGCTCTTTCAGCAAGGCTGGGCAGTTGTATATGGGTGTGGGGCTTCTGCACTGCAGTCTGCATTTTCTCTCCTGAATAGGTTAAGGGCCCCTCTGTCCCCACTGATACCTTTACTTATCATCCCCCTTTCTGGACCAAAACTCAGAGCACAATTGGGAAACAAGTCTTTCTTACTGTCTCTTTTCTCCTTTCTGCCATTCCCAGGGCTGGAGAGCACTAGGCTTTTCTTTTTTTTTTTTGAGACAGAGTCTCGCTCTCTCGCCCAGGCTGGAGTGCAGTGGCACGATCTTGGCTCACTGCAAACTCCGTTTCCTGGGTTCACACCATTCTTCTGCCTCAGCCCTCCGAGTAGCTGGGACTACAGGTGCCCGCCACCACACCCAGCTAATTATTTTTATTTTTTAGTAGAGACAGGGTATCATCATGTTAGCCAGAATGGTCTCGATCTTCTGACCTCGTGATCTGCCCGCTTCGGCCTCCCAAAGTGCTGGGCTTACAGGCCTAAGCCACTGCGCCCGGCCTAGGCTTTTCTTTTACTTCCTTTCTATCAGTGCTTCTGAAATTACTTGTGGAGAAGGTATAGTTTTTATTTTGTTATAAATTTGTCACAGCCTAACACTTTTATAACATGAATTAGTAGCAAAGTGAAATTTAAAATACACAAATAAAAGTCCATTTTAAAAATTGTTAAGAGTCATCAAACATAAAATTATTTTGTCAAATTGCTATAAAAGTATCTCAGCACTTTCAATTGCATGCTTATCCATCATAGACCAGTAATAGAGAGTATGTGGACTGGCCCACTTTGACTCATGTCCTCCTTCCTGTCCTGCGAAGCTTTAGTGATGAACAACGTCATTTCTAAACCCCTGGAGGGCACCGTGAACATTGTGCCTTTTGTTTTGTTTTGTTTTGTTTTGTTTTGTTTTGTTTTAAGACGGAGTCTCACTCTGTCACCGAGGCTGGAGTGCAGTGATGCGATCTCAGCTCACTGTAATCTCCGCCTCTCAAGTTGAAGCGATTCTTGTGCTCAGCCTCCTGAGTAGCTCGGAATACAGGCACATGCCCAGCTAATTTTTGTATTTTTAGTAGAGACGGGGTTTCACCATGTTGGCCAGGCTGTCTTGAACTTCTAACCTCAGGTGATCAGCCTGCCTCGGCCTCCCAAACTGCTGGATTACAGGCATGAGCCACCACGCCTGGCCAACATCGCACCTCTTGACTTGACCCTTAAGATGTGGATGGAGGCTGGGCGTGGTGGCTCATGCCTGTAATCCCAGCACGTTGAGAGGTTGAGGCAGGCGGATCACCTGAGGTCAGGAGTTCAAGACCAGCTTGGCCAACGTGGTAAAACCCTATCTCTCCAAAAATAAAAAAAGAAAATACAAAAATTAGCCAGGTGTGGGGGCACACGCCTATAATACCAGCTACTCAGGAGACTGAGGCTTGAGAATTGCTTGAAACCTGGGAGACGGAGGCTGCAGTGAGCCGAGATTGTGCCATTGCATCCAGCCTGGGTGACAGAGTGAGACTTCGTCTAAAAAAAAAAAGATGTGGATGGAAACTAAAGAAATTTAGAAAATACGCTTCATAAGACCATGATCTGTCTTCCAAGTCTATTCTTATATTGCAACTCCCATTTTTGAACACCGGAAATTGAACATTACTTTTTTTTTTGCATTTTTACTATAATAAATTTTAATATACTCACAGCAGATGGATGTCTTGGGTGGAGTAACTTTGAAGGTAATGAGCTCAGAAAGGCAGAAGAGAAAAACCCACTTACAAATTTCAGAGTCTTATCCTTGTTATGCTAATGTGTAACACTCATGAAGAATGAAAAAAACACTCAGTTTTGTTAGTAAATCTTAATTTTTGCAGTTATATTTTATTGCCTCAGTAAGAGCTAACATTCCTTTCTTCTTAGATATGCTAATTACCCTGGTTTGATCACTATACATTATATGTATTGAAATAATCACTATGTACTTCACGAATATGTACAATTATTATTTGTCAATTAAAAATTAAGGCTGAGCATGGTGACTCATGCCTTTAATCCCAGAACTTCAGGAAATTGGGGCTGGAGGATCACTGGAGGCCAGGAAGATCACTGGAGACCAACCTGGGCAACACAGCAAGACCCCATCTCTAAAAAAAAAAAAATTAGCTGGATGTGGTGGTGCACACCTATAGTCCTAGCTACTTGGGAGGCTGAGATAGGTGAGAGGATTACTTGAGCCCAGGAGCTTGAGCTTACAGTGAGCTATGATCACGCCATTGCACTCTAGTCTAGGTTACAGAGTGAGACGCTATCTCTAAAAAAATTTTTTAAACAAAAAAATCCCCACATTATTTTCTTCTCAAATAGAGCCCCAGCTGTCATCTACTCATTTTCTCTTTCTGTGACTAAGGAAGTAAATGTTAAGAAAATGTCACTGGATGGCTTGAGCCCAGGAGTTTGAGGCTGTGATTGTGCCACTGCACTTCAGCCTGGGTGACAGAGCGAGACCTTGTTTCCAAAAAAAGAAAATAATTATCATCAACATACTTAATGGTCAGGTGTAAATGCAATAAGGTGTTTTCAATTTCTTTTTCTACAGGAATTACAATTAAAAACAGGACAGGAAGAAGGTCTAAAACCAAAAGCTGAGGATCTCGATGCATGTAACTTGAAAAGGAGAAAAGGTTCGTTTGGAAGTATAGACCAACTCCAGGTTTGTCAATTCTATTTAGTGTTTCCTCGTTTCTCTTCAATCTGATGGTTGTCTAAATAGAGGTAAACTCACACCTGTAATCCTAGCAATTTGGGACGCCAAGGTGGGTGGATCACCTGAGGTCAGGAGTTCGAGACCAGCCTGCTCAACATGGTAAAACCCCGTCTCTACTAAAAATACAAAAATTAGCCGGGCTTGGTGGCGGGTGCCTGTAATCCCAGCTACTTGGGAGGCTGAGGCAGGAGAATCGCTTGAACCCTGGAGGTGGAGGCTGCAGTGAGCCGAGACCACGCCACTGCACTCCAGCCTGGGCAACAAGAGCGAAACTCCCTCTCAACAAATAGATAGATAGATAGATGTAAAAACTGGTGGACTCTGAATAAAACCTTCAAACACTAGATGCCACCCGAATGCAAAATTTCTAGTATTTGTTTTGAAACTTTATTATTTTTATTTTCTTAAATTTTAGATTCAGGGATACATGTTCAGGTTTGTTATATGGGTATATTGTGTGATGCTAAGATTTGGGCTTCTAATAATCCTATCGCCCAAGTAGTGAAACTTTTATTATTACAAAATTATTTTCTCATCCAGAAATGTACTGTATTTTTGTTTTATCTTACTCTCAGCAGAATCAATATATTCTTATTTCAGTAGAAATGAGTTTATTTGAATGTTGTAGAATATAAACATGAAATCTGTGTTCACTGGATTGTATTTATTCCCATCTCATGAAGATGAGTATATTTCTTTTTTTTTTTTTTCTTTTTTTTTTTTTTGAGACTGAGTCTCTCTCTGTCGCTCAGGCTAGAGTGCAGTGGCGTGATCTCAGCTCACTGCAAGCTCCACCTCCTGTGTTCACACCATTCTCCTGCCTCAGCCTCCTGAGTCTGGGGACTACAGGCGCCCACCACCATGTCCGGCTAATTTTTTGTATTTTTAGTAGAGATGGGGTTTCACTGTGTTAGCCAGGATGGTCTTCATCTCCTGACCTTGTGATCCACCTGCCTTGGCCTCCCAAAGTGCTGGGATTACAGGTGTGAGCCACTGCACCCGGCCAAAGACGAGTATATTTCTAAAAATCAGAACTCTACATTCAAAGAAAGCCAAATTGTATATGTACTCTATATATTAAAAAGCCATTATTTTAGTGCCATCTTTTAAAAAGAAAGTCATAATCCACAAACTCATTTTGAAGTTCAAAGAAATTGAAATTTTAAATTTTCTGTAAGAAAAAAATACTGTATTTAAAATACCCAGAATGCAATTATCTCTACCTTTAAATTTATTTTCTCTTCATAAATTTTATATTACATTTTATTAGTGACATTTAATAGTGACATGAGTGCATTCTGACATGGGTGTGTACCCATTCCACCCAGAAATGTCATCACCAGTCGTAATTTTTTAGGTTTTTTACTTTTAAGTGGAGCTTAAAAAGAATCTCTTATTCATCTTTCAAACCCCACTCACAGTTTAAGAATGTTTGTAGAATATATTTAAGTTACTTGCTAGACTTCCTAGGATCTCCTACTGGATTATTTAAGGATATGACAAAACTAACATTTTTATAGTTGCTCTTTCTGTTCCTAATAATTGTAGAGCTACTATGACATTTTAGGCTCCAGTGTTATCTGGACATGATAGTGCTTATATCTTGGTATTATTGGAAGACTCAATAGCTATGCATCTTCTTTGCCTTGGCCATTTTGCTCTTTTTTAAATATATATTCACTGTCTCATTGTATTATAGATTTCTAGGAACCGTTTCTAGAAGGTTCATGAAGGACTAGGAAATAATACTATATTGATTTCTTTTCCTATTTATTTATTGTTTTGGTGGCAGTGCTTCATTACCGTGTCCACTTGATAGAGTTCCTTTTAAACAGTCACATTCCATCTATATTTATGTTTGTATTTGTTTCTGGGTATCCTTAATTCAAGAGAGTACTCAGATGTTTGTTTTGGAGATCTTTTCAGCAATTTTTTATTTTTGTTTTTTCTTTTTTTAAAAAGAATTATTTGAGGTTGACAAGCTACAATGCAAATTGGGTTTCCTTCCAAACTCCATCATCTGTATCTCCCACTGTGTGTATTCATTTATTCACTTCATTGATTGACTGAATCAGGCATTGATTCACTCATTCATTTAACATTTTACTGAATGCCTACTGTGGCCCAGGCAATATGCCAGCCATGTGGATAGACAGTTAAAAACTACAGCCCCTGCAGTCAATCAAGGAGCTCAAGTTGGGGAGACAGATAAGTAGAGCAACCACCAGTGTAAGTGCTGTGATGGAAATATGCACCACTACAACAGAGTAAAAGACTCCAGCATGTTCTTAATATAGGCATAGAAAATTATCAGTCCCTTATTTGTCAGGCTAAAAAATCCTAGACTGTTTAACGTATCTGGGGAGTAAATTTTAATTCTTTATAAAACAACATAGCTACATCTTGACTAGAACCACTGATGTCTTTAGGATTTCAGATGGGAACCTGAGTTACTCTGAGTGATAGTTTTTAAATGTTCATTTAAGAGATTTCAGCCAATCTGAAATTATATTGTTACCATGTAATTTTTATGGCAGAAGGAAAAACAAGTAACTTTTTTTGAATTTTAATGTAGAAATTGGATGAGCAAAAGAAATGGTTAGATGAAGAAGTAGAGAAAGTTCTGAACCAACGCCAAGAATTAGAGGAGCTGGAAGAAGACTTAAAGAAACGGGAGGCCATAGTTTCTAAGAAGGAGGCTCTATTACAGGAGAAGAGTCACCTGGAAAATAAGAAATTGAGATCTAGTCAGGTATTCTGTTTAATACACTATTTGATTCTGGTTGTAAACCACTCTACACTCCCCACTGGGATGACTATAATCAGAAAAACAGATAATAAGAAATGTGGGGAAGGAGGTGGGGAAATTGGGACCTTCATACACTGCTGTGAAATTGGAAAATGGTGTAATTGCTTTGGATAACCATCTTGTAGTTCCTCAGAAGGCTCAACTTAGAGATACTATGTGACCCAGTAATCTCACTCCTAGGGATGGATGGATAGATAGATCTATTTCTATATGTATGTCTCCATGAGAAATGAAAGCATGTTTCCACACAAAAACTTGAACATGAACATTTATAGTAACATTATTCATAATAGCTAAAAACTGAAAACAACACAAATGTTCATCAAGTGATGAATGGATAAACTGATTATCTATACAATAGCATATTATTTGACAATAGAAGGCAATGAAGTACTGATATATGCTGCAACATGGATGAGCCTTGAAAACCTATGTTAAGTGAAAGAAACTAGTCACAAAAGACCACCTTTGTATAATACCATTTATATGAAGTCTCTAGAATAGGCAATTCCATTTCTGTCCAGAGACAAAAAAGTAGAATAGTGGTTACCTAGGGTTGGTGGGGGACTGGGGAGGAAATAGAATGCCTACTAATAGGTGTGGGGTTTCTTTTTTTGGGGGGGTGATGAAAATGTAAAATTGATTGTGGTGATGGTTATATAACTGTGAATATACAAAAAACCATTGAATTATATACTTTATTGTTATTTTTTGTTTTTTGAGATGGAGTCTCGCTCTGTCGCCCAGGCTAGAGTGCAGTGGCACGATCTCTGCTCACCGCAACCTCTGCCTCCCGGTTCAAGAGATTCTTCTGCCTCAGCCTCCCAAGTAGCTGGGATTGCAGACGCGTGCCACCACGCCCAGCTAATTTTTGTATTTTTAGTAGAGAGGGGTTTCACCATGTTGGTCAGGTTGGTCTCAAACTCCTGACCTTGTGATCAGCCCGTCTTGGCCTCCCAAAGTGCTGGGATTACAGGCGTGAGCCACCATGCCCAGATTTGAATTATATACTTTAAATTGGTGAATTGTATGGTATGTAGATTATATCTCATTAAAGCTATTATGTTTTTTGAAAAGCCATAAAAAGGAAAAGACAGTAGAGGAGATAACAGAGGACAAAAGATTACCAAAAAAAGAAAAGATGGAAAGCAAATAGATGAGAGCTTATTAACTTAGCAGAACAGAAGATGCTGCAGTCCAAGTACCTAGAGGGACACAAATGAGAACCAGGCCAAGATCCTACATATATGCTGTCACCATACATCTTATCAGCTTTTTAATATCTGACTCTGATATGTGATGGGCATTTTAGGAATGCTTTAGATGTTTTCCTTTAAAAAAAAATAACAGCTTTAGAGAGAGAAAATTCACATAGAACATCAAAAAGATTCAGAAATGAAGGGACCAAGATTTTCAGAAGGCAGGAGTAGCATAAAGATGAAAACAGGGCATAGTCATGAAACTATTTTTTCTCACTCTGGGACTGATTTCTTTTCCGAAGATTGAACCAGGCACTGCAAAGGTTGTGATAAGTCAAAAAACTCCAAATAGGGAATGAATGCAAGTCTGCATATGAATTGTGAAACATCTATTTCCTAATCTCTACTTGGATCCAAGAATGCTGGCCCAGATTTATACTTCCTAGCAGGAGATTAGCATATTTTCTGAAACATCTAAAAAGATATAAAAACACTTAAATTTGGAAGCTGCCAACTAAGTGGCTACACATGTATGCTATCACCACAAATCTTAGCAGCTTTTTGATACCTGAATCTGAAATATGATGGACATTTTAGGAATGCCACTATTAAAGACAGAAAACAAAACAAAAGGAAAAAATAAACTCACAGACATTAGAGATAGAGCAAGAAGCGGAAAAAACTTCACAGAAATCTTAATATCCTCAGTGTGGCAAAAGATGACTATAAAGAACTGCAAGTTATTAAAAACATGAACTCTTGGAAATTAAAAGCGTTGGAGGATAGGCAGGGTGCGGTGGCTCATGGCTGTAATCCCAGCACTTTGGGAGGCCAAGGTAGGTGGATCACTGGAGGTCAGGAGTTCGACACCAGCCTGACCAACATGGTGAAACCCTGTCTCTTCTAAAAATACAAAAATTAGCCAGGCGTGGTTGTGGGCACCTGTAATCCCAGGTACTTGGGAGGTGAGGCAGAAGAATCGCTTGAACCTGAGAGGCAGAGGTTGTAATGAGCCAAGACCGTGCCATTGCACTCCAGTCTGGGCAACAAGAGCAAAACTCCATCTCAAAAAATAGGGTCAGAGGATAAAGTTGAGGAAATATCCCCAAAAGTAAGTAAAAATACAATAGAAAGTAGGAGAGAAAAAAATTTAATTGGCAGATAAATCCAGGAAGCCCAAGATCCAAGTAATGGGAATTCCAGAAAGATACAACAGAGGAAACAGAAGAGATTATCAAAGACATCATATAAAAAATTTTCTTGGCCAGGCACGGTGGCTCACGCCTGTAATCCCAGCACTTTGGGAGGCTGAGGTGGGCAGATCACGAGGTCAGGAGATGGAGACCATCCTGGCTAACACGGTGAAACCCTGTCTCTACTAAAAATACAAAAAAATTAGCCAGGCGTGGTGGCAGGTGCCTGTAGTCCCAGCTACTCGGGAGGCTGAGGCAGGAGAATGGCGTGAATCTGGGAGGCGGAGCTTGCAGTGAGCCGAGATCACGCCACTGCACTCTAACCTGGGTGACAGAGCGAGACTCCGTCTCAAAAAAAAAAAAATTTTTTTTCTCAACACCAGTAATATGAGACTCTAGACTGAAATAGCCCATCAAGGGCCCAGCAAAATGAGTACCCAAAACATAGCATTGTGAAGGTTTGGATACACTGAGGAAAAAAGAAGGTCCTGAAAGCATCTAGACAAAAAAGACTACTTATAAATTGCAAGAATCAGAATGGCATTGGACTTCTCAGCTTTCCTCATGACAAGTTTAAGATCTGAAGCAATCTTTAAACTCATGAGGAAAATTAAGTCTAATAAATAATTTTCTTCTTAGCCAAACTGTCAATCAAATGTGAAGCTATAATAAGCATTTTCAGGTATAAAAAACAAAACCAAAAATCTCCCATTAAGCCTGTCCAAGGAAACTACTAGAGAATGTGCTCCACAAAAATAATGGCACAAACTATGAAAAAGGAGGACTCGGGATTCTGAAAATGTGCTGCAACATGGAAATTCTCAGGAAATACCAAAGGGAAGACCCAGGACAACTGGTCCAGGGTGGAGCAGGATGGACGCTCCAGGCAAAATGTTTCCAGAAAAGAATAGATTGAAAAGATTTCCTGATAAGTTTGATCAAATGAAAAAGTGTTGAGGAATTTTATAGTTCTGTTGGAGAAGAATTAGCTATAAGGTGCAATAAAAAGTTGTATCAAAACAGAAGCATGATCATTTCACACTAGATAGTTCACCTATGAATAACAAAGTTATAATAATGAAAATGAATATTGATTGAACTAAAAACTGTAATGTAACTTATATTGGGAGAATGGAGGAGATTGGGAAGTAGAGTAGCTATAAGAGTGCTAAATCCTTATCTCCCATAATACACAGTCAATAGACAATGTCTAAAATTGATAATGTCATTCAGAAACATAGACATAAACACCAGAAGAACCAACTGAAAAGGCTGAAGGTGGCTGTCTGGGAGTAGGATTCAATTAAAAGCTTGGGGGAGGGGAATGCTTTTTTAAAATTATAAACCTTGGCCGGGCGTGGTGGCTCACGCCTGTAATCCCAGCACTTTGGGAGGCCGAGGTGGGCGGATCACAAGGTCAGGAGATCGAGACCATGGTGAAACCCCGTCTCTACTAAAAATAGAAAAAATTAGCCGGGCGCAGGGGCGGGCGCCTGTAGTCCCAGCTACTCGGGAGGCTGAGGCAGGAGAATGGCGTGAACCCGGGAGGCGGAGCTTGCAGTGAGCCGAGATTGCGCCACTGCACTCCAGCCTGGGCGACAGAGCGAGACTCCATCTCAAAAAAAAAAAAAAAAAAAAAATTATAAACCTTATGATAGTATGTGTCTATATAATAAACCTTATAGTAGTATATGCAGATAATTACTGTGAAAAATATTTTACAAATTACCTGAAATTTGACCATAATGAACATCTCCATAAATCTGGCCATATTTTCTGATCAGAATGAATTAAGAGTAAAAACAAATTATATGTTTAAGCCAACCAATCATATGTTTAAACACACCAAAGCTCAACCCCTAGTAAATTGTAACATAATTCTACAATGTAGAATGTAAGCGAAGAAAGAAAAGTTCAGTTTAGAAAATAAGAAAAAAGAAAAATACTGCCTCTGAAAACCTAGTCAAGGCAATTCTTGGTAGTAAACTCAGAGTTTAAATAAACGTTTTTTTTAAAAAGGCATTCAACTTAAGATTTTAGAAAATGAACACCCCGGGTGGGCGCGGTGTCTCACGTCTGTAATCTTAGAACTTTGGGGGCTGAGGCGGGTGGATTACCTGAGGTCAGGAGTTCAAGACCAGCCTGGCCAACATGGTAAAACCCTGTCTCTACTGAAAATACAAAAAATTAACTGTGCGAGGTGGCAAGCGCCTGTAATCCCAGCAACTCGGGAGGCTGAAGCAGGAAAATCGCTTGAACCTGGGAAGCGGAGATTGCAGTCAGCTGAGGTCGCACCATTGCACTCTACCCTGGGGAACAAGAGCAAAACTCCATCTCAAAAACACAAAAAAGAAAATGAATACCCCCTCCCTCAATAATGTAAAAACTAAAAATATATTCATTTAGCAATTTTCTCTCTGTTTTTCCTAATTTTTATGCAGTCTAGATTTCTAGTAACTGTTTCTGGTGTCTGGTGGGTTGTATCTTTTAGGCCTTAAACACAGATAATTTGAAAATATCAACTCGCCTGAACTTACTGGAACAAGAGTTGTCTGAAAAGAATGTGCAGCTCCAGACTAGCACAGCTGAGGAGAAAATAAAGATTTCAGAACAAGTTGAAGTCCTCCAGAAAGAAAAGGATCAGCTCCAGAAACGAAGAAACAGTGTGGATGAAAAACTTAAAAATGGCAGAGTGTTATCACCTGAAGTAAGTCAGTATTCTTTGGAACTGGAGGTGCTGTATGATGGATCACTTGAGTGATTTCCTCAGTCTTTTTCACATAATCATAAATATTATCCGTTAAACTTGGTTTTGAGATTTTGTCAGATGTAGTGAATTCACCTGGCACTTATTTGGCACCATAAACCATGCTTGACTAGAGACTGAGATATCCTTACATAGTGGTCCATGGACATGGCCCCTTCCTGGCACTGCCAGGCATTTGGAAACTATTACTTTCCTTGAGTATATTTGCCTCCTCAGCTGGGGTTTCTCGTCTGAAATCATAGAACATAGAAAATGATTTGAGGGACTCTTTTGGAGGGCACCTGACTTTTCTCTATACATATTTCGTGAATGATACTAGGTAATTTATTACATACAGCAGATGCCTAAGGAATTAGGGGTTAATTCTTTCCATGAAACCTTGGTTGAGAAGGCCCAGTGTCCATACTATGTCCAGCCAAATAGATGCATAAAATTCCAATCCCAGTAAAAGACCTTTTAGTTACAGTTACAGTTTTTTAAAACTATAGTTTTAGTTCTAGTTTTTAAAAACTATGTAGAAGATGATTCATTTACAGGCTGTCAAATTGCCCCAGACTTTGTCTTTTTTCAAAATTTTCAGTCAGTTGGCAGTGGTACCTGTACCTTACTTCATCAGAGAAAGATGAATTTTTGAATCGGAACTGCCTCCCCAGGTATTTATTGTTGGTGTCTTATCATTACCAAAGCAAGGGAAAGTTGCTCAGAGAAGGTGAATAGCTGAGAATCACACACATTGGTGAATCTTGTAGTGTTTTAGTTTGGAGCAAGTGACAGGAAGTTAAGGGGGCTAGTTAAGAAATAGGAGCAAGGATAACGTTAGATTGTTGCTCATTGAGAATTGATGAAAGGATTGATTTACAAATCAATCCTTGACTGGGGGCTAAGTGGCAGTTGAAAGGAACATTATAGACCTCTATTGCCCTGTTTTATAATTTAAGCTGGGTAAATGTGCAGAGGAACAGAGAGCCAGGTTGTCCTCCCAAGGTGTTAAATTGGAGTCCAAGGCTTATAGATTTGAAGACATGAGAGCCTAAGATACAGCAGAATTCAAATATTTAAGGAATTCTGCCTGTGACTATAACTAAGCTCTATAGAAGAAGCAAAAACAAAAAACAAAAAAAACCAAAGTATTATGTTTCCCTTGAGAAATTAATATTCTATTTGGGAAAACAGGTAAAAATATAAGAAAACTCTAAACTCTGAAGGACATTGAAAATCAAGTTGTGGATAATGTATTTACAGCTATACCTCTTACATTATTTATTCAAAGCAATGAAGTGATCATTTGGGGGAAGATTCATCAAGGCAGCCTCAGTAGATCAGAATCTTGAGCTAGATTATGAAAAACATGATATGCAGTGGCAGATATGAGAAGTCCGTTTTAGATAGAACATCTTTGAATAAGGCACAGAGATGAGAATTAACAAATTACGTTTGCAGTAGGGTAGAGTTCCATTAATAGCAAGAAACATTTAGGTTTCTATTTCATGTGGGATCCTGTAACAAAAAGCATTTACAGATTTGTGGTGAAAATATAGTATGATGCATGATACCTATTTTGCAGCTATTCTGGACTGGGGTTTGAGGGAAGGATGAGCCTCCTACAACTGGTAGAGTTCTAATTAGTCACATGAGCTTCTATGTCCCTTTCTTCCACATGGTTGGTTCTTCTTAGTGTAGCTCTCAAGTGAGGCTCTGCTCTTACCACAATTTTAAAGCCAAGGTTAATATTCCCAAATAGATCTGTCACTAGCAGATGATCAAGAGCATGAGATTCTGATGTGACACAAGGTATCAATAAAATCTAGTTGGAATGGTTTGCTATCTTAATGTCTTTAAACTTGTTTAGGATTATTTTCTCTTTCCACAGTAAATTAAAATATTTTTCCTAATTTTATTACTTTATGGAAATTGATAGATTTTAGATCGTTACACTAATAGAAGATTACTCAACAATTTACTACAGACAAGTCACACTGCTCTTTTTTTTTTTTTTTTTGGTAAAATTCAGAAACTAAAATTAAAGAATACTTGAACCTTAGGTTTCTAATAATACAGAGTAGTTGCTTAGTAGGGAGGAAAATATAAGAACTATTATCTTTATTTAATCTTTTAAACTTTCGGGCCGGGCGCGGTGGCTCAAGCCTGTAATCCCAGCACTTTGGGAGGCCGAGGCGGGCGGATCACAAGGTCAGGAGATCGAGACCACAGTGAAACCCCGTCTCTACTAAAAATACAAAAAATTAGCCGGGCGCGGTGGCGGGCGCCTGTAGTCCCAGCTACTCAGGAGGCTGAGGCAGGAGAATGGCGGGAACCTGGGAGGCGGAGCTTGCAGTGAGCCGAGATCGCGCCACTGCACTCCAGCCTGGGCAACAGCGTGAGACTCCGTCTCAAAAAAAAAAAAAAAAAAAAAAAAAAAAAAAAAAAAAAATCTTTTAAACTTTCAATTTCGCATTTTATGAGAACATACAATTTTTTTTTGGAAATGGAGTCTCTGTCGCTCAGGCTGAAGTGTAGTGGTGCGATCTCGGCTCACTGCCTCTGCCTCCTGGGTTCAAGCAATTCTCCTGCCTCAGCCTCCCGAGTAGCTGGGATTACAGACGTGCGCCACCATGCCCAGCTAATTTTTTTTTTTTTTTTTTTTTCCCGAGACAGAGTCTTGCTCTGTCACCAGGCTAGAGTGCAGTGGCATGATCCCAGCTCATTGCAACCTCCACCTCCCCGGTTCAAGCGATTCCCCTGTTGCAATCTCCCAAGTAGCTGGGATTACAGGCACGTGCCATCACGCCTGGCTAATTTTTTGTATTTTAGTAGAGATGGGGTTTCATCATGTTGACCAAGATGGTCTCGATCTCCTGACCTCGTGATCCGCCCACCTTGGCCTCCCAAAGTGCTGGGATTACAGGCGTGAGCCACCGCGCCCAGCCTAATTTTTGCATTTTTAGTAGAGATGAGGTTTCGCTATGTTGGTCAGGCTGGTCTCGAACTCCTGACCTCAAGTGATCCACCCGCCTCAGCCTCCCAAAGTGCTGGGTTTACAGGCATGAGCCACCGCACCCTGCTGAGAACATATAATTTATAGAGAAATCTATGCAGTGCTTGCTTAAAAGTTATCATTAGTTTTTTGTTTCATTTTACTTGGTCTCTGGACCAGCAGCAACAGCATCACTTGGGATCTTGTTAGAAATGCAGATCCTCAGGCCCCAATTGGACTTGCTGGATCAGAATCTGAATTCTAGTGAGCTCCTCGGTACACATTAAAGTTGAAAAGCAGTGCTCGATCATAAAACAGTCAACTCTTGATAACCTGTGGTATGTATTGTGACAAATTTTTCATCCCAGGATAGTTTCCCATTGCCACGTATCTTGTCAACCTATACCTATTGCTGAGTTAGAGGGAACTACAAACATTGATATGCTGCATCCTCACTGGAGTGGGCTGTCCTTGGGTTTCTATATTCATACTACCTTATATGATCTCAGTACTTCCTTAACTTAGATCCAAAACCATAGAAACTGAATTTATATGAAATTGTCCTCAGCCACGTATAAAGGCAAACTCTTCACATTTGTTTTTGATAAAATATAGTCACAGTATGAATTCAAAAGTCAAGTACAGTAAAGTCCTCACTGAACATTGTGGATAGGTTCTTGGAAATTGTGACTTTAAGAGACACCATGTACATCAGGTCCTCAAATTACATTGTTTTCCTTCAACGTAGTTGCTTTTGTTATGAAGTTAATAGGAAAAAAAAAACTGTTGTATTATATATTGTTTCTCTTAAAGTCACAGTTTCCAAGAACCTATTGATGATAAGGACTTACTCTATTTTGGATAATTCACTTTTATTTGTGGCTCCTCTTACTTGTTCACCTAAGTACATTTTAGTATTTAAGGATTTTTTTTCTTGAAAAGGTGAATATTATTTTATTCCTTATGAAGCAGTGATCAAACTATCAAATTCCATATGGTTAGTGATTGCACAGAGAAAAAGAATGGCTGATGAGCATTTTTCTTTAGGTAGATCAGAAATATTCACACTCTTGGCCAGGCATGGTGGCTCACACCTATAATCCCATCACGTTGGGAGGCTGAGGCAGGCAGATCACCTGAAGTCAGGAGTTCCAAGACCAGCCTGGCCAATGTGGCGAAACCCCTTCTCAACTAAAAATACAAAAATTAGCTAGGCGTGATGGCATGCACCTATAATCCCAGCTACTTGGGAGGCTGAGGCAGGAGAATTGCTTAAATCCTTAAACCCAAGAGGTGGAGGTTGCAGTGAGCTGAGATCCCACCACGACCCTGTCTCAGAAAGAAAAAAAAAAAAAAAGAAAGAAAGAAATATTCACATTATTTTCCTTTGGGGTGTTAGGGGGAGGAGTGGAGAGAAATAACATGGGTCCTGTAACCAAGGACACATGAAAAATTTTTTTCTCCTCTTTCTTAACAGATACTGAGTTCAAACTATATGATAGGTACTGTGCTGGGCAATAAGGGTGTGGAGATGGACAAGTCAGTCTGCCACAGGAACTTATTGAGGTGGCCTCCACAATAGGTATAGGTCTATGGAAACATATATCCAAGTCTCACCAATCTGAGGTAATTCCTTGCCAGAGATTTGTATCACCAACATAACATGTATTTGGATAGTTCAATGAACTGGAAGAGCTGGGCATGGTAGTGTGTGCCTGTAGTCCCAGCTACTCAGGAGGGCAAGGTAGGAGGTTCGCTTGAGCCAAGAGTTTGAGTTCAGCCTGGGCAACATAGTGAGACCCTGTGTCCAAAAAAAAAAAGAAAAGAAAAAAACTTGTAGGTTTTCCGACAGGGATTCATTGATCTTCTCTGGTATGTGAAAAAATACTACGCTGCCCTATTTTATAACGCCTACATTTTCCTTCTAATAACATTTCATAGGAATCTTATGAAATATGTCAGATACTTAAATCCTCACTACTTTTTAATGCCATATTGTGCTTTTTTTTATTACTAGTTCTTAATAACTTATTCTAAATATTTAGAGTAAGTTATTCCCTCTAGGCAGTATATTGTTTTGATAGATCATTGAAGGGACAACAGTAAATCTCTGGATCTCACTAGTGGAAATATTGACACATAATATGCACTTTAGGGACTATGGAGGAGATGCATGACAATACTGCTAATCCTGTGGGCTTAGGCTTTGTTCAAGTATATTCCTTGGATTAGATGATCAGCATTTGTAGTATGACCTTGGAACATTTCAGAACTCACCTAAACTTCTGTCTTTTCCATTTCATTCCATCAGGTTTATTGTGAGGGCTTAATGATTATGTTAATATGTTGTGTGTATGTGTATGTGTGTGTATACATGTGTGTATACACATAACCTCTGCATTATGTGGTATAGCAAGCACTCAAAAAACATTTTCTTAAAATCTAGTAAAAGAGTGGTAATGTCCATTAGACTCAAATAGTTTAGTAGGATCTGAGTATATGACAAAGTCAAAGTTATACTATTTCATTTAAAATGAGTGATTTCTGTTATATCTAGGAAGAACATGTTCTTTTCCAACTCGAAGAAGGGATTGAAGCTTTGGAAGCTGCAATTGAATATAAGAATGAAAGTATCCAGCGTCGCCGGAACTCACTTAGAGCATCATTCCATAACCTCTCTCGTAGTGAAGCAAATGTCTTGGAACAAATAGCTTGCCTGAGTCCTGTTGAGATTAGAGCTATTCTTTTCAGATATTTCAATAAGGTTTGTTTTTGAGGGTCAGAATATTTTTCTTATACAGATGGGTCAAGATGCTTACATCCTACATTTTGAATTTTTAAAGAAATTGAAAGACTCAAAGATTTGATGGTGTAACTACAAATTTAAGCATGATTTCTCTTTATAGAACTAAATGTTGTCATCTGAAAGCTTTGTGATTATCCAAATATGTAGGCCAAACTTTGTGAGGTTCTTAAAGTTAGAGGGTCTTTCAAAAGAAGTCCTTTTTGAAAGTTTTTAAAACCAAAGAATTTAAGTTATATTCCTTGCTCATTATTTCTTGGATGATTTCTAGATTTGGATGTTGCTACCTGGCACTCATGAAAAATCAAAGGCCCTCCAAGTTTTGATTCCCTTTCCTTCATTGCTATAGGGTAGAGGAATCTGTACTTTCTTGTAATGTATTAGTTGAAATGAAGATGAAGTGGTGTATCAGTGGCAAAGATAATAATAGATTTTATTAACCTGAATGTGCCTAAATCAATTAAAATGTTGTATTTTTTACAGATTAAACCATTTTCTAATCCAGAGATGTTTCATAGCATTGAGAACTATATCCATCTTTTCTCTAATGTCTTTTCCACTTAAGATACATATTATGAAGTGTTAAACAATGAGATAACCCTTTCTCTGAAAAGTACATTCAATTTATGGGAATATCTGACAATTAATGAAAAATGAAACACTGATATTTTAAAATTAAGTCCTAAGGCCAGGCGCAGTGGCTCATGCTTGTAATCCCAGCACTTTGGGAGGCTGAGTCAAGAGAATCATTTGAGCCCAGAATTTGAGATCCTGTCTCTACAAAAAATACCAGAATTAGCCGGGTATGGTAGCATACACTTGTAGTCCTAGATAGTTGGGAGGCTGAGGCAGGAGGATCACATGAGCCCAGGAATTTGAGTTTGTAGTGAGCTATGATCATTACTGCACTTCAGCCTGGGGCAACAGAGCAACAGCCTGTCTCAAAAAAATTAAATAAAATTATAATTCTGTAAAATAAGGAAAAAAAATGAAAAATGTTATGCACAGCCTCCTCTTGGATAATCGTCATCAGTAGTAAGCTGCTGTTACTGTTATTGATGAGAGTGCATCCTATTGTTGCATGTTTGGAGGGTAGAAAGATGGTGGAGTCCTTTGATGTAGATAACTCTTTATGCTGCTCTTTTTTTTTTTCCCCGAGACGGAGTCTCACTCTGTTGTCCAGGCTGGTGTGATCTCGGCTCACTGCAACCTCCGCCCTCCAGGTTCAAGCAATTCTCCTGCCTCAGCCTCCTGAGTAGCTAGGATTACAGGCATGTGCTACCATTCCCGGCTAATGTTTGTATTTTTAGTAGAGATGGGGTTTCACCATGTTGGCCAGGCTGGTCTCAAACTCCTGACCTCGTGACCCTCCTGCCTCAGCCTCCCAAAGTGCTGGGATTACAGGTGTGAGCCACCCCACCTGGCCCTTGTGCTACTCTTAAAGCAAGGCAACCTGATTAAGGTCAGTGGATTTTCTGATCCTGGGAACCCTTGTATTAATGATTATTTTTCTGGAGAGGTCATTAGATTATTAACAAGTTCTGTGATGTAGACATTATCTGAAGTATTTTTACTTTACATCAGCAGGGAAGAATCCAATAGACAAAATGCATAACATGGCTGGGTGTGGTGGCTTTGGGACACTGAGGTAGGAGGATCCCAGTGCTTTGGGACACCGAGGCAGGAGAATCACTTGAGGCCAGGAATTCAAGACTAGCTTGGGCAACATAGTGAGACCCTGTCTCTATGAAAAAATTTTTTAAAAAAATTAGCCAGGCATGATGGCATGTACCTGTGCTCCCAGCTATGTGGGAGGCTGAGGTGGGAGGATCACTTGATCTCAGGAGTTGGAAGCTGCAGTGAACTATGATTACACCACTGCACTCCAACCTGAGGTGACAGAGTGAGACTCCATCTTAACAACAACAACAACAAAACACCCAAACTGTCACTTATTTATAACATCTATTCTGGAGTTTAAACTTGGAATTGTCTAGATGTTTCAAGAATCTTTACCCTCTCACTATCCACTTAGACTAGAGAAATAAAGTTACAGAATTATTAAATATAAACCACATAGATTACATTTAAGAAATTATGGAAGGGTGATTATTAGAGCAACAGTACATTAAAAATGAAAGGGTTGGCCGGGCGCGGTGGCTCACGCCTGTAATCCCAACACTTTGGGAGGCTGAGGCGGGTGGATTACAAGGCCAGGAGATTGAGACTATCCTGGCTAACACGGTGAAACCCCATCTCTACTAAAAATACAAAAAATTAGCTGGGCGTGGTGGTGGGCGCCTATAGTCCCAGCTACTTGGGAGACTGAGGCAGGAGAATAGCGTGAACCTGGGAGGTGGAGCTTACAGTGAGCCGAGATCGCGCCACTGCACTCCAGCCTGGGCAATAGAGCGAACTCCGTCTCAAAAAAAAAAAAAAAAAAGTAATAGAAAGTGTCATCAATTCAGAATTCCAACAAATTCTGTTTTTTGTTTTGTTTTGTTTTGTTTTGTTTTGTTTTGTTTTTCCGAGATGGAGTTTTGCTCTTGTCGCCCAGGCTGGAGTGCAATGGGGCGATCTTGGCCCCACTGCAACCTCCACCTCCCGGGTTTAAGCCATTCTCCTGCTTCAGCCTCCCAAGTAGTTGGGATTACAGGCATGCACCACCACACCCAGCTAATTTTGTATTTTTTTTTTTTAGTAGAGATGGGGTTTTACCATGTTGGTCAGGTTGGTCTCAAACTCCCACCTCAGCCTCCCAAAGTGCTGGGATTACAGGCATGAGCCACCGTGCCTAGCCTGAATTCCAACAAATTCAAAAGGCTGTTAGGTTGTTTTGTGAATATGTTGCAAAGCATTTGCCTAAGGACCCAATACCTGGCAGGAATCATTTACACTATGGAGATTAAGGAAATTGATCTTTAAGTAGCCTAAGAAAAGTAGATTATTATATTAGCTTATCTAAGACACACTTAACAGGTCAAAATATGTATTTGCTAGGTGGTGAATTTGCGAGAAGCTGAACGGAAACAACAGTTATATAATGAAGAAATGAAAATGAAAGTTCTGGAACGGGATAATATGGTTCGTGAATTAGAATCTGCACTGGACCATCTAAAATTACAGTGTGACCGGAGACTGACCCTCCAGCAAAAGGAACATGAACAAAAGATGCAGTTGCTATTACATCATTTCAAAGGTAACTTCCCCTTTTTGACAGTTAGGTAAAGTCGATGTGTAGGTGGGGGTACTGAAGGAAGACAGGACAGAATTTGATCACTTAAAAGCTCAACATGTTTAAATAGTTGCTACTTGTCTAAGTTTTTGGGCTTTACATGCTTTGGTTGCTGCATTTTGGGACAGTTGACTTTGTTGTAGGGCTATTCGTGCTTGGAATGCCATCCCTTCTGCCTGCCTCCAGTATGCACATAAGAACTGCTACAATCCTGTCAGCTTGTTGTTGGTCTAGTCTTTATGTAGAAATGTGGGATTAATTCAGGCTTTTTGGTATACAGTTGAATTTTTTTTTATTTCCCAGGGATATAATACTATCATATTTAAGTTATTTTCCACTCACAAAATTAAAGTGATAGGTTCTGTCATATTCCTAGTTATATTTCTGGTAATAATTGTCAGTTGATTATAAAATTTTCTGCATTAAAGTTATATCTTGGGTCAAAATTATACTGCCATTGATGGGCACGTACCATTATCAGTGAGCAGTAGTTCACCACCAACTCTGATAGAAAACTCTCAGAGTGATCTGGCCTCATTTTACCTAAGCATATGGCCAGTATACAGACAGCTACTATGGCAGCAAAATCATTGTTAGGTGATACTGTTACTCCTTCAATTCAAGCTGCTTAGTCTTGATTCTCATAAACCCATAACTGAAAATAGATCAAAAGGGATCCGGAAGAAGCAACCTGAGTAAGCAGAAAACTGGAAAAATCTGTGAATTTGAGTGTTGAGGCAATTTGCCTCTAAGTTAATTCTGTCACTGGTTAATTAGCAACCAGTTGCCTAATGACGATTTCCTTGCAAGATCTCACACATCATTACATTCAAACATGCTCTCCTTACCTTAGTTTAGTTCTGAAACTGATGTTTTAATATTTTTTTAAGTGACTGGGATTATACCACAAAAGTTCATGCTATGGCCAAATAAGAATATATAAAAACTTGGCCAAACACGGTGGCTCATCCCTGTAATCCCAGCACTTTGGGAGGCTGAGTGAAGAGGATCGTTTGAGCCCAGAAATTCGAGACCATCCTGGACAACATGGTGAAACCCCATCTCTACAAAAAATACAAAAAACTAGCCAAGCGTGGTGGCACGCGCCTATAGTCCCAGCTACTTGGGAGGCTGAGATGGGAGGATCACCTGAGTCCCAAAGGTTGAGCCTGCAGTGGCTGTGGTCACACCACTGCACTCCAGCCTGGGTGACAGAGTAAGACCCTGTCTCAAAAAAAAAAAAAAAAAAAGTAAAAAAGTCATTCATTTCTATAGCTGTACAAATTGTTCATAACAAAGTTGTGGCTGGGTGCAGTGGCTCATGCCTATAGTCCCAGCATTTTGGAAGGTTGTGGTGGGAGGCTTACTTGAAAGCAGCCTGGGCACCATAGTAGGACCCCATCTGTATTAATCAAGGATCTCTAAAGGTACAGAACTAATATGATATATACACACACACACACACACACACACACACACACGAGATATATAAAATATATAGGATATATATCGGACATATATATATAAATATAAAGGGGAGTTTATTGTATTGACTTACACGATCACAAGGTCCCACAATAGGCTATCTGCAAGCTTGAGGAGCAAGGAAGCCAGCCCAAGTCTCAAAACTAAAGAACTTGGAGTCTGATGTTCGAGGACAGGAAGCACTCAGCATGGGAGAAAGATATAGGCTGGGAGGCTAGGCCAGTCTCACCTTCTTATGTTTTTTGCCTGCTTTATATTCATTGGCAGCTGATTAGATGGTGCACCAGATTAAGGTTGGATCTGCCTTCCCCAGCCCACTGACTCAAATGTTAACCTCCTTTGGCCACACCCTCACAGACACACCCAGGATCAATACTTTGCATCCTTCAATCCAATCAAGTTGACACTCAGTATTAACCATCACAAGTCCATCCCTTGTCAACTTGAACTCATGTATACACATCTCTTGAGATAATACATAATCTTCAAATAAAGATAATAGGTTATAATTACACCTAACATAATACAGCTGTCCTTTGTACAACCGGAAATGCACCAATCCCCAACCCAAACGCTAATACAGAAAGTTAACAATACTTAAATGCTGATGTGAAGTCAATAAATCTTGTGTCACGTGATAAAGGAAAAGGAAATAAAATGAAGATATTTTCTTTGTACGAGTGTATACATGCACAAACATGTTTTTAACAAAATAAGGAGGAAATATGACAGTTACAGTCCTCGTTTCTGCAGCTGGTCACGTGGTCATAGCTGGTATTGATGACTACCTTCTTCTGCTACCCATTCTGTATTCCCTTTGCCTTCAGCAAACACCTCAGCAGGTTGTGGGCTTTTTTCCTAGTGGAGTGACCTTTCAAACCTTCATTCCTGAAGGGTCTGGACCATTTGTATTCCTGACTGGATTGGGCTGTTGTAGTTTCCCATTGACCTTAATCACAAAGCATGGTAATATTAAGCGACGCCCTAATGGATCTCCTGTATTTCGTGCATACTCTTCCTTACTTCTGTTATGGAGGAGTAGACTGATTTCATCTTGATAGTCCAGGTCACCCAGCCAACACTGTAACTCCCTTCTTAGCCTGTTGACTTAAAGGTAGGTGGAGCCCAAAGTGTCCAGGTGGCAATCTTAACTTTTAATTGTGTGTCTCCTGGTGGCTGTGTTCCTTCCTCTGGAACAAAGACCTCTAGGCCAGCAGAACGTAATGCTGCGGGAACAGAAAGCAAAAATGTTGCTACTGGATCACTAGGGGTGATGGTGGGTGGTGCCGCTTCCACTTCCACCCCTTGGTCCCTGGACCCGTGAATCCTGGCTATGGGAGAAACAGTATCATGTATTGGATGCTGATGCAGAGCATATATGGCCTTCTGGAGAACTTTGTCCCAGCCCTGCAAAGTATTATCATCTAGTTGGCGTTGTAATTGTGACTTCAAAAGGCCATTCCACTGTTCTATCAATCTAGCTGCTTCAGGGTGATAGGGACCTTCATCCTGTGAATGACCAGTGAATCCCATGAGCATGAGCCCACTGCCGCACTTCTTTAGCCATGAAGTGAGTGACTTCGTCAGAGGCAATGCTGTGTGGAATACCATGACAGTGGATAAGGCATTCTGTGAGTCCACGGATGGTAATCTTGGCAGAAGTACTGCATGCAGGATAGGCAAACCCACATCCGGAGTTAAGTGTCTATTCCAGTGAGGACAAACCTCTGCCCTTTCCATGACAGAAGAGGTCCAATATAATCAACCTGCCACCAGGTAGCTGGCTGATCACCCTGAGGAATGGTGCCATATTGAGGGCTCAGTGATGGTCTCTGCTGCTGGCAAATTGGGCACTCAGCAGTGGCTGTAGTCAGGTCAGCCTTGGTGAGTGGAAATCCATGTTGCTGAGCCCACATCCCTGCCACCATGGCCACTTTGTTCGTGGGCCCATTGGGCAATGAAAGGGGTGGCTGAGGAAAGAGGCTGAGTGGTGTCCACAAAACGGGTTATCGTATCCGCTTGATTATTAAAATCCTCGTCTGCTGAGGTCATCTGTTGGTGAACACTCACATGGGATACAAATATCTTCACAGTTTTTGACTACTCAGAGAGGTCCATCCACATATCTCTTCCCCAAAATTCTTTGTCACCAGTTTTCCAATCATGCTTCTTCCAAGTCTCTGACCATCCAGCGAAACCACTGGCTACAGCCCATGAATCAGTATATAACCGCATATCTGGCCATTTCTTCTTCCATGCAAAGTGGACAACCAGGTGCACTGCTCGAATTTCTGCCCACTGGGAAGATCTCCCTTCACTGGTGTCCTTCAGGTATATCCTAGAAAGGGGCTGTAGTGCCACAGCTGTCCACTTTCAGGTGGTGCCTGCATATCGTGCAGAACCATCTGTGAACCAGGCCCTAGTCTTCTCTTCCTCTGTCAACTGGTCATAGGAAACTGCCCATGAGGCCATTGGTGCAGGCTGGGGAGAGAAGGCAGGGTGGTGAGTGGAGACCATGGGCATTTGTGCCACTTCCTCATGTAACTTATGCCTTCAGGACCTGCTTGAGCCTGATCACATATATAGCATTTCTATTTGATGATGGAATGCTGCTGTGCACGACCCACTTTATAGCTAGATGGGTCAGAAAGCACCCTGTTCATGATGGGCAGTTCAGGTCACATGGTGACTTGATGACCCATAGTCAAACATTCAGTTTCCACCAAAGCCCAGTAACAGGCCAAGAGCTGTCTCTCAAAAGAAGAGTAGTTATCTACAGAAGATGGCAGGGCCTTGCTCCAAAATCCTAGAAGCCTCTGCTGTGATTCACCTTTGGGGACCAGCCAGAGGCTCCAAACAGCATCCCTGTGTGCCACTGACACCTCAAGCACCATTGGATCTGCTGGGTCATATGGCCCAAGGGGCAGGGAGCTTGCACAGCAGCCTGGACCTACTGCAGAGCCTTCTCCTCTTCTGCACACCATTCAAAACTGGCAGCCTTTCAGGTCACTCGATAAATGGGCCAGAGTAACACACCCAAATGAGGAATGTGCTGCCTTCAAAATCCAAATAGGCCCACTAGGCGTTGTGCCTCTTTTCTTGGTTGTAGAAGGGCCAAATGCAGAAACTTATCCTTCACCTTAGAAGGAATATCTCGACAGGCCCCACACCACTGGACCCCTAGAAATTTTACTGAGGTAGAAGAGTTCATCATTTTCTTTCATCACTTTGTCCACTGAACTTAGGAGCAACCAACCAGCTTCATTATGTTCCGTGGTTCTCCACATATGGTCAAATTTATTACGTATAGAGTCACTAAACTCCTTGCCTCTCATGAGCAGTGAATCAGGAGTGTCAAATGCATTTATTTTGCATAATTCCCTAAACAGTTCATGCCAAGGACTATCAGTGTTCTCCACACTATTAGAAGTAGAGTCCTTAGCATTTTTGGGTCTAATCAGATTAAGCAGCCAACTCCAGAAACCCCAAAACCAACAAAAGAACTCCATCCTTAATATTCTGTTCCTCTAGAACCACTCCTGGTACCAAAACCTATATTAGTCAGGGTTCTCTAGAGGGACAAGGGACAGAACTAATAGAAGACATATATATATATAAATATATATATAGATAACTATATAAATATATATAGATATCTATATAAATATATCTATATATATCTGTCTACATATATATATAAAGGGGAGTTTATTATTAACTTACACAATCACAAGGTCCCATGGTAGGCTGTCTGCAAGCTTGAGGAGCAAGAAGAGCCAGTCTGAGTCTCGAAACTGAAGAGCCTGGAGTCTGATGTTCAAGGACAGGAAGCATCCAGCATGGAGAAAGATGTAGGCTGGGAGGCTAGGTCAGCCTCGCCTTTTTATGTTTTTCTGCCTGCTTTATATTCACTGGCAGCTGATTAGATGGTTCCCACCAGATTAAGGGTGGGTGTGTCTTCCCCAGCCCACTGACTCAAATGTTAACCTCCTTTGGCAACACCCTCACAGACACAGTCAATACTTGGCATCAATACCTGACATCCAAATTGTGGCTGAAAACAAACCCATTCAGGTAACAGATATGTGTAACATGCTTATATAGTCCAGGGGCTGTGTTAAAAACATAATTTTGCAGCTGGGCATGGTGGCTCATGTCTGTAATCCCAGCACTTTGGGAAGCCGAGGCAGGTGGATCACGAGGTCAGGAGATCGAGACGATCCTGGCTAACACGATGAAACCCCGTCTCTACTAAAAATACAAAAAAATTAGCTGGGTGTGGTGCCAGGCACCTGTAGTCCCAGCTACTCGGGAGGCTGAGGTAGGAGAATGGTGTGAACCCAGGAGGCGGAACTGGCAGTGAGCCGAGCAGCTCGCGCCACTGCACTCCAGCTTGGGCAACAGTGTGAAACTCTGTCTCAAACAAACAAACAAAAACATAATTTTGCATCATTTATTTAAAACTGATTTTAAATGCAAATTTTTGTTGTATAGAACAAGATGAAGAAGGCATTATGGAAACTTTCAAAACATATGAAGATAAAATCCAGCAGTTGGAAAAAGATCTTTATTTCTATAAGAAAACCAGCCGGGATCTTAAGAAGAAACTTAAGGAACTGGTAGGGGAAGCAATCCGGCGGCAACTAGCACCATCAGAGTGTAAGACTTTTAGTGTTGTCACTCTGTTTCTCTAGCATTTGGTGAAGTCATGCCAGCTTTGTAGTGTAGCCTTTACCAATTGATTGGGTTACTTAGGATTGGTACTTCTGTTTGTCTCTGTAAACAAAAATCGTTGTCTAAGATAGAACCACATGAGAAGTAGATGAATGAACAAATTTATAGATGCAAAGGAAATGATCAATTATTGATTGTCTGCCATGTGCCAGGGGCTTGTTGACCTTAACTCATTTAATCCCTAAATTAACTCTATAATCTAACATAGCTGTTGTATTTCAATTTTATAGTAAATTAAGCCTTCTGATTATCATTTAAAACGGTGTAAGGTAGATAAGAGTAAAAGTATGTATTTTTAAGATAAATCAGGTCTTTTTATATATCATGATCCCTGGAAATTAAAAAATATAATAGAACCTATTTTTAAGACAAAGATGTTTCCTTGTATAATTATATGTAGATACGTAGATTTAGCGCATTCCTAAATGAAATGATAACATATGACAAAATATTATACTTTGCAAAAGTAAAAAATACTATGAAGGTAATATATTGCTATGATTAAAATATACCCTCTTTAAGATAGCTGAATATATAGGAATGAATATTTCTAAAATAATAAAGTCTACATTGTATAAAAGAATTAGCTAATAATTCTAATAACTTAATTGTAATAACTTCAGTAATTTAAGTATGGTTTATGAAAAGTTGACTTTAAAATCTTTTAGGCACACACTGATTTTTTACCTGGAAAGAAAACTACTTAAAGATGGGCACACAAGATGTAAGAAGACCAGTGAAAAATAATATGGATGAGCAATGAAGTGATACATGCTGAATATGTAATAGAAGTAGAATTGGTCAGGTGCAGTGGCTCACGCCTGTAATCCCAGCACTTTGGGAGGCCAAGGCGGGCGGATCACTGGAGGTCAGGAGTTCAAGACCAACCTGACCAACATGGTGAAACCCCTTCTCTATTAAAACATACAGAATTAGCTGGGTGTGGTGGTGTATGCTTGTGGTGTATGCTCAGCTACTTACGAGGCTGAGGCAGGAGAATCACTTGAACCTGGGAGGCTGAGGTTGCAGTGAGCCGAGATCATGCCATTGCACTCCAACCTGGGCAACAAGAGCGAAAGTCTGTCTCAAAAAAATGCTAACTTATATTTGTGACATTTATCATGTATAGACATTTTCAAAAATAATTCCCTTTAGCCCCCAAACTCAGGATAGGCTGAGGTCTGCTAACTGCATTTTCAGATGAGGCCATTGACGCTTAGAGAAGGCAAGTGACGTATGGACAGAACAATAACTATAACATAGTCAATGTTGTCCCTCATCTTCTTACTGCTGGTTCAGTATTCCAGGATAAAAGTTGCCTTAGGATAAAGATGTGATACAAACATACAAATCCTGCCAAAGAGATGACACTTTCTGATTCTCAGTACAGTAATACAGAGGTACTTACCGATAAACTCATTTACTTGAAATACTGCTGGCTATATATAGCTAACACTTTAACTTGAAACATTACTTGCCAAAAATTAAAAAGTAAACAGGTATCAAGTAAGAAACAGAATAATCAACATAAGACCACTTTAGCTTTTAAAAAAAGTCTACTGTCAAATTTGAGGTATCTGATATTAGACATCTAGTTTGTAAATGGCCCATGTTTATGCCACTGAGTCTACTAGACATTTCTTTAAAATGACAATGTGATATACAGGTTTAAGAAATCAGGATCTTCATCCTGCTCTTTAACCAAACACACAAATCTAAAACACAGTTAATTTTGGAGAAGTGTACAATGAGAATAACACTGTTCTGACCAACTAACCCAAGGAGTCTAGTCTTGATAATAACGTTGGAGATACTATTTCAGCTAATTTGCTATTCTACTTAGAAACATTTAAAATACTTCTATTTTTGGCTATAAAAAGTAATGTATAGTCATTATAGAAAAATCTGGGCCGGGCGCGGTGGCTCAAGCCTGTAATCCCAGCACTTTGGGAGGCCGAGGCGGGCGGATCACGAGGTCAGGAGATCGAGACCATCCTGGCGAACACGGTGAAACCCCGTCTCTACTAAAAAATACAAAAAACTAGCCGGGCGAGGTGGCGGCGCCTGTAGTCCCAGCTACTCGGGAGGCTGAGGCAGGAGAATGGCGTAAACCCGGGAGGCGGAGCTTGCAGTGAGCTGAGATCCGGCCACCGCACTCCAGCCTGGGCGACAGAGCCAGACTCCGTCTCAAAAAAATTAAAAAATTAAAATTAAAAAAAAAGAAAAATCTGAAAATGAAGAAAACAAATCAGTTATAATCCTACCCACATTTGAGCATAATTCTTTTCATATTTTCCCCATGCTTTAAAATATACAGTTGCAACTATATTGGGGATATAGTTTACACTATATCCTATCTCATAATGCTACTCTAATATAATGACATGAAACAAGGTTTGTTTGAATTATAAAATGTAGCAATTTATATCAAACTGAGTTCCAGAAAATGTTTTACATGCTTAATAATCAGTATCCTAGTTAATAAATAACTATCTTGGTATTTGGTGCAGTGTTTTTTTTGTTTATTTTTTGTTTGTGAGATGGAGTTTCATTCTTGTTACCCAGGCTGGAGTACAGTGGCGCTATCTCAGCTCACTGCAACCTCCACCTCCTGGGTTCAAGCGATTCTCCTGCCTCAGCCCCCCGAGTAACTGGGATTGCAGGTGCCACCACCAGGCCCGGCTAATTTTTTGTATTTTTAGTAGAGACCATTTCGGCCAGGCTGGTCTCGAACCCCTGACCTCAGGTGATCTACCAACCTCGGCCTCCCAAAGTGCTGGGATTACAGGCGTGAGCCGCCGTGCCTGGCGGTTCAGTGGGTTTTGATAGAAGACTGTCTACAAGACTTATATTTTCTTTGAATATTTTTGGCATTTTCATATTGCAGAAAAATTCATCTTTTGACTAAAATATCTTGGGTCACTTGATGGTCATCCTATGTTACAGTGTATACGTTTTCTAACAGGATAAAATCAGTTTTATATGAACCTGCATTCTCTCTACTTATATTTAAACCTATCCTCGTATCAATTTAAATCACTATAAAACTATGTGTAAGGATAATAGAGTCAAAAGATCTGGGGTGGAATCCTTACTTCTTTCACTAGTCATCTGACCTTGGGCAAATTAATCTTTCCCTAGTTGGTTCCCTCAATTATAAAATTCTGGAAAAGGGAAACTTTCTTGTGAAGAATCCAACTGGGCTTTGGAGTGAGCCTCAGCAATGAGCCTCTTATCATCTTTTGAAAATAAGATGTCTTACTCCTTCCCCCAGATACTGTCATCTGGGGAGCACGAATTTTTTTTGTTTTTTTTTAAGAGTTGGGGTCTTGCTCTGTTGCCCAGGCTGGAGTGTAGTGGTACAATCATGGCTCACTGCAGCCTCAAACTCCTGGGCTTGAGCAATCCTCCCACCTCAGCCTCTCGAGTAGCTGGGGCTACAGGTATGAACCACTGCATCCAGCTAGGGTGCAACATTTTTAAAAGCTTCCCAGTGACTCCGAAGTACAGCAAAGTCTGGGAGCCACTGTCTGTGGTCAACTTTGTATGAGTTCCATGTACGAGGATCTAGATCATTTGCTATTTTAGGTTATTTGATTTTGAGGTAATTTTAAGAACTAGAGAGTCAGTTATGTTTTAAACCAGGGGTTACAAACTAGAATGCTTACCTGAGCCAGGGAAGCCAGAGTGAGCAGTGGGGACTGCAGCAGTCATCTAAATGGTCAGTGGCAACTGTGTTCCAGCTGCTGTTGCAATTTAGAAACTGTTAACTCTTACAGTTTTTCTAGAAAAGCTGTGAATCTCTATTTTTGTAAGAAACTTTTCAATTTTTAAATTTTGGGTCAAGTATTACTAACATTATAGGCCGAGCAAAACATGTCTCTGGGCCAGATTTGTCTTGGGAGCTGCCAATGTGCAACCTGTGTTTTAAAACTTTGTCTTTGCAGGACTGGGCCAGGCACGGTGGCTCATGCCTTAATCCCAGCACTTTGGGAGGCCAAGGTGGGCAGATCACCTGAGGTCAGGAGATCGAGACCATCCTGCCTAACACGGTGAAACCCCGTCTCTACTAAAAATACAAAAAATTAGCCGGGCGTGGTGGTGGGCGCCTGTAGTCCTGGCTACTCAGGAGGCTGAGGCAGGAGAATGGTGTGAACCCGGGAGGCGGAGCTTGCAGTGAGCTGAGATCGTGCCACTGCACTCCAGCCTGGGCAACAGAGCGAGACTCCATCTCAAAAAAAAAAAAAAAAAAAGAAAAGAAAAACGTCTTCGCAGGATGAAAAGTATACTAAGCATGCATCAATATGTTAAAGTTGGCATTTTTCATCATATTAGGTCTAGTACCTATAATGCATTTCCCTTAAGCAAGTTTTTGTCTTTGATAGCAGATATTCTTTAAGAACCTCTAGCTTTGATCTCTTCACTCTAATTCCAGTGGGGTGTCCCCACCTAGGGCGTATTCTCTCATTTCCATTTTGATGACAGAAATTGTGGCGCACACCCCATAGTACATTCAGACAGCAGAACGCTGCTATCATGCTGGGAGTGCCAACCAAGACCAGATTTCCACACATATAATGCCAAGTCCCAGAGTTTTCCCTTGAGATACGGGGCAGAGCCAATATTATCCAGTGCTGGCATCACTTGGCCATGATTTAGAATTCACTAGTAGCAAGACCAGCAGAGAAGGCAAGCATGGAAAGGCACAAGAGGCGCCCAAAGCACTCTTATGTTTCCAGGGAGTACCAAACCCCCGAAAGACTATTTCTCAACTTTGTTCCATGAATTAAAGTTGTGAGTTATTCACATGCAAGATGCCTATAAGTGAAATAAAAATATATTCACACATCTGTTCATCTAAAATAAGTCATTTAACAAAAAAGTTGAAAAACATTATGCATATTGGGTGATAATAATGTATTTATGTTAAGATGTTTTGATTAAAACACCTAATTTTGAGGAAATAATATCTAATTTTTTGGTTTGGGGATTATTTTTAGATCATGAGGCTGGAGATGGAGTCCTGAAGCCAGAAGAAGGAGGCATGCTTTCAGAAGAATTAAAATGGGCATCCAGACCTGAAAGTATGAAATTAAGTGGAAGAGAAAGAGAAATGGACAGTTCAGCAAGCAGCTTAAGAACACAGCCAAATCCTCAGAAGCTCTGGGAAGATATCCCAGAATTACCTCCAATTCATAGTTCTTTAGCACCCCCCAGTGGGCATATGTTAAGTAATGAGGATAAAACAGAAATAGGTGATCATCAGTTTACAAAATCTCACAGTCGACTATCATCCCAAATTCTGGTTGCGGGAAATGTGGGACAACTTCATGGTATTACACCGGTAAAACTGTGTCGAAAAGAATTACGTCAAATTTCCGCCTTAGAACTATCATTGCGACGTTCCAGTCTTGGAGTTGGGGTTGGATCAATGGCTGCTGATTCCATCGAAGTATCTAGGAAACCAAGTGACTTAAAAACTTAGATATTTAATAATAGAACTTTCAGTAGATATGTAAAAAGATTCCTTTTTCTAACCTGTTAAAAACTAAAGCTCAATTTCACTACCTCTTTCCTCAGAATAAAGGAAGAAGGGGAGGAAGGAATCTCTAATTCTTTTATATACTATAGATGTGTACATCTTCTATAGAATACTTGGGAAGTTTAATTTATATTTCCATAGTAAACATGTTTTCCAATACTTGGTAACATTTAAATATTTACATTTGTAAATACACTTAAATGTTTTTCCAGGCATATTTGAAGAATAAAACTAATAATAGACTAAAATATCTATCAAGTATGTATTATTATATAATATAAATGTACATTATATTATAAAAGTATTTTACAATATAACTATATTATTGTTATTCTCAAATACAAGTATATTGTTATTTTTAAAAGATCCAGCTAAATATTGCTTTTGTCAGAGGGAGTCACCTGCTGCATATGTGGGCTAAGACAACCTCGCAGCTTTATAGATTGAGGTTCATTTACAGTCCTCAGAGCTCACAGAAATGGTCAGTCTTGACTTTTTAAACATGCTCACTATTCTGTTTCTGGAATTTTTTTGGATTTTTAAAAATTTATAATGTTATATTGTTTGTTTACTAATATTATGCAATATAAGTTTTCATGCCTTTCCTGATCTATACACTCAATATATCTCTCACTGTGCTACTAAAATTGGGAGAAGTGGATGCTGTTCCATGGAATAGGGAAATGATAGAATAAAACTAAAGCATTGTAACATTTCAAGAGAAAGAACACTGGTTACGACATCTCCGGTCATACGGAGTATGTCTGTAAAGCCTGAAGTCTCGCCAAAGCATCTTTAATGATCTGATGGGCTTAAGTCTGATATTTTTCTCTACAACCTCCTTAGTCAGGCTTTGCAAACTGGCCAAACTACATTGGGGCTGTAAATATGTCAATGAAATTTTTACTAAAATCTCCTAGTTTTTCTGGCCAAAATTTTACTATATAATGTACAATTTAGTTTGGAATTAAGAACTAAACAGTTTACCCACCAAATGTAGCTTGTACTTTTTAATCATATTTTTCAGTTATAGGAAACATCCATTGTAATGACCTGAGAAATTATTTTGTTACTTAAGTTGTTCTTTGTTACTTTTCCAAACTTTCACTTGTCAACCAAGGTTGAGTTTCTTAAACTTAAATTAATGTTTGGGTGGGGGCTGTAGCAAAACCATCCTGACATGGATGCTTACTCAGAGTCACCCACTTCCTTGCTGAATCCATTTTTTCTGATGTAGTGCTGCTACAGACCTTTTCCTTTTGTCCTTCCCTCTGTTGCTATGGACTTGATCACCTCACATAGGACCCAAACTGTCACCCTGTGCTCAAAGACTTAAGGCTTCCTTTCTCTCATTGCTAGCCCCTAGGGAGTAGAGTTTCTCGGTCTCCTTGCTAAAAACCAGTTCCTTTAGGAAACAAATCAAAACAAAACCAGCTTATAAAAAGGAAAATAGTTTCTCTTTTAAGCATGGTACTAAAATTTATTTAAATTAAATAGATTTCTGTGGACTTACCTGGGAATGAAACAATTTTTAATATTGGTCCAATGAGATACTATTTTCTAAATTTCAAAAAACTAATTTACAAACTAACTGGGAAATTTTATTTTTACCAGATTGAAGTCAGATTCTGGTTTCCAGCTAGTCTTCCATTTTTATAAATTTATGTATATTCATATATATAAATATAAGTCATATAAACCAAAAGTAAAACATACACATTATAAATATGTATAAATGCACTGACCTTTTGCCATTTTTTATATATATATATATTTTATATATGTATATACACACTTGTATATATACAAGTATATAAGGAAATGTGTATTTCCACAGGTAAAACAAGTATATGTAAATTAATTATTTCTAATTAAGGCATAGCACATTACTTAATCTTACAAGGAATTTATCATTAGGACCTTCATTAATAAATACATATTTATTTAAATATATTATTGCGGTGGTTTGTTGAAGGTACTGACCTTTTACCATTGTCTATATATATACACACTTGTATATAAACACTTGTGTATATATATATAGTATATATATACTTGTATATATAGGGTATACATTATACATTATTTCGTTATATATTTCATATCATACATAGTTATATATAGATACACTTTGTATATATACATATAGAAATAATATATAATGGTCAACGGTCAGTGCCTTTAACAAGCATAGCAATATTTATAAATATGTATTTATTAATGAAGATCCTAATTATAAGTTCCTTGTAAGATTAAGTAATGTGCTATGCCTTATTTAGAAATAATGTATTTAAGAATGTATTCTGATACTGGAATCCTACTTGCTCAAGAAATTAACACATACTTGTTTTACCGTGGAAATACACATTTCCTCAAAGCCAACTCACTAATAAAGCAAAATTTATATGAAAACAACAATGATTAGGTTTGATTATGCAACTGTGAGTTGATTTCTAAATAACAAAGGTATGGGTTTTTCCTGCCTTTTGGTGAAACATACATCCTTTATATAGTATGACAGATTTCATGCCACATATGCAAACACACATATAAATAATGTCATGAATAATATATTCTGGAAATGAACCTCTGGTCATTCTAGTTTAGTCAGTGTTCTCACAAAGGAAAGAAAAAATCAGACACCTACACAAGGCAAGTAAAATTATTGTTTTACATTTACTAATAATGATTTTACTCTTTTTCACATGCTTTGTCTAAACATTTTGTCACTTTATTGCCTTTTTGCATGTATATAAAATGTTTGTGGTTTTCTTTTTTTTATTACGTTCTTTTTTTCTCTAACAGTAATAAAGCATTTGAAAGGAAAAATATTTGTAAAGTACTAGTTACTTTCCTAACTCTAGTGTGTTATAGCTAACAGATGGAAAATTCTGTAAGGTGGGAACCACAGGTGGTGAGAACATTGATGAAGGTGCTTTTGTGCTTTAATGTGTGCTTTATTTTTGTTAATGTATTTTTTTATTGTTGCCTCAGTGCTTCATATCTTCATGAACTCAGGGTCCAAGGAGCCAGCAAAAATATGATCTTCATTAATTGTGGACTAGATTGCCACTAGCCATTGCCTTGTTCAGTCTAGGCCAATAAAGTGAGGAATGCTTATTTGAGACTAAATTCCTTATATAGAAAAAAAATAAAAGTCTTAGTTTTGGAATGACTATCAGGGAGTAAAATCCTCAGTGGGAGTTGGGTTCTGTGGTCAAAACAAATTCTCATACATTAAATGCAAGTATGACATATTTTGATTTTTCACTTATTTCCTTAGGCACCTAGTCGTGACTTTCAAACAGTGGGGTATCAGTATTTAAAAGTTCAGGTAGAAAGTTACTTATGTCCACAATTCCTCTCTCAACTTCATTGGAATTTTTTTTAAAAAATTCATTATGTATATTTTACATTTAAAGTTATAACAGATTGTAGGCTGCCTTAACACTGATAATATATTCTTCTACATTTATATTTTCAAAAATTGAAAATAAAGGCGAGAATGAGATCCATCTGCAATAAGCATCTCAAAAGCATTGGGCATATAGTACTTTTGAGCTTATGTTGGCAGACGTACACCAAGGGTAGGGTACTGGGGAGCCTCTGCCCAATAAGGAGAAGTATTTTATCACTGTCATTGCTGCTGATAAAAGCAGGCTCACTTTTCATAGGTTTTTTTGTTTTTAAATTATCTGTAAATAATGCATCCCTTATTGCCTACACCAAGGTTGGCTGCTGCGATTCCTTCCATTCCTTGGACTGTACAGCATACAAAGATAAAGCATCAAATACTGGAATAGTGTTTGATTTTTATAATGGCTTTCATGTCTACCCCAACATGACTTCAACATGGAGGTAATCAGAACAAAAGAAATTATGAAAAGAAATCTCAGAAAAAGTTGATGTTACAATGATAGCTTTTGATATTTTGCATAGTTCTCATTTGTCTGTTTTTATGTTTCCTTCAGGAATTTCTACAGTAAGTCAACAGAATTGGCACTATTTGAAATGCTAACTGTAATTTGATTGAAACCAAATATATTGAATTAGACTTACATATTATGTTCTATTGGTTAATTATAACACACAACTCTATTCAGTTATCTACAGTACTTTAAGAGAAAAATACAGGGCCCGGCCCTGTGGCTCACGCGTGTAATCCTAGCACTTTGGGAGGCCAAGGTGGGTGGATCATGAGGTCAGGAGATCGAGACCATCCTAGCTAACACGGTGAAACCCTGTCTTTACTCAAAACACAAAAAAATTAGCTGGGCATGGTGGCGGGCACCTGTAGTCCCAGTTACTCGGAAGGCTGAGGCAAGAGAAGGACGTGAACCTGGGAGGCGGAGCTTGCAGTGAGCTGAAATCGTGCCACTGCACTCCAGCCTGGGCAACAGAGCTAGACTCCGTCTCAAAAAAAAAAAAAGAAAAACATAACAATCTTACAGTCTGTTATAAAGAGCAAGATCCCTATATGCCTAAGGAACAAAATCATTCACAAAAGAAAAGATAAAATTCAATATATTTTTAAAATGTATACTTAATGATTCTTGGAAATTTGAAATTATTAATAATTATATAATTAAAGTAGACCAAAAGGAAGTATTTTTAAACCTTATTTGTATACTGTATTATTGTGTTTTCAAGCTTACTACAGTCCATATACAAAGCAAGGTACAATTTTTCAAGTCCAATATGGTAAATATTGTTAGAAGTTATGTGATTGGCTAGGCACAATGGCTCACACCTGTAATCCCAGCACTTTGGGAGGCCGAGGCAGGCAGATCATGAAGTCAGGAGTTCAAGACCAGCCTGGCCATGGTGAAACCCCATCTCTACTAAAAATACAAAATTAACCAAGTGTGGTGGCACACACCTGTAGTCCCAGCTACTCGGGAGGCTGAGGCAGGAGAATTGCTTGTACCCATGAGGCAGACATTGCAGTGAGCCAAGATCACACCATTGCACTCCAGACTAGGCAACAGAGGCAGACTCCGTCTCAAAAAAAAAAAAAAAGTTATGTGGTCTGAAGTGTCTTATTTTTAAACGAACCATTCCTTGGACCCCACTCCACACTTACCAACAACAAATTATAGGCATGTACTTACCTTTCATTTCCCACAATGATCCAGGATTCTAATAGCTCTAAGACAGATGACTGGAGTGGGAGGGAGACAGGAGGGAAAGAGGTTTATTTGAAAGCATTCCATAGACAAGCAAAGGATTTTCAAAAAATATTTTGAGAGAATATATTTCTCTGGCATAAGGACTGAAACTTAAATTCAACCTTTGGCTATCTCTAGACACTAAAGAATACTCTTGATTAGTACTGGCTTTGCCATTTAAAAATAGACAACTATTTTTTATACTGGTTTTTATTTTTTATACTGGTATATTTTTATACTGGTTCCTTTTCCTATATTTACTATTCACTCAGGATATTATGAAAAGAAGCCATCCTAGATCATATTTGAATATAAATTGTGGAGCCATTCAATAGAGAATTACAAGAAATAGCAGTTTGTGGTAAATTCCAATCACCTAACAACATACACTGAAGGAAGGCAGTTAGGACTTAAGTGATCTTACCTTTGAAGAACCATGAACGATATGCCAAAACAAACAAACAAAAAACTGCTGTAGGCAAAATGGGATTTATTTTTGCAAAACAATGATATCTCAACTATTTTGCTTATTTTTTCCCTCTGCTAAAATATCCCTGAATTTGTCTACCGAAAAACCTGTGTATAAAAAACTTTAATTCAAGATTACAAGCCAGCAGCTACTGGCCTGCCTTGAGAGGCTGGATTAACATTACTCATTTTCATATGTGGGCTGTAGTTGAACTTCACCGTCCTATCCTCTAGGAGTGAAAAGCAGTGAGGAGTTATCTGAGTTCAACTAATTGATCATTTTCATAATTTATAACTATTAAAGTCAAAGTGTTGTCGTTACTTTCTAGCATGCTTTTTCTAGATGGGAATAATGAGAACAGGGCAAGGTATTTTAATACTGAGGAGTTAATCTCCTTTTGAAATTTCCATCACCTGGGAGGGTTGGGCAGCATCTGAATTGTTCCATTCAAGGCCTGGGGCTAAGCCCATCTGTTTCACCAGATACTTTCCTGGCTAGCTCCAGGTGTCACCAGCTGTTAGACATGACTAGAATGACACAGGCTGTAATTTTATTAATAGAGTACATTAAATGATATTTTCTAAACCAGTCTTTAAAAAAAAATCTATTTATGAATCACTACCCCACATCTAAAATCAAAATCATATTTTTCAAATGCAACACAAAGTAATTAGGAGGGAAATTACTATTTTTGCTACATAGTAAATAGTCTTGCTTTATCAAATAAATGCTTTATCAAATGAAAGCACTTTGAAAATTGAAGCATCATATATGTTTAAGATTAAATTATAAGTAGGTTTTCTATACAGTTGGATGTCAAAATGGGATAACTGGCACACATGGATGTTTATTTTATAAATATGCAAATCATAAGACATCTTCTAAACAAATTCTCAGTTTTAGTTATATATATCTTCTAAACAAATTCTCAATTTTAGTTATATATGTTTCAACAGTATAAATAAGAGTATTCTCTGGGAAGATTCATGTGAATTCTAGCAAAAATGTTTTAAAGACTTGCTGAATCTATTTTTATAGGCATAGAAATGCTTCATGACTATTTCTTTGATTTATGAGTGAAAGAGGATGTTTTCTACTGGATCTTTGACCACCAGTTTTTGGCTATTTATTACTTATTTTTTTAGTAACAATTACATTTGTAAGTTGTTGAACTATGTCTAGAAAAATAACTTTTCTTAAAACTGATATGAATTTTAAACCCTATTTTCCCCCAAAGAAACTATAAAACAAGAAGTTAATTTTTTTGCACAAGTATAGGTATATGATCAAATAAAAAGCAAATCAGTCTTCATTTAGCATCTGAGACTTTTAGCTCCTAAATACAAGAAGTGTATTATAATTAAATTTAACATTACCATAGTGGCCTGTCCTTCATAAACATTCAGAGGGAAACTCATTCCCCTTAGTTTGCAAGTATTTGCCAGTGTAAGGAATACTTTTTCTCTAGATCACAGCACCTATGACCTGAGCAGCCAAGTAAAGAGAAGGTCAAGACTTTAAGGGTAATGGAACCTACAATCATAAGTATTCTAGTTGATTGTGAACACATAAATCAGAAAAGAAGAATACTAACATACAGTTTTCCTGAGTTACCTTAAGTGGTATGAGGTATTCTTAGTAAGGTTTATTACAAAATTCAGTATCTCCCATGAGAAAGGAAGCTAGGTTTAAGCATTTGATTATGTGAGTTTAGTTGGCCCTTCACCCTTCAACACATGGGCCAGCACTGTGGGGTTAAGTTCTTACATGGGAAATAATCTGTACCTCTTCCAAAGGGTGGGTTGGTAGCTAAAGTTATTTATTTTCTGAAAACATTAAAAAATGGCATCTATATGTAAATGCTAAAATGTAAAGATGGGAATTTCTACAGGCTTTTAATTTATAGGCATTTCCCTGCTTTATATTTTCTATCAACCTTTATATTTTTGCTGATAGAGTTGAAAACTAAAAGCCCTATCCCTCAAGGAACTTATAGTCCAGTGATACTACTTATGGAGAGAGTAAATCAGGGTAAGGAAATAGAAAATTAGGGGTGCTTTTTCAGATGGTAATAATGTTTCTGAGCTCATATATACATAAAGCTGTAAGAACTACATGTAAACATACTGATCAAAAAATGCTTCTGTAATGTATGCATGCTCAAAAGGAGCAAGTATCATAAATTGTATCTGAACATGGAAATCACATCCAACCAGCTTTGATGGAAGAAGAAGAGCACTTTACAGTTTTAAGTCTTACATTTGGGTCTTTGATCAATTTTGAATTAGTTTTTGTACATGGTATGAGGTAGGGGTCCAACTTCATTATTTTGCATGCAGATATCCAGTTGTGTCAATATAATTGGTTGAAAAAAACTATTCTTTCCTCATTAAATTGTCTTCATACATTTGTTGAAAACCAATTGACCATACAGGTTTATTTCTGCACTCAATTTTATTCCACTGGTCTATATGTCTGTCCTATGAAAGAACCACACTATCTTGATTATGTAGTAAATTCTGAAGTCAAAGTGTGAATCCATGAACTTTGTCTTCTTTTCCAATATTTGTTGGTTATTTGGGGTCCCTTAAGTTTCCATATGAATTTGAGGACCAGTTGT